GACATCACAGTTTAACACAGGGATTCTGGTTTCATGCGCTGATTACAACACGTCAATCCCAACTACGGTTAGGGATTATATGATGAGCGTACTCTCGAGAGTCTACTTGATCCTACATTGTAGCACGCGTGCCAGCCAGACACTAAAGAGGGAAATCACGGACCTTTATGGGCTACCGCTCTTCACTGCTAAACATCTGCAGGGAGTTCAATTGAACTTTAACCGAAGGACTTCGCAAATAAATAATGGCGATAATCTCCTCGTTAGAGCCGTGAATCAACCGCTAGACAGGGTCAACCCACGCACACCAAGCATTCACCACAAAACATATCCTAAGAGACCCGACGCCTGTCAGTCATAAAAAACATCTGTTCATGGTAAAGTTTCCCCGTGTTGATCTCAAATTAGACCACAGGCTCCACCCTGGTGTGCCCTTCGCAATTCCTATCAAAGTTTCAGCCTTGCGGTCGTAGTTTCCCCCAGAGCCCAAAACTATTGAGTTTCTCGGAAAGGATTCTGCCATTCAACAAATGGACAAACTCCTGTCGCATCGTTGTAAGGTAGGAACTACCAGGTCTCTAATTCTCTGTTGGAGTACTCCTACGTTGGCGCGCCGTTGCATCGACAGAAAACCCTCGTAGGTAGACGCCTTCGCCTAGTTCTTCTCCATGAAGTCAAAAGTATCTCCGATTCGCACCGTCCTAGAATAGATCTACCCACCGATTGGCTCTCATTGAATTGCTTGTTTCGGAAGAACAAAAGACTTCATAACTGCGCTGAAAGTCATTCATGTGGGCGCATACTGTAACGAGTTCGTCTGATTTGTTCACAGTGAACGTAAAAAAGTACGTAGACCATTTGCTGGCCAATTACTAGACTACGGCGTTTTAACTGCAACAATATGGGAAGCAAAACTCGCAGAGCCTGGAATTACCGCAGCTGCTGGCCGAGACTGGCCTCTCTGTAGGTTATCGGTAGGGTGGAAATACCTATCACGTACCAAAGCACCAATGAACTGTCATTAACTCCTCCGAAAGTCTCGCAGTGGGAAAGTTTCGCGCCTGCTGCTAGCCGCGTGGGATATAGTCGCTATCTCTCAGGCGCCTTCTCCGCGTCCGACGTAACCGACCTTACCCGTGATAAGCCTACCTATGGAAAGACCCATAAAGTACAACTGATAGGTCAGCTTCAGTCGAATGCGTGCCTCTGAGTGAAGATAATTTTTCCTTCCATAATATTCACATCTGGGAACCATTCGCATGTGATTAGCACCACGAGTGCTGCTAGTATCCATTTAAGACCTTTGGTCGCCGCCAAATAGATTCTGACGTATTAATGAGTATTCGCAGTTTCGTTACCTGAATAACACTTGCATGCTTATCTATACTAAGTGTGTCTGCCTTGGCAGGCATCAACCAGTTAATGTCGCGATTAAAGAAAGATGTATTAAAGATGGTTTTCTCCAATGTAATCTTGTTATGATGCCACTGAAATATCCTTATTAATACATGATGACGCGAAGTCATCGAAAGTTTAATGCCAAATATAAATAAGGCGGCTCTGTAATTTCGCAATCTAGGAACAAATCAATATGTAACCACTAGTTAACTCGTGCAATCCGTCTGGGTGATCCCCTGTGTTTATAACCAGACTCGGAGTAGATTTAGTAAGAAGATGCATTACTCATGAACTGGAATCGTTTTGCAACTTTCCATAGGGAGCAAAAGGTCCATTTTTTACGGTCTACAAAAATTCAATCGGGGAGTCGAGTTTCAAGATAATTTTTTTGTCTTGCTCATAACACAAGCGTCCGAGCAAACTTTGTATGGGCCAATGTGTGGAGCATGTGGGAGTATATGCATTATTAGACTCCGTACATGTGCCCACTACGAACAACTATTTGAAGTAAAAAATATTATCTGAATTTTCAAAGTATAGTTGAAACTGTGTCTAAAGACGAAAAAATCTACATAACGTAGTAACATTAACTACTTATGTGAGATATTAATATTCCAATAATAATTCGTATCTCTTAAAACATCGAATATGACTTCAATTCTTTCATTGATTTTTTTTCCCCTCGCTCATTTTCAGCTGTTTTGAAAAATCAATTTTTTGTATTGTTCACACTTTCTCCGCGGCGAAATACTCAATCATAGGGTCAACGTTTCTTGAGAAGATTAGCCATTAGTGGTGTACAACATACGATAAACTTTAATCTCCAGTTGTCTTTCCATCTCCTTATGTGTGGTGATTTCTAGGTAAAATTCACCCCCTAGGAAAATTTGTAAATTTTTCATTTTCATATGGAGTTGACTATGGAACTAGATGTTCACATGCCTCAATATTGTATACATATATCGTATGCGATTTATCAATGATGTAAAAAGATTTTAAAAATTGCTTTTTTAGTTGGTAAAATATTTTCTCGCTATCGATGGATCTTTGATTTTTTTCGATTTTTTTTAATTTTCGTTCCAACACCATAAATTCGAAACATGAGACTTAAGTGCACATGGGAACCCGATAGTACTCACATTCGTGTTCGTAAAAATAGAAGAAGTATACAGAGAATATTATGAAGTTTTAGGCAAACATGGCAAAATGTACACACTGCAAGCAGAGATAAAACGGACTATTGTCAGACTCGTTTCAAACTTGTCAAAGTTCAAGGTGGTATACTTTTCAAAGACATTCCTAACAAATATAAGACAACTCCTGACGAATATGCTAAAGAAGTTGAAAATGACGACTAAGCATTTCTATACCATGCGTAAACTGTCATGTAAGGTGGCATGTATTCTTTACTTTGCCCGTTGTTTGCGTATATCCTGTACGCGAAGAATGCGTGTGTATGGTTTCCTCCCCTCAGTGTTACTCCAGTAACAATTATAGCAACTTAACGGTTGTCTTAACATCATATCCTTTACTTTTGTCATTGCTGACCAACCCAATATCTATGCTTATGCCAACCTGCTTGAGATGTACTTAAATTCTATGTAGTGACTGTGTGCAGGTAAATTTTCACCTGAATCGTTTTACTTCCACCTGTTTCCTTTGAAGAGTTGCACAATACAAAAACCTGTCGACTATTTGAGTCCAAAGTTACCAAAACCAATACTACTTTCTGGTTGGTAGATTCATTGACGTATAAATGAGCCTATAGGATATAATGTTTGAAGTATTTCTGTCTTTAATGTTTGAAGCTCTGTTTTGTCTGCTTTCTTGTCATATAAATCTTGAGCAGTGAATTTAATATTATGTTCATCCCCATGACATAAACATCTTTTACATCTAAATGTTTCTCATCGTCGTTATGTCGTCATCCGATGTTAAACCTTGTGGAAAGTTAGGAGGTTTACAATATAATGCATCCCCACCAGTTTCTTCAACCGTTCCTTCAATATTTCTATACCAACAGTTTGTGAAGAAACTATGTGTATGGTTCTTGTCTGCTTTCTTTTCAAGGCAACGTTTAAGTCTGTTATTTCAGAAGATGTATGTGTATGTCCAACGGCACTTTTACTGTTTAAGGTTTCTTGTAAGTTTGTAATATCAGATATAGAATGTATTATTGAGTCTTTTTAGAATATTCGTTTCAGCTCTTGTCACTTCACTTGACATTTTATTGTCAACATATGTTTTGTCTGCTAGTTCAGGATGAGTATGTTCTTTTGTTGCATAAGCATTGTTAGCTTTTCTTCTTCTTTTGCTATTGCATCGTCTACATATTCTTTGTCAGCTTTTGTTGTCAACATCTGCTTTCAAAAGAAGTTCATTTTAGGTTTCTCGTTTAAAGTTCCTTTGTTGGATTTATACAGACAGTATGGTTCTTATTGTCTTGAAACAGAAAACTCATCTGTCATTGGTTAATGTCAGTTTTAAGTCACCCCTTTCAATGACTCAGATATCTAGAATAGTTTGAAAAGTTTTGTTGTGTTCTTATTTAGAGCTTGCATAATGAGTTGTCGGTTGTGTTGTATTTCTCTTATGGAAGCAATATCTTTCGACATTTTTATTTAGATAAAATATGCTTCCAATAGAAAAAGAAAATTCTAGAGTTTGCTACAACTAAACCATTAGATGAACTTTTTACTAATGTCGGCAAAAGTTTGAGACAGATACCGTAAAGCAATGAAGCTATCGTTTTGACTACCCATTAAGATGGTTTAAGAGACCCATCTGTCACAAAAGCTATTGGCTTTCGTAGAATGAAGTTCATTTCAGAAGCCATACATGGTTTCCCATTTACGTCGGTTTTGAAGTTCGATACTATAACAAAGAAAAACGTATGTATGAGAAATTTGAACAGGGAACTTTTACAAGTTAGTTTGCTTGTAAACTTAGAAACAACTCTTCAAGCTTTTCAAGAAAAAATAAACGATATCTATATTGAATATGCAAACCAGTATAACATTGACGAAGGAGAATACCATCTCGATATTATTTATGACAGGAAAATGCAACTGTTAAAATCAATAGAATAGAAGACCTTGGAGAAAACGTTTATATTTCTACAAAATATAACAACTTGGCATGGTATAGATTTATGAGGATGTTAAATCAGCCTGCAGCATATCCAGTACACCCGGACTATTTATGAAGTCGAAACCCTAATGGAACATATGAAAAATATTTTCGACCAAGATGCTATTATTGTTCATGCTTCATTTTCTGGCGCTCAAAACTCTTTCTTATGCTTGGCAAATGACTTTTACGAAAAACCTACAAAGTTATACGAACACCAAGTGGAAGTATTTCAGACTTTCAAGTATGGTTTACTACAGATGGAAGAAAAAGAATAATTCCATTATACCATGCGTTTTACTTAGAACTTAGTTTCATATACAACTACTATCGAACGTAAAAATATAATTTTTTAATACGGTTGAGGTGTTGGATTTGTTGCCAACTAGACTGTGGTGCAGGTTCAGGCTGTTGTATAACAGGAGCTTGTTCTTCTGGTTCAGGGCTTTTAGGTATAATACCAACGAACTGACCTACTCTTTTACAATATTTTGACTCCGTTCCAAATTCCTCTTCCTACGGTTTTTATTCCATTCCATATACCTCTTCCACATTTCGAAAGAAGTTTCCTATCTTACTGAAGAAACCCATTTTACTATATGTAAAATCTAATGTCCGCCTAGTCTCTTACGTTTCCTGTTGAGTTCCATAGCATTCTTTAACTGGAGCTCATACATTCTGTTTCTCCTCTGGTAGAAAACATATTCTGGGTCAACTCCTGTGTTCGCGTCATCTGCATAAAGTTGTTTATATCCACTTCAGGGTTTGTATAAAACTCTTTCCATCTCATATTTGCATACATGGTGGCAAACCTAACGCAGCGTCATTTGACATGGCAGTTTGCATTTGTACATCTGTTGGCACTTGACCATAGTTTGCCATTGCAGTTTGTATTCTAACTTCATTTGGAATATTCTCTGGGTTTGGTTGTCCAGGTTGCTGTGCATTCGCTAAGTTCTGTGCGTCCATTTAATATTAGATAAAAATATCTCTTACGAGTACATATACTGAACATTTGCAGCATTGGTTCATTTCTATTCTCTGTACTTTTCTGCCACGTCAAATAAATAAATGACACAATGGAAAAACCTAAAACTAACAATCCGATTTCAAACCACATTTACTTACTAATAAATTCTTTATTGTGACACTTTCTCCAGTTTATAGGACCTCTCTCATATTCTATCTTGTCATATATAAACTCATAGTCATGTATGTCCTCTAACCATCTCATAACGGTTTCCAAACCACTTTTATCGGATGTAAAGTAAAAGCATGGATGGTTATGTATAACGTCTAAAGTTTCTAAAGAGTCTCTCAAAGTCCAGTCTACTTGGTATTGAAAATCCCATGGTATAGAACGGCGGGTCCACTATAAAGAAAACATTTTCCTTGTCTTTATATTTTTCATACAACTCTGTCCAATGACATCTCACAAACTCTATACCCTCAATATATTTTTCTATGTCCTCTTTGAAAACATTTGTATAGTTAAGATTAAAAACTTTTGACATAAGTGTTTCAATGTCATGAACTCTTATAGCACCACTATATAATAGTCTAGCAGATATACTATTCCAGTCTATATATTCTGCTTTTTTCAAAACCTCTCTCACAATTTATTTTCTTATCTAATGGTATACGTTCCATCTTACCTATAGGTATCTTTTTCTTTAACTCTTTCAAATATATTGTTTGTGTCTGGAATATGTTTGAGACGGTTCATATAGTTGTCGAAGTCATTGCATATAATCTTTGAGTCAGGAATACGGTATGACATAAATGAGATATATAGAAACTTCCACCGAACAAATCTACAAATGTTAGACCATTCGGTAGTTTCTTAAGTTTCTCTCAATATAATTCTTTACATCTACTCTTATTTCCAAAGAACGGTAACGGTGGTTTTGTAAAATTCATTTATATATAATAATAAAATGTTTTTACCCGAAAAGTGACAGAAAAGTGACAAAGCATGAAAACATATATATTTGTGAAAAGTGAAACATTTATATAATGTTTTCGACCCAGAAGAAGGCTTCTTCCCAGAAGCAATGGAGGAAGAAGAAGAGTCCTCCGAATTCACACCAGAAGACTAACAATTTTCCGAATAAAAACTTCATTTATACTAAACATCTTCGGGGCTAGAGGGCGCAACGCGCCTGGAAGCCCCACTTACCTGACCTGATTCGAAGTTAAGCAAAGTTCTGTTATATCTACAAGTAACTTCTTCCATAATTCTCTTACTTTCGGAGATCAAAAATTTTTAGTTGCATATTCCCCATTATACATGGAATGGTGCTTTTTCGCAGAGAATACCAATGCAAAGCTCCAATTCTCTAGTACCTTAACTTTAGCTGACTGTTATTTTGATACGTTTGTTTTTGATGGAAACGCTGCATCGTTAACAACAACAAGATGCGACACAGCTACACAAGTTATCCCTACAAACTTTCCCGTATTCCAAATCGGTTCATGTTCGATTTCATTATATTCCGGAACAATGAGTTATATTACTGATGCTCCTCCTATAACACCTGCTCAAACTATGTTTGTTACACCCCATTCGACACCATTTTCAACAGCCCATTCTACACCTGCATCAACAATGCATTCGACTCCACATTCCACTCCTCATTCTACAGCTCATTCTACTCCACATTCCACAGCCCACAGTACTCCAGCATCGACAGTGCATTCAACGCCGCATTCAACGCCACATTCAACAGCTCATTCTACACCACATTCTACTCCTCATTCGTCACCTTATGGCGAATTACCACGTACACCAGTCGAAACAGTTGCTCCGCCACGAACTGTTCAAGAAACACCACAAGAAACAACTAATGCTGTTGTAGTTATTATTCCAACTCCTTCTCCATCGATAGATAATGCAAATTTACTTTTTGAAACTCCTGGAGGAAAGATAAATACATTATCATGGCTAGTTGTAACAGCATTATCAGCAGCTGTTGTAGGCATCATTGTTACTGTTGTTATTTGCCTGAAAAGGAAGCCAAAGGTCGTTATACAGAAGATAGAGCCTAAATCAGATGAATCAACAATTTACGAATATTCAGAATCAGTTCAAGAAGAAGAGGAAGCACCTGAAGAAGATGTCCTTGAAATATTCTCTCTCAACGAAGAGATAAAACCAACAAAAGAAAAACAAAGAGAAGTTTATAAAGGTGTTTATGAACATGATAATACAGATTTCGTTCTTTCTGATACCGAAGACGAAGTCGATTTAATGCAGCAGATAGATGCAATGCAAACAAAGGTATCAACTGTACTTATTTTATAATTTTTTTAATTATAAACTGTTTGTATTTAGTACGCGAAAAACGCGAAACTCTAATTACCTAAATTAATTTTTCTCTCGAGTACCAGAAATAAGTAATAGGCAGTGATTTTGATAACATAAAGTTTTATAAAGTTTTTGTAATAGAATAGCATTAACTTTGATGATTTAAATTCAGCGATGATATTGATTGAAAAAATCTTCATAAGTTGAGTATATTGTAAGCCAATACTGCGATTCTAAAGATTTTTTGTTTTGCTGATTATCACCTTGATAAATTTTCGATTTTGGTGACATTCACTGAATAATGAAAAAAATTATTATTATGAAGGGTCATTTGATAGTTGGAATTCATCAGCTATGTGCACGAATAGGAAATCATGATAGGAATTAAACTATTCTGGTTGGGTGCTCTTAATTTCAGTTTTATATGCCCCTCTTGCCGTTCACTTCTGGAAAAATTTTTTGTCAAGTTTACGTAATTTCTCAAAATTCCAGTTTGATCATTTTTACGAAGACAGAAATTAAACTCATCATAAATTTGTTTCGTAGTAACGTGTTCTCTATTTTATTTTTATTGAGTCAAAAATTTTTTTGAAATAATTTGTCAAAAATTTTTCAGGCAGAATTTATCTAAACAAATTTCATTTTACATTTAGATGTACAATATTCCTTATGACGAATTCGCTAAAACACTTGACTTTCATATCCCAGAACAAGTTAGATTATTATCAAAAGACTTAGCTATAAAATTGTTTCATGAATTCACGAACTATGAAAGCTCAAGCGAAGTTATTGACGGGTCTTCAATAACATTAGATAAGATACCAATATTTGCAGTATATCACAATCTGAATCAGTATAAATGTTTGCCCTATTATACACATCTCTATCCATCATGGTATTGCATTCTGAAACGTAATGATCTCGAGAGTAGAGATTGGATCAAGCATATTGAAGACTTTAAGATCATGATTCAAAATGGATTTAGAGCTGATAAAACCTTTCATGCATCTCAAATCAACGAATTTATTAAGTTCTTAGAAGGATACAAGGATAAGTTCAATGATGTAGTTGTATTTCTCGAAAATATTGAAAATAATGATCAAACCAACTTAGGAACTTCAAAATTGAAGTGTTTAATCAAGAAGAGAGCTGGAATTATGCCAAATACATCATGTTGCTTTGGCCAGAACTACATTTCAATGCTTGCACAGTTCCTTTTAGAAGAAATTAAAGTTGATAAGAAAGAATCCTCAGTAGTAACACAAGTTGATGGCGTAACAATGATAAATGTCAAGAATTGTTACAAAGGAACCGAGATACAGTATCTATTGACATCAATTTGCTATTCATTACTGTTATACAAACCAGTTTTGGCCCAATTTCTCTATGATTTCCTTTGCTTTTGTATAGGAGCACAGTATGAAGAGAATTATAGAGTAAGAGCTCTTGGAAATTTACTTAATAGAGAAAGATCAGAAGGAACAATCTTATTCTACGAATTGTTCAATGACAAATACAATACAGAAGACATTTTTATGGATTCCAAGGCATTAATGACAGATTTTTTGGACTATCTCAAAGAAACACAACCAAACTTCATTACTTCATCAGTTGGAGATGTAACTTACACAGGAATGATCAACAACAAGTTGTTTATGGCATCACAGTACATTAATATCCCTTATGTTTATGAACCTGATTATGATAGTTACAGATCAATAGTTAAGAAGCAATTAGAAGAGTATACAAATTCTAGAAACAAAATTGAAAAGGAATTAGAACGTCTATTTTACGAAAGAAAAGAAATTCACAATTTAATTGTATCAAAACTTGATAAGAAACCACTTAGTTTGTATTTTAACATAAAACAACAACCAGGTCACTACATGAAATTATGCAAATCCGATGAATTGTTGATCCAAGAAAATAATTTTGTTGATCAAGAGATATCTCAACAGATTGAGAAGAATTATAAAGAGTTTACACGGTTAATGGATGAATACAACAATATATCAGATGTTGAACTCGATAAACTCATGAATCAAATTGAGATTCCTCCAGAAAACGTCACCAGCAAGATGGCATTCCTTAACTCACACAAGATAGAATATTTACCTATCTTCAGATGTGGATTTGTCCATATTGGAAACAGTCAAATTCTTTTAGATAATAACAACCAAAAAACTCTCATGATATGTGACTACAAATATGGACCTACTTCGACACATACATATGTTAAGGCCGCATTCAAGAATTTTGAAAACAATCATCTGAAATTCCCTATGGTTGTTACAAGGATGCGTAGTATAGATAGTGTTGTAGAATTTACCGAATAAATATATTGTTTTAATAATTCTTATATATTATGTTTTGAAACACACAATTTTTCTGATTAATCAAAGTTATCTACTTAGAATTTGCTTGTGTTGCTTAATGAATTCCTTAATTAATTATATGTGTATATAAAATGAATGAATATTATTACAATATCTTTTATAAATACATTAGAATAAATACAGCAGTGCTTTGTAAGAATGTAAATGTATATATGCCTTGCATCTTGCATGTGAGCTCGTAGTTTGAACAAACTTCAATAAAAGAGATCGAAGGTATGTCTTTTTCAATAAACATGTTTCTCTTGTTCTTCATACATTGAACACTCCCGCACTTGCGAAGTTTCGGACATCCATCGAATGCATGATCACCAATCGTTGTGAGGCTCGACGATGACACGTATAGGAATGAGAGGCTGACGCAGTTAGTGAGCGACATGAAACCGATAGTTGTGAGAGTGTCGCCGTTGCATATAACACGGATGAGATTTCGGCTTCCCATGAATGCATATTGACCAATTGTTTTCATCGTTGAAGGAACAATGAAAGTCGTGATCTTGCTTGATGGGATGAAAACGATGAGATTAGATTCATCAGCATCCATGAGTGCGCCGTTCCTGAACGTGTGTGAAGCACTGTTGCAGATGATGCTCTCAAGAAGATCACAGTCTGCAAATGCGCCTCCAAAAACTTCTCTGAGAACACTTCCTTGACTGAGTGTGACAGAGCTCAGAGAAGAACATCCTTGGAATGCGAAAGAGTTGATCGTTGTAGTTGTACTCGGGATTGTGAAAGATTCGAGTTTTGTGCATCCCTTGAAGCATGTGCTAGATAGTGTGACGATGCCTTCATGAAGAGTGAGACTGACAAGATTTGTGCAGTTATGGAAACATCCATCTGGAATGTTGTTTGAACAGATAGAAACACGAGAAACTGAACTAGACTCAAATGAGTTCAATAGTAGTTCTGACAGACAATTAGAAGATTCAAATGTAGTGAGTCCACTAAAACTGAATGAATATCTTCCGATCTTCGATACTTGCGTATCACGAATTCCGATATCACCAATCGAAACGCAGTTATAGAATGAATAACTTCCAATAGATGTTATCGAAGAAAGGAGAACGATGTCAGTAAGTTTTGTACAATCACGGAAGCAGTCATCAGGAATCGATTTGATTGATGTCCCACTGAATGATGCAGTTGTCAAGAGCGAACATGACATGAAGCATCCATTACCGAGTGTTTGAAGACTCGATGGGAAGTATATCTCAACAATTTTTGATTGACTAAATGCTGTCTCGTTGATGCTGATAACACTACTACCTGCAAATGTGACTTTCTTGAGATCTTTCTTCCAGAATGTGTTCTTTCCGATTGAAACACATTCGATTGGAATTGTCAAAGCAGTATTAATGTCTGTTCCAAAACTCTCTGTGAGGAAACTCTTGTTATTCGAGAATAGCATATGATTCACATACAAAAAATTATCATTACTATCTGTATCAATTTCAAGATTGCAGCTTTTAAACACGGACTGTCCTATTTCTCTCAAAGCTGGCGGAAAAACCAACTTTTTCAAACTAATACATGATTGAAAAGCATAATCGTCAATGATTTCTAGTTTGGATGGAAATGTTATATTATCAAGTGCATAACAACCATTAAATGCATATGATTCGATTGATTTAATGCTTTCAGAAAGGTTAACTGATTTTAATAAGCGACAGGTAGAAAAGAAGCTTAATGGTACTCTAGTAATTCCAGATGAAAATTCAAAATTAACAATATTAGTATCGCCAAAGCAGAAATTATTCATTTCAATTGAATGATTAGGAAAAATAATATTTGTTATTGGAACTCCTCTAAAGCATTGACCAAATAATTTAGTAACAAATGATGGAACTGTATATTCACCACTAAAATATGCAGAAACAATATAAATTGTCGCATTGTTGTCTTTATATATTGTTTTGCCGTCAGTTTTAAGAACTTGATTTCGAGGATCAATTATTATGTTTTCTAATTTACAATATAAAAACGGTGAAGTATCCATTGATGTCAAATATTGAGGAATGAAAATACTTTTAATCATGGAACCAGAAAAAGCTGCCGAGATAATTTGCCTAAGCATGGAATCTTCAGAAATAATAATTTCAGATAGTGCATTTCCAAATGTAGCATCATCAATATTTGTGCTGCCGTAAATAATTTCAACAGTATTAGGAAGAGTTAGTGTAAAAAGATTGGTGTTTTTATAAAATACACCTGCTTCAATCCGAGTGATTCTTGGAGGCATTTTGATCGATATAAGTTTGGAACATCTCGAGAATAAGGAATTGTTCAGACTTTTTAGTTCTGTACATTGTTCCATGTCAACAGTCTCAAGAGAAGAACTGGAAAAACAGAACTTGCAAATTGATCTGACTTTGCTTGAAATATCAAATCGGATCGATGTGAGTTTAGAACGACATTCTTTGAAAGGACTCTCATCAAGTGTGTTGCCACCTGAGATCTCAACAACTGAACTTCTGATAACATACTCACCACTTAAAGATGGAGGTGCATGGATTAATCGATCGAAATTATCAGAGAATGTAACACCTCGAACATCTCCTGCAACACATAATAGAAAATAAATCAATGATAATATGCTTTAATGATTAATTATATAATTGGATAAGCATAAACATCAATTAATACTTTCGCAAGTTCTTATAATTTGATCTTTTTTGACATAAGTTATCGTTTTTTCATTCAAAAAAATGTCATGTTTTCTTGAATTTTCAATTCTTATCGTACTAATCGATTATATCATTTTATGCAGTCAGTACTCATTTGTATTTAGTAGTATCGAGAATTTTAATCAAATATATTCAAATTTATCAAAGATGATGGTAATATTTAAAAATTAGTCATATTTTGCATAATTCTAAGTAGATTTTGTAAAAAATCAAGAAAGAAAAATTTTAACGTGCTTTATTTTTCTTTTTTATAATAATACATATTATTATATAATTAACATATTCATAATGTTTCACCCTTTCAAAAATATAATCCTCCTCCTCTCAAATAAACGTACATACGGGTGGCCTCTTTTTTCAAAAAATTAAAATTTGAAATTTTGGGCTCAAATATTAGAGATTTTTCAACCTTCAACGATATATGTTGTCTATATCAGACCTCCTTTCTTTATGATACTTAACATTGTTCCTAAATCTTAGCCGTTAAGGCTGTTCTGAAAATATTTTTTTTTCGAAAAAATTCGAAAAAAATTCTTAAAATTCAAAAATCCCTTAATTCCTGAGGATTTTGGAAAAAAGTTTTTACATGAACATGTGTATATTATATGAAGTATATTGATAAGGTAAAAATCAAATTTTATTGCATATTCATCGAGAAAATAAACTAACGAATCCCTCAAAATTGAGAGGGTAATCCTCCTCCTCTCAAATAAACGTACATACGGGTGCACCCTTAAATTTTGACATATTTGAAAAGCATAACCCCCGATGCTTTCAAGTTTAGATGGTAATATTTAATTGCTAAGTTGTAAACATGAATTAAATGCATATGATTCTATTGACATAATGTTATCTGAAAGATTAACTGATTTTAATAAGTGGCAATCAGAATAGAAGCTTGATGGCACTCTAGTGATTCCAGGTGGGATTTCAATTTATTCAATTCATAGGAACTCCTCTAAAGTATGCTCCAAATAATTTATTAACAAATGATGGTACTGTATATTCACCACTAAAATATGCAGAAACAATATAAATTGTCGCATTGTTGTCTTTATATATTGTTTTGCCGTCAGTTTTAAGAACTTGATATTTTCTTATTTACAATATAAAAATGGTGAAGAATCCATTGATGTCAAATGCTGAGGAATGAAAATACTTTTAATCTTTGAACCATAAAATGCAGATGAAATAATTTCCTTTAACATTGAATCTTCATGAATAATCTCTTTGGTGTATCAAAATTCATTTTTTTTTTGAATTGAAATAAAAAGTTGACAAAATTTTCAATGAATATTCAAAAATCATTAAATTTCCAAAACTTCGATGGGTTTTCTTTTATACTATTTGAATGTTTTAGCAATTGTACTTCTCCTAGCTGCTATATTTAGAAAGGTAGTTATCATTTTCTTTCCCAGATCAGAGAGATTCTTTAATATGTTATGCAATACAAATAATGAAGAATACATTAATTCATTCCTTTCTCAACAGCCAATAATTTCTTATTTTGAAATAGAACGAGATCAAAGTAATGAAGAAGAGGTAAAAAGGAGATACAATTTTAGTTACGGATCATGGGAATTGCAACCTTTAAATCTTTCATACAATCAAAATGAAATAGCCATATATCTATTGAAACAAAAATACGTATTAAATAATGATGCCAATGAACATTTCCAAAATTCGGTTCAAGAGTTAAATCAGGAAATACAATACAGAAGACTTAATTTTTAATGTGAGCTTGTATATGATAGCCCTGATACACGTTTGGTTTGCATTAACAAAAAAAATTCAAATTTTTTCAAATTTATTACTGGGAAAAAAGGTCAATATTTATATATATTCCTTTTCATAATTGGATTACATTGGCTTTATGAAAAGTTAATTTTTAAACTAGCTGATAAATATATGGAAATTCCGATTAAAAAAACTATCTCATTAGATGAAGAAGAGTTTGAATTTAAATACGACCGAAATGAACCTGGAATAGATGAACTACAACGTAGACCGAAAAATGAAAACTTTAGTATCATACTTGACAAGTATTTGAAAAAAGTATTTCAATTCATTGCTATTCAAGGCATTAATAATGCATTGAGTTATGTATATAATATTTTTCCAAAATATCCTGATCTTATATTATTTTTTATTATTATTATCTTTCAGATGTTTGTGAGCCTATACCCTTTTTTCTCAGAATGTTTCCCACTCCCAATATTAGTAGCTAGATTATAAATATTGTTCGCATCTCTTTTATCGTTTTTTTGATGATGCACAATATTCGCTTACCTAATTAAGAATTCTTTTAATGCCGAACAGCATTTGAATCAAAAATAATCGTATGTCTGAGAATGATGCACGTTAAGTATAAAGTGCAACCTAACTATGGATCTGATATCTACATCAGGTAACAATTCTAAAAATCATAAAGAGAAAGCTTAGATCACATTTTTTTGTGAGTGAGGTCACTTTGTTCTCTTGAATTTCCGGCACTTTTTTGGTACCTTCTAAAAAAGTATCAATATAACTGCCTACTTAACCATTTTCAACATTTTTTTGATGGTCATAGATGGAAAACATATTGGATTTTATGATGATGTACTTTTTATGAAATTTTAGGATATGAGATAAATTATCAATTCGATCATATCATCAAGTTTTTGTTTTTATATAAAAAATATATATTGTTATCATATATACATTCAAAAACATTAAGGATGCACTTACGCCCATCTGACTTTAATTTAAATTTCTGACAATTGTCATGAAGAGTCGTTGAAAATCAACCCTAAACAATAGAATTGAAGGCCGTATCATACTGGCTTAAAGTGACCCTTTTTTTCGTACTATATCTCAAATTTTGATTTCTTTTTCGTCTTTTTTTATGTGATTGGTCAACATAAGGTGGGATTGAACATATGATCAGAACTCGTTCTTGTGATGATCATATTATGCAATGGGCATATTAGTAAAGTTATAAAAAAATCAATATTAAGTATTTAACCATAGATTGATTTTTATACTTATAACTCTGATGTATGTATTCCATTAGGAATAATTAGCGCCCTTCGGACGCCAATTTTTGCCAGAAACTTTATGAGAGTTGCCAAAATGACTCCAGAATTGTCCAATCTGCATCCTTTGACCATTTAAACCTTTAGCCTTATGTATTGGAATGACCAATTTAGATAAGGAGAAATGTATAAAAAAAAGTCATCGTAGGGTTAAAAAGTGACTTGCCTAATATAAAAGTGACAAATAAATTTTTTTAAACAATGGATCCAGATCAAATTGCTGAATTTGAGGACAATATTGAGAAATTAGGTAATACAACAAAGGTCATAGATGACATTAAATCCCATGCTATGTACCAATCACTAAATACCATCTTTAGCTCTGTTTTTTCCATTGAAATTACAATATCTGGGTTTGATTCATTTACTAAGCAAAGTACGAAGGAATTTACTCTTAAGAACATTGCGTACTGGCTGAAATTCAATTGGAACGCATTGTCAGAAGAGCAAAATACAATTAACTTAGTTCGTGATTTTCTCTTTACTTTTTGCGTACAAAACTTCAGCAAATATCCATTAGAGATTCAAACATTAATGGGCTACGCTCAAGCAGCCTTCGCTCATAGAGTTTTTCCTGATCATTGGCCAAATTTTTTCCAAGAAACATTTTTTGATGATGCACATATCTCTCAAGCTCTTCTGTTCATCATTGGTATGTGCTTATTACTCGAAGATACCAAGTTAATCAACTTTACAGAAAATGTTACTTATATTCAACAATTACACGGATATCAGATCGTTGATTTATTCAATAACATCATATTCAGTAGCATGGATGCAGGAAATCCACTTTCTTACATCGCTTTGGGTCACTTTTCAATCGCTTTTTCAAATGAATGGGTTAATGACGATAATTTACGTAATAACTTCTTCAATGGTCTCCAGAGTCATCCAGAGCAGACCCTCGAAGGAATAAATCTCGTTCTACAGTCTCCTTTATCGGATGACGAAAAATATAACTTCGTCAACACCGTAGATATATTCGAAGTATTACTTTCATTGAACCAGGTCGAACAATTAATCCCTGGAGCCAAAATTATGTTAATAATTTTCCAAATTTTCCAAAATGACAAAAATATCTACGAAACATTGTTCGAATTAGCAATGCTATACTTCAAATACAACAATCCATCCATTATTATATCAGTTTCTCCAATATTAAACGAAATTGTAATAAGATTTAGTAATAATTCAAAGGAAATCTGCTTGGCTGCACTCCAAAGCCTGTATGAATTCAATCGCGATGCTCCTTATATCAGTCCGCCCCAACATATCTGTTCATTGATGAAAATAATCGAAACTTCCTGCGAAAGGAACTTTGAACTCGCTACAGAAGCTCTACAAGATTTTATTGGCTCAGTAAATACTGAAGATCCAGCCGCACAAACGACAATTCTTCAATTTATCATGATATTCAGAACAAAATGCTTGAGAATTGTCAACAAGATATCGGATACACAAAACTTGCATCCTTCCTTAGAATTATTAAACCGCTTCTCAGATATCCTTGAGAATTTCACATATATCGCAAACCCAGAAAATTGGTCGGATGGATTTTTACCCACACAATTACCCCTTATCATCTCCTATTCAAATTCCCTTTTCCCGAGGTCACCAGATACAAAAAGCCCAGATATTTGTGTTGCACTTCAAACAGTAGCAGGTATTATTTCATTCCTTCCTGAAGATAGTGAAGCCAGGTTGGCTATTTTGAATTTGATGCAATTTTACTGTAATTCTCAAGTTTTTAATAAGAATACATTCAATATTGAACAGATATCAGCTGAGTTCATTGCTGGTTTTCTTTCTTTGAACAATTCTGTTGCTTGTGGAATTGCTGGTCGAATTTTCGATAGATACGAACCGAGTATCAAAGAATCCATATATGAGAGCCTCTTGCAAGTCATTTTCTCCATGATTCAAGAATCAGGAGCAATGCGCCGCAATACTTTTTATAATATTTCGAAATTCTTCTCTTCCCAAGAGCATCCGATCATTACAGATGATGTAATGCATATTATATCCACCATATTTACCGAATTCCCTTACGATGATCAACTCCTTGGTACCTATCTCAATATTTTAGTACTTTCCGGGCCAAGATTCGTTGAACTGTTCGAGCAAGCCTTCTCATTGAATGGCGACATATCAGTTCTATCCGGCCTATCATGCCTAGCAAGGCGTGCTATCTCAGATGGCCCAGTTGAATACAAATCAGATGAAATGAAGGTAATGATCTTTGACAAACTCTTTAATCAAGCTCAAACCCTTCTCAACCAATTAATACAGTTCAACTATACAACAATGAACCTCCAGCTCTTCACAAAAGGCTTTTCTGATTTTATTAACTTCGCAAAGAACATTTACCTCACAATTCCTCAAGAACAGTTCGAAGGATTCATCCAGTTCATCACTACTTACATGTCCTTCTTCCCTTCTTTCGATTCCGTTTATATCGAAATCATAGATTTCATGAACAAGCTTCTTTCCCATCCAAGAGAAGGTTTCGCTGTTCAGGCATTGTTCCCGTACTTGCATTCATATCTGTTCGCTGATAGATATGACATGATTAACCAATACAAGACATTAATGCCGTATTTCTGCAGAAAAATACCAAATTTCGCAGAGCTATGCGCAGAAGTAATCGCTCCTCTTGCTGCTGGCCAAGAATTAGTTCAGAATTTCGTAAATTGCTTCCAAAATAATGAAAATTTGAAGAGTTTACCAGCAATCTTACAACAACTTAGAAGCATCAAATACAACTTCCTTAGACCAAAAGAATAAATCATTTTTTTGTACGTTTTATTTTTTATAAATTAATTTTTTTTTTCCACTCATGGGTTATATACATATATGGTCTAGGTCTTCGATCCGCAATGTCTTCACCCCCAAATTTATATTAAAAAGTATGTTATTATATGGGAAAAGTTTGAGATTTCGAACTCAAAATGAAGAATCGGGTGATTTTGGATTCTTTCGCTTTGAGGTGCACTTCGCGCCCTCCCAAAGCGATAAAAGGTCGAAAATGCTTATCAAATAAAATCTGATACATTCTTTCGAAATTGTAAGGCCTAGCGATCACAAATTAACATAAATCACTCAACCGAATCAATTGATTCAATTCTGTATTATATTATTGGTTTATAATATGAAAATTTGATAAAAAGTCAAAAAATAAGCGATATCAAAGATTACTGTATGAATGTACTATTTATTTTCCCTTTTCTGATTAATTACGAATTACTGAAATGTTTTTATTTGTTAGTTTCTGATATAAATTTTAAAAATCTCTCTATTTTCTTAAGTTCTAATTATAATTTGTAATCTTTTATTTCATAGATCTAAATTTTTAATAAAATAACAAAATTCAAGTTCATCATAACAGACTTGTCGAGGGAATATTGTTTGCAAATTAATATAATTGATAAGGTTTTACAAAAAGTGCACAGCATATTAAAAAATATTTAATTAATTTTAAATTTCTAAAATTTTTCTTCAATATAATTTAGCACCATGTGAAAGAAGAAAATCTTCCATATTTCCCAGGTTATAGTATAATGCGATATCAAGAGCTGTTATTCTGTTTTTATCTTTTTCATTGACATTTGCACCATTTGAAATAAGAAGTTCGGTTGTTTCTTGGTTATGCTTGAATACAGAATAATGAAGAGGAGTTCTTCCCTTTTCATCTTTTTCATTGATATTTGTACCATGTAAAATAAGAAATTCGGCGATTTCTTTACGATTATTATATGTTGCAATATGAAGTGCGGTTTGTCCATTTTTATCTTTTTCATTGACATTTGCACCATTTGAAATAAGAGATTCGACTGTTTCTTTGTGATTATATTCTGCGGCATAATGAAGAGGAGTTTTTCTGTTTGCGTCTTTTTCATTGATAGTTACTCCGTGTGAAAGATGAAGCCCAATTGTTTCAACACAATTTCTAATTGCTGCAAAAGAAAGAGCCGTTAATCCATTTTTCACTGATTCATATATCTTTGCACCCTGCGAAAGGAGGAATTCGACTGTATCTTTACTATCTTTATATGCAGCATAATGAAGGATTGTGAATCCATGTTTATCCTTTTCATTGATATTTGCACCACATGAAATAAGAAGTTCGACAGTTTCTTTGCTATTATTTTCTGCTGCCATATGGAGGACAGTTTCTTCATTTTCATCTTTTGCATTGATATTTACACCATGCGAAAGAAGAAATTCGGCCGCTTCTTTACAATTATTAATAGCTGCAATATGAAGAGCGGTTTTTCCATGTTCACCTTTTTCATTGATATCTGTACCAAGAGAAAGAAAATATTCACAAAGGGATGGAATATCAAAAATCGGTGAATGAACAAAGCATTTGTTAATATCATTAGTTTGATCGAAATATACTAAAAATGCTTCAAGATTATTATATGTTGCACAACAATCTAAATTTATCTCTAAATTGTGTTCGTTCATTAAGAATGTAACAAATCAATGTTATGTGAAATGATTGCAAAATCCATGCAATCATTATTTGGGTTTTGATATTTCAAACATTCACTCATGATCTCATGATTTCTACCTAAAAATGAAAATTCTAGACATGTTTCGGTTATTTCTGACCTAAATTTAGTTCTTAATAATTTGAAACAGTCAACTGCTCCGTAGTAACAACATAATTCAAGTAATGAATATTCATAGTCGATATATGGTAATAATTCGCTTTTAATTTTTTGATCTTTATCAAAACCTTCTTTTTCCGCGTGGAAGATGAATCTATCTTTATCATTATCCATAATTGCCCTGTAAATTGTATTTTCTGCCAGAATATCTAGATTTTCAGATTCCATTGATTTGAAATCATCAAATTTGTATAATTTGATTCCATATTCTTTATAAAACAGATAATTGGAAATGGTTGGAATCGTTTGGATATCTGTTACATGATAATCATCAGATATGAGTTTTGCAAGAGCTAAATATGACTTGGTAGAGCGGTTGTTATGCGGAATAATCTGTAAAATATCTCTTATAATATTTTTGGGAGATGCTTATTTGATTCAATCAGTTCTGTTTTGATCATTTTGTAAATCGAGTTTAATTCCTCTTCGTTTTTGGTATTTAATTGATACAACATATTGTACAAGTCGATGTGATGTTTATGTATACTTCTCAGTTCACAATATTTATTTGTATCAATGTCTTGATCAGACATCAATTTTTATAAGGGCTCGGACCGACCAATTTTCCTCCCTTTCAATGAAATATATACATGTTTAACTACTAGCTTTGCAAAAAGTCCATTAGCCTATAATATAATGCTTCTCGATGATTACATGTATAGTCTGTAAATAAGAATTTTTATTATTATAAATGATAAAAAATTAAGGCGACCCGCTCTTGAACCTTTGCCAATATGAAATTCTCCATGACAATCTTATTTTCAAGAATGAGCAGATAAGCTAAGCTGTTAATATTGGGAGTGGGAGCACTTCTAATCTAGGAGATTTGGGAAAAAACTATAATGACGAAATCGCACTTTCCGAACAATCATAATAGGGATTCCGTTTGGAGAAATAACGGTGGGGATCTCCAAAATCCAAAAAAATAGCTTCTCCGAAATTAATTCCAGAATTTATTTTGGATATAAATTCATTCAAAATTTTGACAGGGTATCAAAATTTAATTTGAACTAATTCAATACGCACACTTTTTAAATGAAATTTAAAGAGTGCTCACTTTGGATGTACAAATTAAAAATTTTAGCAGTAAACGCTGAAACTATTTTAAATTCAATGTTGTGCGAAACACTGAAAAATGGAAAAATTTTACAATTCACAAATTTTTTCGAAAAATTTATGATATTTGTAAACTATACATAAAATTATGAATCTTTTTTCATCATTCTCTCAAAATTGAATAGAAAATATTTTCCAATTGAGTTATTTGAGAGCCTCTCAAAAGAATCAATTGGAATAAATTTTTAATTTTTTTTAATGTCTGAGCAATACTTTGACTTTCATGGGATCTTCAGATACGACATAGATACATACAATGCGGTACATCAGTTGAATACTGAAAATAAAGAATAATTAAACAAAATTTACCAAATGATCAAAACAAATTTGATTGATTCACGGAGATACCGCCCAAGAAAGATTACAGAAAATATTTTGAATATTATCCCTTATAACAACCGCTATGCAGAGCAATATTTGGAACTTGCAAAACACATATATGATGAATATCGCGTTGAAGGGGTTATGTATTGTAATATATTTAATGATCTGTTTTATAAAGAATATGGGATTAAATTAAACAAATCTGCCAATTTTGAAGAAAATAACTCAGATAATCTCAATGTTCATACAGAAAATACAATTTACAGAACAATTATGTATAACGACCTAAAAATATTCATCTCATTCACAGAAAAAGAAGGTTTTGATAAAGACGAAAGACTTATAAGTAAATTATATCCACACTCTAAGAAAGGATATTCATTACTTGAATTATGTTGTTACCATGGAGCAGTTGATTGTTTCAAGTTATTAAGAACGAAATTTGACTCAAAAATAACTCAAAAATGTCTTCGATTTTCATTTTTAGGCGGAAATCCAGAGATCATGAGTGAATGTTTGAAATATCAAAAACCAAATCAAAAATGCATGAAATTTGCAATTATTTCACACAACATTGATTTTGTTACATTCTTGATGAATGAATACAATTTAGAGATTAGTTTATATGATTGTGGAACATATAATAATCTTGAATCATTTTTTGTTTATTATGCTCAAACTAATGATATTAACGAATGTTTTTATCTTTCAGCATTATATGAAATGTTACCTCTTTGTGAATACTTCATTGTACATGGTGCAAATATCCATACTAGAGATTGTTGTGGGGATAGCGCTTTTCATCAAGCAGTAAATCATAATAACAAAGAAATGGCCGAACTTCTTCTTTCTTATGGTGCAAATATCAATGCCAAAAATATTTTTGGAAATACCCCTCTTCATATGGCAGCATTAGATGATCGTAAAGAAATGGTCGAATTTCTTATTTCACATGGTGCAAATATTGATTTACAAGGTAGAGCTGGAGAAACAGCTCTTCTATATGCAGCAGCAAATAATCGTAAAGAAGTTTTAAAAGTTCTTATTTCACATGGTGCAAATATCAATAAAAAAGATTACCATGATAATACAGCACTTCAATTAGCATCATACAATGATAGTAAAGAAATGATCGAATATCTTATTTCTAATGGTGCAAATATCGGTGATAAAAATAAACATGGAAGAACTGCCCTTCATAATGCAGCCAATGAAAATCGCAAAGAAACAACCGAGATTCTTATTTCTCATGGTGCAAATGTCAATGACAAAGATATTTATGGGAATACCCCTCTTCATTTTGCCGCATGTAAAAATTGTAAAGAAACGGCTGAACTTCTTCTTTCTCATGGTGCAAATATCAGGATCAAAGATAATGACGGGAATACTGCTTTTCGTGTTGCAGCAGAAAATAATTGTAAAGAAACAGCCGAACTTCTTTTTGCATATGGAACTGGATTAAGGTTAATTTTGCCTCCAGAACCAAGAACAGCATAATTTCATAAGTCATATATGATGTATTCAAACATAAATTACTACAAGCAATTCATTTTTAGCAAAAAATATAACGAAATGTTAACATCACATATGTTATTATTTCGTCTTTACAAAAATCATTCTAGTATTAGCAGAAACGCATCATCCTTTCATATTAAGATTCTTATCCTTCTTTTTCATTTGAAATAAATATATAAAGAGATATTTAATTAAACATTGAATTTGATTCGCTTATATAATTTTACAATGCAAAAACAATTTTATTTATATGATATTAGTAACTTTATTTATTTTACATGGTGTTATCATATGAAATTTATACTTTGTTTATACTCATTTTCTATGAATAAAATCAATTATTCTTCCCAGTATGACAATTACTCTATTTCATGAACACTATCTGTTCTCACCTCAAAAATAGAGTGATAGTACTTGTTCAATTAATACATTTCAATTTCTTTTAAATTGAATTTAAAAGGAAAAGTTTATAATATTGTTGTTAGATAAACAATCGATAATAAGTTCCGGCTAGAATAGTAAAGCTACTAATGTATTAGAAATGAGTCGTAAAAGGAGGATTTTGATAATGTGAATTGATTAAAAACCAAAAAAAGTATCAGAGTTACTCCGTAAAATGCTTTATTGATTAATAAATCGTCTATTCTTATGTTACAAGATTCTATACTTTATAAATTTACCAATAGAGTAAATTACGCCCGTAAGATTTTTTTATTAATTTCCCATCAGTTTCATGTCTTCAACACAGGAATTTCCGGAAGTAAATCTCTTACTCGAAAAACTTAGGTCGAAAAATGTTAATGCAATATGGAATGAAAGCGTTGAATTGTTAGAAGAGTTTAAAATCAAATTTTCAAAATATTTCGAGAGTTATCTTCTTCAAATAGCAAACCTCATACGTGCAAAACATTTTGTTGAGCCAGTATTCAAAAATAACCTTGATGAATATATATTAACCATCGCACAAATGACTAGCAGTGAAAAACGTTTTGATAAATCATGTGATGCCAACAAGACTGATGAAAAATTCATGCAATACTTATACAGAGTATGTCAGTGTTTAAAGAGCAGTTACATAATCGATGTTTTTCTTCCATCATTTTATCAATATTTCATTTCTGATTCAAACGCAAAAGATTTTTACACATTACTCGAATACATACAAACTAAATTTGCAGATGATGAATATTGCCAAAGTTTTCTTTTAAATTCCATCATAGTTTTCATTGAATGCGACACAATTTTCATTAATTCTCTTTTTGAGAAGTTTTCTCGAAAAATTTCGAAACGCCAAGGTGAAGTAGTTTCAGATTTCTTCGATTCTTTCATCAAATCCATGCCAATGATGAGAAAATACCAATTCCAAGCTTTCGAACTTTTTTACAAAAATTATTGTGATGAAACATCATTAAACGTGCTTTTCCAGACACTCAGCAAGTCATTGTTCAAGACATGGGATTATTCAGAGTTCTCCACAGCATTCTGCAACTTTGATTCGAAGATTTTTACAATAAATAATGTTCAGAAACCAAAATTAGAGAGAAAAAGCGAAATCTCTGTTGATTTGGACTTTTCAGCACAAATTGGGAAGTTTAGATCTGATTATGATTCATCTCCAAAGTACCATCGCACTGAATTCAACATATCTGATTTCTGCCGGAAATGTTTTTGTTTTTATGTTTCTAAATACGATTTAATTCTCATGGATATAATAAATAAACAGAAAGAAGGTTTTGAACAAGAAATACAGAGTATTCCTCAGAATTATCAGTACTCAATGAAGTATTACTATGCAAACTATTCCATAATCAATGCAGCTAGTTCTGAGGAAAAGAAAAATGAAGAAAAAGATGCTGAGACGATAGAAGCAGAAGTTGCATATAAAAACTTAAAAATGAAATTTCAAGGAAAACTAAATCAAATGATTTCGAATATTCCACGCGATTCAAGTGGAAAACCAACAAAGGTAACTCTTAAGACATTGCAGCTAATCAACAAATCATATGAACGTATGGAAAAAGAATATCAAGAATTGAAGAAGAAATATTTTATTTTTCCAATTCTTGAACAACAAAAAATTGCAATTGAAAGAGAATGGTTTGATTTCACAACATACACTTTGTACAAATACGAAAAAACAACAGAAAAACTTAACTTCACTTATAGTGATAATAAACCAATTGGTGATTACATCAAACTTCATCTCAAAGAACATATAAAATCAATGGTTGATTCAAGAGTCAGGGTTCTAAAAAGTACTGTTTTTAAGACTTCATTTCTTGGAAAAGATTTCGCTACGGAAGAATTCAAGAAATTAAAGTTATTCACATTAACATCTGATTCTATTGACGGAGCGTTTGTTAATCTTGTTTCTGGAACACAGAAAGATATAATCAATGATGCAAAAGCAACTTCACATGTTTTGTCATCGATTTACAATATGATTACAATTCCACAGATTTTTGTGATGATCGACAACATCATTATTCCAAAAGAAACAAAGTTCCAAGGATCAATAGATAAAGACAGCAAATCTTTGTTTGAGAGAATGGCAAAGAAGATCATTGAAGAGGAAGCAAATACAAGCAAAGTTTACTTTGGAATGAAAATCAGAATATTCTGTAATATAATAAATGAAAGAAAGCATATGATTGCAGGAAAAAGAGAACAAACAAAACCAAATTCAAGGAAAAAACCACAAGGAGTAATGTACCAGATTTTGGATGCTGTTGATCAAATATTAAACAATCCAGCAAATTACTGCAGTTATTCACTTCTTAAACCTTGGAAAGATGCAATTGAATCTTCGCCTGATTTTGATTTTGGTGAAATATTACCCAGATTTTCCTTACTTTTACCACCCCTCTAAAGCTGGGGACACCGCCTATCGTTGGGAGTAGCTATTAAATAGAACCACCAAGGGTGTTTTTCGAACTGCCGGTGTAGTGGAAACATCCGACATAATGATTCATTATGCCAAGGTTTGATTCCCATTTAGCCATTTTTTTTCTTTTTTGGATCATGAATTTTTTTTGGGTCACTATAAGATTTGTTTCATGTTCTAAATCTGCTGCATATGTAATCTATTTTTATTTACTTATTTTTTAAAAATCTATTGGATTGCCAAATTTGAATATATTTAAAATCATAAAAATCCAATAAAACTATAAATATATGTTTTATTATGTCATTCCAAACGGGAACCGCGGTTGGTTACCATGGATTTCCGTCACCGGTCACATTTTAAAGATTTTTAAAGCCTTATAAAAATATGCTTTGTAAATCATTTTTTGTAAATCGGCAAAAATTTGGTAATTTTCTTCAACTAATAAATCTGCGAATAGCATTTATAATACAAGAACAATCTTTTAAAATGCGTTTGATTCATTTTTGTATAATTTCATATAGGCACATATATTCTTCCGGGACTTTCCGTGATTTTACCGTAAAATCATTAGTTTACACCAATTTTTCCGTATTTTGAATAGTTTACTGCACTTTTTCCGTAAAATTGAGTTACGGGAATCCGCAAAATTTCCGGACCTCATTTTTCATAGAATATAATAATAATATATGATAAAAAGATATATTATTTATATTTTTGATTTTTGAATTACGGAAAAAGTGAATTGATAACTTGATTTTTTTATATGGTTAATTTTTCAAATGATATTATGAAGATCTAAAATATTAAAAGTAAAAAATTGAATTACGGAAAAAGTGAGGTCAAAAGTGAAATAAATTTGCAGAACAATTTTCATTGAAATAAGCTTTATTTTTCATTATTAATAACAATGCTGTAATAAACAGAAATTCATCAAAAGTGACAGCTCTCAATTTTTTGACATTTGTAAATTCTAAATTGAATGAGAAAAATGAAATAATACTAAGCATAATACAATATTCTAGATTTAATTATAATTAGGAAAAAGTTAGTTTTGAGAGTACTTTTCATAGGCATATAGAATGAAATCTTCTGAAAAATAATATCATATAAACTCATATTATTTTCTAATATATAACTATTTTATATAAAAATCAAATTCAATGATCTTAAAAGCGAAGGATAAACCTCAAAATTTACGAATATAATGAGTGGGAATATAATGCTTATCTATCATAAAACCATATGAAATATCAATTTTTGCTTTACGCCTAATTTTTGACGACAATTAGCAAAAAATGTTAAATGTTAACACTCAGTCCATTTGAATATGAAAAATAAAATTGACTTTGATTAAATGTTTTTATTTATCATGCAATTCTTCTTGCGACCAAAGGTTTGAATAAAATTTCAAAAAATAAGATAGCTTAAAAAATAATATACGGTAGTGTTTACTAATAGATGAATAGTATATAAATTCTATTAAAATGGATTTGATCCAAAAAAATATATAAAATTTGATCATAAATAAAATCGTTTTAAATTACTTCTTCATTTAAATTATAACAATTATTTTTGGTTTTATAGTTTTTAAAGCTCATGTGGTTTTTTTAACCACAGAATACTTATGTGCTGCCAATCCAAAGCTCACGTTAGACAACAAGAGTCATGAAGTCTCATACTAAGGGATATCCAACATATATTTTAATAATCTAATGTTTGTGACAAATATTCAACATAAAATTAAGTTTTCGTTTCGTTACAAGGCATTCATACTTTGGAGATATCATATTTAATGTACAGAAAAGTTAATATTAAACAATACATGCTAAAGAATTAATAAATAAGATAATAAAATAAATTTATACGTAATTACTTTCATTTAATATGCTTTATGCTGTATAATATTGATTAAGAGGTATTAAAAGGTTCCATAATCTGCTTTTATAGGCAAGATTTTTGATAAAAATTTTAAATTTTGAAAAATGATGAGAAAAGGAAAAAAAGGTAAATGAGAGCAAGAGGAGGGAAAAAAAGAAAAAGAAAAGGAAGGGAAGGGAAAAATAAAAGAAAGAAGGACATATAAAAATTTAGATGCGCATTCTTAATGCCGAGGCGGCTTGCCGCCGAGGCGCGATTTTTTTAGGCCTCTACGGTAACCCGGCAATGTTTTTTTAAATCTTGTACAGCCCTATGTTTTATGCATAGTGCCGATACTCAAATATCAGATTACTTAGATCCATGAATAATATCCGAATTTTTTTTCTTAAAATTAAACTTCAAAACTTCTTGCAATCTTATTCTTCATCAATTGTAAATTTTTAAAACCATTTTTTAAAATAATTTTGCGTAAAGTTTATTCTCATGTTGTTTTAATCGAAAATTGATACATTTTCAAAAAAATAATATTGACTTATGAAATTCATTTTTAAGGTGAAATAGTATTGTTTTTATTAAAGTATATGAATAATATATAAAAAATTAATGAATAATATAAGCAGATTTTTAGTTTACAAAACAAATATGAGCAATGCAATTTCAAACTTTTGCTGGCAATTTCGATATTGCTCAAGTTTGTAGTATTTGTGATACCTATAACATCGGCTTAATCAAAATTCGATTTTTCTTATGAGTTATTGAGAAAATTTGATTGCAATGAGAAGGATTTCGACGTTTTTGATAAACTAAGAGCTGAGCTTTAGGGGTTCAGTTTATTTATGGCTGTAGTTTGATGCGTAGATCTCTTTTTTATTGTAAATTCTTTCAGCATGGAGATCGAGAATGAATCTTTTGAGAACTTTATGAGCTTTTACACCCGTAAAGAGGTCCTTCGAGGAAAGATAGTCCAGACTACATGAAGATGTGGGTTAACCAAAAAAATCCGATGGTTTCCCCATATTCATGTAGATCTTCGAAAAAATGAGCACCAAAAATGCCAAAAAAATAGGCTTTTTATTGGATTTGTACACTAGATCAATAATCTATTTAGGATCTGACACTCTTTTTAGCCAGAGATATGAGGTCCTTTCTAGGAAAACGATCTATTCATCCATAAAAAAAATGAATTATCGTTTTCCCCAGAAATTACATGGGGAGTGGTAAAAGTAAGGAAAATCTGGGTAAATCAATAATTTTATAATTTATTTTTCTAAACCAACTATTTTTTTATTTTGATAATCTTTAGAGCATTATATTAATAGTCTGTAGGGAAAAAATGTCTATGGAGAAATATTTAAATATTATCTAGTATCATATCATTTCCCTACAATATCTGTACCGTACATCATTTCCATCTCGAACATATCCACAACAAATTGCACTTTATATAGCCCCAGACCTCGCTCAATCATAGTGGTATTAGTTATTTCTAAAATTTCTTTTAAATTGTAATGAATTTAGCGTTACTCAAAAAAATCTTGTTAGATTACTCTAATACAAAACTTTAAAAGAGTAATCACTCTTATATTTATTTTTTTACCACGTAAATTGTCAAAGGTTTTTGGTCAATGGACGAATCGAATTTATTAAAAATCATTGAGGGATCTAATTCCGATGACGATGCCGTTCGTGGTACTTCTGAAGCACAAATCGAAGAGCTTCTCCAAAATGATCCATTATTTGTCTTAAACTCATTTTTGAATCTTATTTTGGCAAATTCAAATCAAAGCATCTCACAGCGAATGATCATTCAACTATTTTCAATCGTCAAGCACATGACACGCTTTTTATCCACAGAAATTCTTATGAATTTTCTAAATAGTTTAATTTCAAATGTTCAAGCTTTATTCAATCCAGAAAACGGATACATGGGTCAAAGCATCATACCATCTGTTCTTTGCAATATCTATTCCCTAATAATTTCGCTTGTCCACAAATTTTCACCAGAAGCAACAATTGATTATAACGAGATCGTTTCTCAACTTGTACAAGTCTTACAGCCCAACTTTACAATACCAATTATTGCCGAAGCAATTGAAGATTCAGCAGATCTTTACAATTTCAATCCAGACGTGCTCTATCAGTTCATTATTGACAATGAATCATTTCCGAATGCAATAATACGCTTATATTTTGCAATCATTGGCAAAATTCAAGAAGGCAAAAATTATGTTGAACTTTTACCACAAATTTTGAGCAAAATCACCGATGACAATGTTCTTTCATCGATATCCTACATCAACAACTTCTGTGAACAAAGTTCTCCTTTCATGGAGTTTGTTTTTCTTGACTTGTCAAATTATTTAGGAAATTTAATTTTAAATCAAGTGAGTGACCAAATCAAAATCAACTGTTTATATACTATATCATCACTTGTTACAAAGAACTCTTCATATCTTGTAAATTCATCTGAATTTGCTGAAATCTTTTTCAAGATTTCAATTTCCATCTTTAATGACTCAAATTATCAAGATCTCGAAGATGAAAACAGCACAAGCATTGCAAATATCCATCAAGAAATATGTCACGATGTATTTCTCAAGTTAGATATGTTGTTTTCCAACAACAAAAGCAATTTTTTAGAATTTATTGGTCAAAACCAAAATTATTTATTTGGATATTTAATATTTTTATCTTTTTGTTATAATCATTCTGATATTGAATTAGTTGATCAAGTATTAGAAGAAAATAGTGATAATATTAATCTGAAATACGCATGCATGAAAATTTATTCCGATGCTGTTTCAAAAACTAATGATGAAGATTCTCTTGATGTTTTTTCAAATGTTATTGAGTTTTTGAATTCCGGTGAAGATGAAGCGATAGTTTATCTTATTCTCAAAGGAATAAGCAAAAGGAATTTTTATTCTAAAAAAGTTAATTCCGATTTGGAAATAGAAACATGGGATAATCTTTCTCATTATGTTTTAGAAGGATTTAGTAATGGCTGGAATGAAAAAATTGTTGAGAAATTAATTTTCGTTTTATCAGCATGCATAGAAATGAACGAAAACTATTCGATTGAAGATAGTTTAGCAACTTTCGATCAAATCTTTAATGAATATGAAAGTAGTGATACAATAAGAGCTGCAATTGTTAAAGTTATTCCTCGATTATTAGATCATTTTAATGAAGAGAAAAATCAACAAATAATTGAACAAGCAGCATTTGCTTATTACGAAGTTTGTGCAAATTCTTTAAATGATGAATCGATTAATCCAAAGAATATACCAACATATATGAGTTCTATGTTGAAATTCATTAAATTTGCAGGAAATTTACTTGATGATAAGTTAGAATATTTATTTAATTCATCATTTAATGCCGTATCACAAGAATTGCAATTTACTGAAGTTAAAAAAGATACTCTTGCTGATTTAAGTGCTTATTACGCAACTGAATCAATGATAACGGGAACGAAATATGTAATTGAGAAATCAACTGTTGATACAATTACTGATTACATTAGTATTATTTTGTCAATTGTTGATAAGGAACAATTTAAATATTATTTGGTTGACAATGAATATAATGTAATGAACCAATTAGTTAATTTATGTGTTAATTATATTCAAGCTGATATTTATTCAATAGAAATATGTACAAAATGCTTTGAATTGTTAAGATCATTATATGATTCTGAAATTGCTGAAGAAAAGCATGAAGAATTATTGGGAATATTAATAGAATGCTTCAAGAGAATCTGCAAATACAATTTTGATAATGGTATATTGCTTATCCATATATTAACATTTGCACGTGATGAAAAAGATCAAATTAAACAAAACGAAGAAGCAAAACAGAATTTCATGGATCTTTTGATTAATAACATTTTAACTACTTATTCTTTAGCTAAAAACACAATTAAAGGTAATTTGGAAGACACTCAACAATACCTTTATTTTGAACAATTTACAACAGGTGAAAACTTTGGAAATGCAATATTTACTTTCAGAAAAATTTGTTCTGACATGTTAATACAACCTTTCCAAGAAAAAATTATTCCTCTTGTTATGGAAAATAAGGAAGTCAAATCTTTATACCAAATGAACATAACTTTGTTGAATTTTTATTTGACATTATTCCAAGATGATTCGGAATATGAAAAATATCGTGGATATATATTTGATTACATTGCATTATTAAGATCAAATAAAGAAGATGATGATGATGATGAAACAGTAGCTGAAAATTATAGCAAAAATATGTGCGATGAATTATTTACTACATTATATAGTGTAATCAAATATATTGATATGAGACAAGAGTTTGTTGTAGAATTACATCAAATTCTTTATGATTTATTTGAACATTCTGATTGTTTTGTCAGAAGAGGTGATTTTCCATTTTGTTTAATGCTTATTTACCTCAAATATCCATTTATAACTGAAGAAATGGATATATCTGAGGTAATTTCTTTTGTATCTGTCGATTTAATGTTCTTTGCAGATCCGTATAAATTATACGATCTGAATTATTCTCATTGCTTTGTTTTCAACAAGATAAGTTTGTTTTGGCTGGAAAATTATTGGCCATTTTTAATAGAAAACCACGAAGAGATTCATAAAAGTGGTGAGGATGGAAGCTTATTGGAATCCATTTTTGCTGGATGGGGAAGCGACATGGATATTAAAATTAAATGTGAATCAAAAAGGGAATTACATAAGAAGTATAAGAGGTTCTTCTATAGATTGATTGAATTATGTATGCATAACCGGAGTATCATCCAAAATATTCAGACATTCTTCAGGGCAGAAAAAGAAAATGGTAAATATCTGAGCAAACAAGCAGTTAATAACTGGACATCAGTTTTCAATTTATATTTCAAGAAATTTATGCAAGAACATGCTAGACAATAAATAAAAAATGTTTTTTTATATGGTATAAATTCAAAGAATTATTTATTTGAATATAGAATCACAAATAAATATATTTAATTATCTATGACTTTCACTATCTCATTGAAAATCGAGAGAATCCCATTGAAATGAGGATGAAATTATGAAAATATATTTTTTTGCTGCTGACAAATGACAACTGAAGGGTTGATAATCATTTCTTAGCATTACCAAGAAATGTTTTCCATTTTTATTTGCCAATTTCCTCTCAGAATTCTAATGCTTTTAGACAGAATCAATTAATGTAATATGTGAGATGGGAAATCTTAAAAAATGAAAAAAAGTGAAGTGAACCGATTATATAAAATCCAGTATAAAAAAATATGAATATTATCACACATGAATATTCTGAGCTCAAGCAATGTAACGATATTAAAAATAATGAACTGTTAGCATTCATTATTAATAACCAGAGGATTGAATTATCAAAATATTCTTCAATCATTATCTCGAAATTTGTTCATGATCAATATTTACTTGATATTTCAGTTAAATCAGTTAGTAAATGTATTAATATATCATGTAATAACACAATTGACATCATATCGGAGTTTTTCAAAACAAGTGTTCTTCATTATGAAAATGACAAAGAACGTAATCGAGATATATTCGAATTTGGCAGAGCATTCGATATTACATTCTTAACAAACATATTTTGTGAATATGTTAAGTCTACATACAAAGAAATCAATGAAGAAAACTTTTATGATATCTATGATTGTTCAACATTTCAAAATGACATAAATAAGATGAATGAGTGTGTTTCTTTCTTCGCATCAAGAATGTCTGATCTTGATGAAGAATATAAAATCAAAACTATCAAACGATATAGATATGACTTTTTTGAGAGTATTTTGAAATCAAAATCTCTTAAAATATCAAATGAAGACTCATTAGTCAACACAATCCTCAAGTTGAGTGAAGATGATAATTCATTCTTTAATCTTCTGAATCATGTTAGAGTTGAATTTTGTAACAATGATTCTATCAAATCTATCAAAAACTTCTCAGATCGAAACAAGTTAGAATCAATCACAGCAGAAGTATTCGAACGTGCACTTCTTCATCGTTCACCAATTCTTCACAACCTATCAATTTCAGATGCAAATTATTTTTGTCGAGAAACAGTTCCTAATTTTAAAATTTCAAATGTTGAAGAACATCATGTTACTGATCACACATCTGAAAACTTAATAAATTTAAAGAGTCTGAGAAAGACAAGCGATGATTTTGATGAGATCTATTCAGTTCTTGAAAATGCGTCAAATGAAGGAGATTTTTCAACAATCAAATTTGCAGTAGATGAAAAATATTCTGAAATTACGCATAGTCGCTCAGATATTAATATGATTCTTGGATCAGCAATAAAGAACAATATATGTCTTACTAAATTTTTGTTCATTTCTGGCGCGGATATAAGAAGCAAAGTTTTTTTCGGAGAAGGGATTCTTCATATATTTTGCAGAAATGGAAATTTGGAAGGTGTTAAATTTGCTCTTAAACACATAGATATTAATGATAGAAGTAGTATTGGTGGAACTCCTCTTCATTTAGCTATTAATAACAATCATGATGAAATATGTGAATATCTTCGCTCTCAATCAAATATAGATAAAAATGCCAAAAACTATATCAATGAAACTGCTCTTCAATATGCAATACGACTCAAACGAGAGCATATTGTTGAAATTCTTCGCAAAAATGGATTTACAGAATAAAAATACAGATAATTTGTTTGAAAACTTTAATAAAATAAATATGAAAGCTTAGATGGTGAACATACATGAATCTTGCTTTAATTCAAAATCTTGAAAACTTGCGTGAAGAATCATTGAAAATCAATCTTAAATAGTATTAAATTCATAAAAATTATGACACATTCTCAATTTTTTGATACTCAAGCTTTATATCCTGATTTCATAGGTAAAAATTTAGTATTTTTTGGTAAAAGTTATTATAAATCACTAAATAGTACCTATTATAGCTGTTGTGAAATATGACAGCAAGTGGAAATCACGCACTTTAAAAAATACTATAAAATTATGAGTAAATCTATATTTTAAAACAAGAATAATATTAGTTAAATTTGTTGACGTATTGAGTTTAGAAAACTAAATAAATCTCGTGAATTGTTGAATTCATCTACTAAAATTGTTGTTGCAATTGAACTGGGGAGCGTTGAATTTGATAATACAAAATTATTCTGAATGCAATCTAATTCTACCTCATATGACTGAGGAAGAAAAACAAATTTAGTTTTCCCATTAGATATTGATATCTTAATTCCGTAAAGAGCTTCATATAAAGAGAGGTCTGTTTGATATGAAGAGTAAAATTCGTCAGCTTTTTCTTTCTCGCCTTTAATATGATTTGCTGTTGTTTCGAGAAGTCTAATTTTCACTTGGTAATCTTCGAAATTCTTTGGTATTGTTTGTATATCATTATTCAGCTTTTTGATTTCGATTTGTTGCTTTTTGTTCTGAACGCTAATGTTTTCGTTCTGATTTTTGATTCTCTTAATATTTTCCATAACAAGTCTTTGCTCATCTTTTAAGTTTCTTTCATTTCTGGTCATATCAGTTTTCAAATTATTAATCATCTGCCTTTTCTTTTTCATTAAATCAGTCTGTTGGGTAACAAATTTGTTCAATTTGTCTTTGCTCTCTGCAATTGCGTCTAAAAAGTGCTTCAGTGATTCATTTATAGAATCATTCTCCATTTTTAAACGTATACATTTTAGATTCAATCTGTAAAAAAAATTTATCCAAGCTGTTTTTTCCAACCATTTTACCTTCAAATTAAAGTTAATGGTAATGTACTGAGATATGAATGAGAAATTACCCATTATTGCAAAAATGATTTTTGAATTCAGAACCTCATTATAAACTTTTGTACTAGCCTACAGGAACAGCGGTCACTTCAATCATTCTGAGACATCTCAATTGTTATGGAGGAGAATATTTAGCTAAAAATAAATTGTAAGAGTAAATATCGTTGATCAGCTACTAATTGAGTATACACAATGGAAAAACAAGGATTTGAATGCTTTCTTAAAGAAAAAAAGGTAAATTATTTTGTTGACAATTACCTTTTGCTGCTTGTCAAAATCGGTAGATTTTTAATTCATTCCCCATGGGATTGCATTCTAAATATTATGAGATGTATCAATGATTAGTCTAATTTAAATTACTTCTACTTTGCATATTATAAGCTTAAGATAAAATTTTCTATGAGAATATATATTCACATATGGACAAATAGAAATAATGCGTATAAGGTCGATGAAAAAATGAGCGTTTTTAAAAAACCGCCGTTTGAGAGGAAAATTGAGAGCCCCGATGTATACTTTTTGACATTGTCAAAAACTTTGAAAGGACCAAAAAAATTTTAGTGTCAGAAAGTTTACAAATGTATACTTTCTGACAAACAGACCCTCAGAAAGTACTCAAACTGCGGTTTTTAATTTCCGCATTTTTTTTGGCGACCTTATTCACACTGAATGAAAATAAAAGGAAATTTATACAAAAACTTAATAAAAACTTTATTTACAATAAAAATCTTAGAAAGTCAAATGCTTTCCAAGAATTGCTTTCAAGTAGTCATGTTTCAATTCCGGCAGTGTCATATTATCCATTGCCTCGAAGTATTCGAATAAATTATGTTCTCTGCAACCTTTATAGTCATTTCTTTTTCCTAATGCTACGTAATTCAAATTCATCGACATTGCGTATCTCTTTGCGTATTGTGTGCACTCGAAACCAATAGGAAGAACCTCTGCAACAGTAGCATTCTCATTCATGAACACAGAATAAATGGATTCTTCGGCAAAAGCTGTTACAAACATTTGACTTTTTGCAATTGTATTTGCAATAATTCTCAAATCATCATCATCCGAAATCACTTCGATCTTTGCCTTAGGGAAGGCCTTCTTGAGTTCAGGAAGAACATACGAACACTTCTGATGAACAGAAATGCGTCCAGAAACCATTTTCTTGGAGGTGAAGTGATGTTTTACTTCAGAAATTATTTCAGGTTTCAATCTTGTGATTTGGTCCATGAATTCGCCCCATGCAAGGCCAGGAATCGTTTGGTACATGGTCCTGTTAACGAGATACTTGATACCGGAGCGTGTGGGAAGTACTACGCCATCTCCGTAACAAACATTTTGGTTTTTCATGAAAATTTCACCATCAAAAACGGATTTGATGATGTTTACGAGGTTTTCTTGGTTGCTGGTGAGCATAAGTGCAGGCATATGGGTGGATTTAGTGTAGTAAGTGCTGATCCAGATCGGAAATACAACATCTAACAAGATTTCATGGGCTTTGGTTGGATTTGCGTCCAAAAAGTAAATATCTGGGGCTCCTGGGTTGCCATTTCGTAGTTCTGTAGGATTCATAGCATTTATGTGTGGTGAATAAGGTGTTCTGGCAAATGAAACGTTGATATAAGAATTTGAAGTGGTATTTATCTGAGAAAATGCGGCAGATGGGAAGGAAAAGACTATTATTGATTCATTGAAGAAGCATGCATCGTAGATTTCGACATTTTGGAACTCACGATATGAAAATCTTGAAAAACCTGTTGGAAACGCATTTATTTCGGCAACTGAAATGTTATTTTGGCCAATATGTATTTTACCGCAATAAATATCTAATGTAGAGTTTCCAATCATCGGATGTAAAACAACATAAGAACCATCTGTATCATTTGCAACCATATCGTAGTAATTATTAATTCTATTATCTAATCTCGTTCCGCCAGTGGTTAAAAACGTGGTTAAAAGACTTATTCCGGCGGATTTTGGAATTTGATTAAATTCACTATAAGAAACATTAATTGTAATACGAGATCCTGTTGTAGAAACAGATTTAACATTGATTGATGCACAATCAACTGAAGTATATGGTAACGGCATTCTTGGAGGATCATTATCGAAAATTAAAAGATAACTAGAGAAGCAAATACAAATAAAAATGGGTACAATAGCTGTAGTATATAGTATTGCCCACTTTGGAATGTAGCTCCATATATTCTTTGATGGTTTCGCTTTCATTCCAAAGTGTAAAAAAATTCTTCTGAAATCCACTCACGAAAATATTGTCATTGAGATATTTTCCTTCCTACTGCAACTATGAGCAAGGCCAATCTTTTTCTCTCACATCATTCAATACCAATACTCATTATTTTAAGAGAATTTTATGAATATTAATGTAGCTTAGCATTTAATAAACAAAAAGTATTAGGAACTTCCAAAATGAAGAAGAATAGTTCTTAAATCGACATGTTTACTATCAAAAATAAAATATCATAAATAATATCGGTAATTTACAATTTCCTTTTATTTAAGACCCTTATTTCTATATCTTTCGTTCAGCAAAACACCTCCAAAATGCTTGGCCATTGCTTTATAATAAGAAAGTAGCGTAACATAGGAATCTGAGCCAGCCTGGTGCATAGTTCCTGATCTAACAACATCAAAATCTTTGGCAACATTCTGTAATGAGCCAACATTGTGGATTGTTTGTTGCATTATATATCTAAGATCGTAATAATGAGGGAAATATAATCTAGTAACTTTTTCGAATTCAGCTTCGGTCTTTGGCAATGGTTGTGCTGATAAAAGTTTGACTAAATAAGCAATATCATAACCAGCTTGGAATGTAATCCAAATAACCCTATCATTCATTACTAATCCGCTTGCAATAAGCATTGAAACGAAATCTGCCATCTCTATTCCATCTTTTTCGAATTTATCAAAATCAATTCCGGCTTGTTTTAAGAGATTAATTGAATCTGACGTGTGCATATCATTTTTAATATTAAATCGTAAGTTAAATTGCCATGTGCATATTGGTTTTGGAATATTTCCATTTTCATCTCCAAGAGTTATACCAATTTGTATTAATTTCATTCTATTAACATTTTCTCGTTCTGTTAAATATTTAACTGTTGGTGTTGCTGTTACAGGAGGAGATTTAATAAAGAATCCTGAAAATTCTGTATCCATTCCAACGAAATGGAAATGCTCTACTAAGTGCGAGATTTTATGCATCTCTTCTTCGCAATTATAATCCCAGACATCAATGATGTCGTCTGACATTTGAGATTTCCTAAAATCTGACACTATAAACTTTACAAAATCATTTCGTGTCAAAAAAAATATTTAATGTTTGAATTATTCGAAGATAAGAAGAACCAAGATGAAAAGAATACACCAGAAGTAATAGTCAAGCAAAACACAGTATCAGAAATCATGGATACTAAAGATATGAGAACTTTGGCTTATATTTTGATTGGTTTGTTCTCTACGATCATTTTCTTCAATTATAAAGTGGAATATCTTGAAACGCAAGAGTCAAAAAGAATAGATGTATCAGATGGATCAAGACAATCTGTGACTTACGCGATAACAGCTAATAATTTGTCGCAAAACAATATATTTTCAATTCTTGAATACAGATATCTCCCTGATTCATCAACAGAATCCAAGTCATGCCAATGGAATTTCAAAGTTCACACTTATTATTACGATAATGAAGGAAATATTACCAGAGCTATAGAAAACAGAAATTGGCATCGTTGGACAGCTAATGAAACATTCCATCCGATGCATTTTACTCAAACTCGTAATATTTCATCACTTCGAATTTCATCTAACAGTGATGCGCAAAAGGAATGGCTTGGAGCAATGGAATTCAGATGGACAGTTCCTATTCGGTCTGCTTTCAAGATTGCCTTCTCAATACATACAGAATTTTTCATTTTTTACATAATTTTATTTATATTTTACGTTAAGAACAGTCTTAAGTTCAAAATGAAAGCTAGATCGAAAATAGTTATGACACTTTTACCTTTAGGCCTTATTTCAGAGTTTCCTTACGAATATTTCGGATTCGAATTTATTTTTTCGGATACATTAAGAGATACATTCTTTTATCTATACTACGGACTTACAGTATTATTTATTGCGTTCAGAATCCATGAATTTAATGTCGAAACTTGTATGATGAAAAAGAATATGAAAGCTTTTACATTTGGTGGCGCAATGACCATCCAAGGTGTTCTGTCATCAATATCTCGTCATTTGATCATGTATTCTTTGCCTTCTTTGCCAGACGGAACAGATCCATCTGAAGGAGACTTTATTTCTAAGAATCTGTTTGCTGTTGTTGTTGGATTGACTTTCTATCAAGTTCTTACTGCATTAATGGATAAAATGGATAAGAAAAAGAACGATGATTTGGAAAGATTCAAAATTCAACATTATCCTTTATTCTTTTCCATGGTTGTATCAGTAGTTTTCTTTTTACAGGATGCAAGGAAGAAGAGTTTCATTCAAAATCCTGTTAAAAAGGCAATTATGCAAGGAGTTTGGCATCTTGTGATATTTTTCGAATCAATCATCTCAATTCCAATCAAAAATGATCGTGCTGATGCTTTTGAGTTCGAAATAGACAGAGATCAGATTGATTCTGAGTCTTATGAAGAAGAAACTGAAGAAGATGAAAATCATGACCCAGAAAAGCCAGAAAACGAACCACAAAATTTAGAAAATACCCAATTAATCACAAATGAACCTCCAAAAGAAGTCAATGACTTATTATCTGTTAATTAATATTTTTATATTTATATAAGATGTTGTTTATATATATTATTAATAAAGATAATTTTATCGGAACTTATATTTAAATATTTCGGATATATTTTCATTATTTGCCATAGAAAGTCTAAATAAGATTTTACTTGTAATGCAAAATGTTGAATATTCAACAGAGCAAACTATATAGTTTGAATTTAATTATGAATTGAGAGTATGTCAGATAGAGGTAAGGGTATCCATATATACCAAAAGATGGAATAATAAAGGATCATTTATATTGAGTTAATCATGTTGTTTCAATTCTTCGTTGGACAAAATTAAAACAATGTTTTTGAAGAAATAACACTTCAATTATATGTCCTTTGGTTGAGTCATATTTGGAAGATATTGAAACATTTTTAAAGGAAATTCGCAAAATCACCAGTGACATTGTAATTCAAAAGTTGATGAATTTCATCATTCAAAGTGTTTAGATTATTATGGTTGTTCATTCTTGCCATCATTGTCTTCAATATCGTTGATACGATTGCATATTTGAATTTAATTACTTGAAGATCTCAATGGCTCCATGGATAATAATTAATATTCATTTTGGAATGATAATTAAATATTTAATCAAACAATCTGAATTTTTATTATGGAAATCCATTTTTGCGAAGAATTTCAACTATAGGCTCCCGTTTGAGACGTATTGCATATTGAAGAGCAGTTTCATTGCCATTGTTTTTGGCATATTTATCTATATTTGGTTGGGAACAAAGAAATTCACAGATATCAGCATGATTATATTCAATAGCTTCAAAAAGAGGTGTTTCTCCAAAACAATTTCTATCATTAATATCTATGTGTTTAAGTGCAAATTTAACACCTTCTAAATTTCCTTTTTCGCAAAACTGTTGAAGAATACTTATTTGTTTATTAGAACTACTTCTTATATCAACACCATGAGCAGCCAAATATTTTATAAGACATAAATTATTATTAGCTGCTGCGACAAAAATTATATTAATATCGAAGCTACTATCCTTAATTTCAGTATATTTTTCATCAACTGCAAATTCGATTGTTGAAAAATCTCCTTCATCTGATGCATCAGATGCATCTGAAAGAACTGAATAGATTTGATAAAAATTATCTCCTGTCTTTCTCAAACTCTTTAAATTTATTAAGTTTTCATATGAATGATCAATAACATGATGTTCTTCAGCATTTGAAATTTTAAAATTAGGAACTGTTTCACGACAAAAATAATTTGAATCTGAAATTGATAGTTTGTGAGGGATTGGTGAACGATGAAGAAGTGCACGTTCGAATACTTCTGCTGTGATTGATTCTAACTTGTTTCGATCTGAGAAGTTTTTGATAGATTTGATAGAATCATTGTTACAAAATTCAACTCTAACATGATTCAGAAGATTAAAGAATGAATTATCATCTTCACTCAACTTGAGGATTGTGTTGACTAATGAGTCTTCATTTGATATTTTAAGAGATTTTGATTTCAAAATACTCTCAAAAAAGTCATATCTATATCGTTTGATAGTTTTGATTTTATATTCTTCATCAAGATCAGACATTCTTGATACGAAGAAAGAAATACACTCATTCATCTTATTTATGTCATTTTGAAATGTTGAACAATCATAGATATCATAAAAGTTTTCTTCATTGATTTCTTTGTATGTAGACTTAACATATTCACAAAATATGTTTGTTAAGAATGGAATATCGAATGCTTTGCCAAATTCGAATATATCTCGATTATGTTCTTTGTCATTTTCATAATGAAGAACACCCGTTTTGAAAAATTCTGAAATGATGTCAATTGTGTTATTACATGATATATTAATACATTTACTAACTGATTTAACTGAATTATCAAGTAAATATTGATCATGAACAAATTTCGAAATAATGATTGAAGAATATTGTGATAATTCAATCCTCTGGTTCACTTCACTTTTTCATTCAATGATTTGATTAGCATCAACATATATATCATCAGAATGAGACAAATACCGGCTAATTTGTGGGCGTTCTGAACCTTATCTAACATCAATTCTTTTAAAACTTTATTTGGTATCTTCTGGATTGTTAATAGCTTTTTACACTTCGAAAACATATCAGAATATCAACATTTTTTGAGATATAATAATACTAATTTCAAATTATGAATTCAAATCAAATGAATACATATGACTTTTAGAATGTTTTTATTCTTTTTGTTTTGTAACATAAATAATATAAAGTATTTGTTTAATAATCAAGAAAAAAAAATCAAATTTATTCAGTCTCAAGAATAACGAAGAAATATTCAACTTCAAGTGGTGCATCTTCTTCTAAATCAGTACAATGAACAGCATTATGAACCAAATCAGTTCCGAAAATAGCGCGAAGGCTTTGTGGACGAATTTGTTTCGCGACAGAAACATCGCGTGGTCCGCAAAGCTTTCTTAACTCTGATACAGCATTATCCTTAACAAGTTCAAGAGCAATCAATAAGCCAGAAGCTAACTCTGAAACCATATCTGAATAATCTCCAACAACTGTCTTGTAGACTTCAAGGAATTCTCCAGCAGTTGGGATTTCAAGTGTTGTCATAACAGCACCTGCTATTGTAAAGCCTTCTCCAACGATCTGGCGGATGATTGGACCGGCAAGTCCTTCATTAATTGCGTGAGGCTTGATAATGCAAAGAGTTGATCCTTCGCATTGGGAAGCTAATTCAACAGCATTCTCGCCGAATATAATTTGGAGCTCTCTTGCTGCTGATTCTGGAGAATCAGAGCCATGAGCAAAGTTTTCTGTTGTAGAGCGAGCATAAAGAGCACGAAGGGAGTTTGGTGCTTCTTTCTTGGCTGTATCGAGGTTTGTTGGGCCAATAATTGTACGCCATTTCTTGATTGCATTTGGACCAACAAGATCCATGGCGACAATTGGTCCACTAGTGATATACTTTATGAGATCATCGTAGAAAGGCTTGCCAACATGTTCTTGGTAAAATTTAGATGCTGTTTCTTTCGTAATGTATCCATATCTAAGCTTTGCAACGACTAAACCGTAGTCGGTAATACGCTCAAGAGCTTCACCAAGACGATTAATATTGCCTGGCTTGAGCATCGCGTATGTATGTTGAGATTGTTGATCAAACGCATTTTTAGTTTCCTCGTTTTGATACTCTATGATTTCATACTGACGACCATTGATTAAAAGCTTGTTTCCGATATATAAATCTTTGATTTGTACGTTATGATTCGTTGTTTTCTTGAGGAAAATTCTTTTCTGTCTGAGATCGTAGATTTCGATTTCTCCCAAATGTGTGAAATACATGAGTACGTATGGACGAACCAAATCCGCACGCTCATCATAAAATTCTAATTTAAATGAGTATGTTGGGAACTCGGAATTCATAAAAATAACGGGCAAAGAATAGACGGTTTTCTTTTTTTCGTTACTAGCGTTTTTCGTTTGATTATGTATTGACTTATTGTATACTATTGAATTTCCGTTTTAAAACTAGCCATACGTATTGGGAGATTCCAAAATATTTTAAATTAGGTATTATTTGATGCATTTGATATTAGTAAATGCAAAACATTGATGTGAAACTAGCAAATGTCTGTTGGTTTGGCTGAATAAGGCATAATAAAAGTTAGGTTTCAATTTATGATTGATATATTGATCTTTAGGCATCAAAAAGTCAATTATCTAAATAGAAGTAAATTAGAATTCAATTTATAATATTATATTAAACTTTTATATTTATAAAATTACTCTACTGGTGCGAAAAGTCCTGCATGTGGATCAACTGGCTTCTCAATCTTGCCAAGACGGACTTCATTCTCATAATCGCGATCACGATTGCGTTGCTTTGCAAGAGCACTCTGTTTACGCTCATCTCTACGCTGAGCAGTTGGGCTTTCCCATGTAGCGTTCTTCCAGATCTTGTGTCCTCTGAAAACATCAGCGAGGATGAAGATTGGAACAAGTGTGATACGTGGACCAACTTCGACGAGTCTTGTTGGGTCTGTATCCCACTGAATCTGATAGTGGCGGATAATAATCTTGTTATCTTCGATAAAGAAGGACATTGTTCTATCTACGAATGGTTTTGAGTGTTTGTCGTTGAATGGGACTTCAAACAATCTCTGAAGTAAGTTTCTTGAAAGTTTAAGAACATTTGTCTTATCAAATGCTGGATCGAAGAAAAGAAGTGGTCTACTTCCTTTCATTGGGTTACCAACAAGTCCTAAATCGTAAATTGACTTTCCCTCCTCCATGAAGAAGCATATTGTTGGACCATTAGCTGCATCAGCAAGCCATAAGTATGGTTCGAGATGATGCTTTGTTTCAAATAGAGCAACTGTATCGCAATGCATATCTGATGCGATTTCTTTCATTTCCTTGAAGTCTTCTTGAGTAATTTTAACGTCTTTTTTAGCATGTGGGATACATTTGCGAACATCATCAAGAATTTCTGCAGTTGCATGGATCATTCCCTTGTTACCAACAATCATTGGGCGATGAACGTGAGCCTTTTTCTCAACTGGCTTTTCATCGGCCTTTTGTTGTTGTAATTTTCGGAGAAGGGCAGACATAAATTTTTGACCTTTCTAGAGGGCATAAGGAGATTTTAACTTTTTTGGAAATTAAAATAGTTTTGTCATCATATGTACATCAAAATCTGTCGATAAATATAAGCTTTATCTTCAACTTATGAAAATCAGAAACTTTTCAAATGCATTATTTTCATATATAATTGATTTGAATTTGCTGTAATACTAGTGTATGAGAGAATTTCAATATCAATGGGTCATTAATATAATATTTTTCAATAAAATTTGGAAAAGATTAAAAGCCATTTTGCTATTCAAGCTAATTTGGCAGTTTTTGCTATTCATTAATCAATAAATTAAAGAATTGAATTATTTTTGAAGTTAATTTACTAAAATACAAACAATATCATACTAATCTAACATTTCTTTCTCATTTGATACCCAGAATTCTTTGAATTCATCTTGATCAACAAAAATTGGAATAGCCGGTATAAACTTTCTACAATTGTCTGTTTTTGCAAACCTCTCTAGTTGATAACATTCTAAGAAATCATCGAACTTTAATTGTTGAAGATCTGGAACACCTTTAACACTGAATTTGTAATATTTGATATCAAAATAATGTGCTAAAACTTCATTTCTATTATCAACATATTTTTCGTGTGCAACATCTAAGAAAACAGAATTCTTAGGCATGAATAACATCAATTCGCTTCCATGATTAGGAGTAGTTATAAAAATATCAATTGTTTCAGCTTCTTTTTCAATACAATTATAATCATTTTCCTTGCATTTAAAAGAATATATATTGTAGTTCATATCTCTACTATTAATTGCAGAAGAAATTGCAGCAAAGTTCATATCCAGGCTTTTTGAAACAGCAACATTAATCTTGGGTCTTTTCTTTCGATCATAATCTTTATTGATATATAAATCTCTCATATCTTTAATGTCATCTTTTTGATACCACAAAACATCTTCATTGAATCTTTCATTATCATGACGAGATGGTTCACATTTTTTATCTCCTTTAACCAACCCTATAACAGCATTCTTAAGTAGAGCAGGAACGTCAGAAACTGGCACTTTTTGGGGTAACGCCTTCAAAATATTTTTGAATATTTTTGTATCAAACTTTGAGAGGTTTTCCATTACGTACAGCTTCTTTGTCTTATTAACGTCTAATCTATTAAGAGTTGTGTAAAGTGGGAGCAAAGAACTAACGATAAAATCGTAATTAAAATTCTCTTCAGTTCCAGAACTAAGAATTATTATTTCATCATCATTAGTTGCATCATAAGCGATTTCATCTAAAGATCTTCTTGTCAAGAAAGGTTCGCCACTCATTATATTTCTTTGCTGCCTGAATGGAAGGCATCTTCCTCTTCCATTAAAATAAAATGGAGGAAAAGTTAAAAGTGCTTCATTTGAAAATAAAATATGGCCTTGAACTAAAGCAATTCTTCTGGCTTCACACCATCTTTCTTCAGCATTCTTCCCATGACATTTTAATTGCGAGGATCTTGAGTGAGGTAAAAAATCTGTTGTTGTAAAGTTAATATTTTTTCTATATAAAGTTTGGTTGAAATCAATCAAGCTGAGCAATTCGGCATTTTTATATTTATTCTTATTCCAACACATGAGCTCACCTTGATATTTACCTACTAGTGGGAGATTGAAGTGAAATTTTAATTCGTTTTCGTCAAAATAATCGGAAATTGCTGAAAATGGAGGGAAAAATAGATCAACTCCCTCTACAGAACCTTTAAAAGCGAAGAAGTCAGCAAGCATTTGTTTATTTGCTTTAACAGTGACTTTGTTGAACAAGATTTGGAATGTTCCGTTTTCAATCAGAATTTGAGAAATTTGATTGCAAGGATGGGAACGCGGAACATATATTTCTGAAAAGTTAATATTAAATGTTAATAGGAAAAGTACAAGAAAGTATGATCCAATTAAAACTCCTAATGAAATAAATAATGATCTCAAAACATTATTCATTATTGCCACTTTTTCGTTTGTTTCACTCTCTTCATATACAAAACTAGCGATCATTAATGACATAAAATCAATCGATTACTTCTTAAAATACAGGACTTTTGGGAATTGTCTAAATTAGAATGAAAGAAAAAAAATTGTTTTTTTAATTATGTTTATTAAACAAAATTATCTAATGCAATACAGTATTTAGTTGCTGTATAATTTAAATATGGCGGTTGTTTATAATCAACGCTCAAATTGGATTCATATTTTTAAAATAATTTGACTAATCTTTATTTTCTTCTTGTCATTCTTTAAACTTCCAAACGTAATTATCATTTTTTATTAAAACTCAAATATATCATTCTTTTTTTGATTTTGATAAGCGAGCGGCGAGCCATTAATAAAAGCATTTCCAAATTTAGAAAGTAGAATTCAAGATACTTTTTAGCATTTTTACAAACAATTTGAACTTAGAGAGCCGAACATTCGATAATTGCTAAATTTAGCATATTAGTCTAGAGTTCTATTAAGGTTTAATGAATATTAAATAAGTTTTCATAATGAAAACCTCTATTGTAATGATTTTTTACATTAAGATTTGAGGATATTGATGCATAATCTTGAATATATGATTTAATAAGTATAGTGTATATTATAGACAGGTACAATAATGAAATTAACAATTTGAAATTATTTACATCATTAATTCTGACAATAGTTGAGTGCGGGACAAATTTGCCAAGTGTTACTTTTCAATAACCTTAAATTACACTTTTCTAATTTTTGAAAAAACCTTAAATTACATTTGAAGAAATTATGTCTATGATATATGTTTTATGCTAGAATCTTGGAGTTTTCATGCACTACACAAGAGCTCCAAGGTTCCAAGAGTGAATGCTCAATAGCAATTATAGAGATGTACCTTTTCAAAATGACTTTTACTGATTAAATTTAATCAATAGAAGACATTTTGAAAAGGTACCTCTACAATTAGATATACAAGAGATTCAAAGCTTCATTTCAGATAGATTTGAAACTTTGAAACTCTTGGTAGATTTTGAGTGAATGCTGACAATCATCTTTGAGAAGGTTTTCTTTAAGAAAACCTTCTCAAAGAGGTTTCTCAGGAGCCCTGAGGCTCCCAATCATTACGAAAGGGAGCCTCAGGGCTCCTGAGACGAAGAATGGCTTCGCCGAATCTTTGATCAGCAGAGGCCAAATGAAAAGGCCTCTGCTGATGGATTCTCAGGAGCCCTGAGGCTCCCTTTCGTAATGATTGGGAGCCTTGGGGCTCCTGAGACGAAGAATGGCTTCGCCGAATCTTTGATCAGCAGAGGCCAAATGAAAAGGCCTCTGCTGATGGATTCTCAGGAGCCCTGAGGCTCCCTTTCGTAATGATTGGGAGCCTTGGGGCTCCTGCAGCAGAGTATCGCTCCGCTCCATTAATTTTTTTTAAAAAAAGTGCCGTGTGGCAAATTTGTCCTGTTCCCGACAATAGTTTTATATCTGTCGAAATTCCACAAAAAAATGTCAAAAACATCCATAAATTGTCAAAATCTCAAATAAGATTTGTAAATGCGATCTCTAAAAGCAGTGCTAGTAGGAGATACCAAAGTTGGTAAAAGTTGCATTCTCAGTCGTTTTGTCCAAGATTCATTCGATCAAAATACTCCAGCTACTGTTGGAGCTGCATTCCATACAAAAATTGTTCATACAGACTACGGGCCAATCATACTTCAACTCTGGGATACTGCTGGACAAGAAAAGTATCGTAGTTTAGCGCCTATGTATTATCGATCAGCTGCAGCAGCTATTTTAGTTTATGATGTGACAAACAAACAGTCATTCGAAAATTTACAGTTATGGAATCAAGAAATTATCGAAAAAGCGCCATCAGGCTTAGCAATATTCATTGTTGGAAACAAATTTGATTGTATTGAGGAGAGAGTTGTTTCTCCAGCAGCTGGCCAGTCAAGTGCACATGATTTAGGAGCATCATACTTCTTCGAGGTATCAGCTAAGACTGGCGAAGGTATCAATAGTTTGTTTTTAAAGGTGGCAGAGTCAGATATTCAAAGTGATTCTCCAGTAGAGAACGAGAGATCAAATCAATTGAAAGATACATCAGAAAATAAAGGCGGCTGCAGCTGCTAATCTTCGGTTTATTCACAAAATTCGTTAACAGAACCCCTCTATCATTACTAATTACTAATTTGTAAGATTTCTTTCTGTATTTTTTCTTCCTATTTTTTTCAATTTCAATTATTTTCTTTCCTTTAGAGAATATGATTAAACTATGTACATCTTTCTTTTTTACAGTGATTGTTTTAATTTCATTTCCAAAAACGAACTTATTTTGGAAATTTTTCTAAATTTGTTAACCATGAGTACAGTATACATTGTGCGTCGCCTGTAGCCTACAGCTACAGTCACCGACACAATGAAAAAAGTGACAGAAAACTGACACCATACGGGCGCGCATATGTACGCATATATGTGTAAAAATAAACGTTCATATGTAAACTAACCTTTATTCACTAGCAGGAGCTTTGTTGTTCGCTTCCATTAAAATGTAAACTTTACGTGTCAAAAAAATTCTGTCACGTAAACTATTTATGTTGAGATTGAGTACCAGACTCTAATATAAGTTCAACCATTATATTAGAGTCTTTAGGAATTTCATATGGTTCTTTTACATAATATTCCTTTTTTTGACCATCAGTTGATTCTTCAACTCTTTTGAATGAAAAGCGCTTATAAAACTCAAACACGAGTGCATCTTTATAACCAGTGATATCGTAAAATTTTGGTGGCACAAGCTGTTCATTCACATTACATATAAATTGTTTGTTATCATGAGCAATATTACTCAACGTTACTAAAGGCTCAAGGAGAGGATTTATTTTTATCTGATAACCGACAAATTTATATGTTGGTTTGCCCTTTCGCTCAAGGATAAACCTGATATTCGCTATAGTTATGAAAAGCTCATCAAAGTACTTATATGTTTTTTTATCTTTATCATTTTCGTCAGTGAAATCTGCTATGGTAAAACTATAATATACATGCATTCGCGAGATATATTTTTTTTCCCATAAGTCTAAAAATTTTGCTTTCGATGGAATTACTTTTTGCGTGAATGTTCTACCATGGTCATCTTCCCAAACAAGCTCTGGTTTTCTTGATGTTGTGTCTGTTTCAGTGGTTTCTAATAACGCAGTGATGAAATCCAACACATCTCCTAGGGACATGTCATATTTATAATTCAAGGCATTTTTTTCTATACTACTGTATGAAGGTAATGTTATGATTGGTGATGTACCTTTTCTTAATACATTCAATTTATTTTCATTTGAATCATAGTAACAATCAACAAATTCTCTACTTGCCTCAGTCATTTTTTCCATAAGACCTTCATTCAACTCCTGTGTAGTCATGTTGGGTTTTATGTAATATCTCATGTCAAACCTTTTTTTCACTGATTTTGATGAATCTGTCATTTCTAATGGAATAGCAAGAAACTCAAAGTCTGGATGCTCAAGACTTATCTTTCTTATCTCAAGAGCTTTTGACGCAGGATATTCAATGAAGTCTCTCGGTAATTTATATGAGACTGTATTACCACTTATCGTGCCATCATTCATAACATGTTCATAGTATAATCCATCATATTAGACATTTTATATGTAACTAAAAGATGGAGAAAGTTATTAATCAAGTAGATAAGATTCTTCATGATGGAGCACGTAAGAATAGTAAAGAACTAAACAATGCACTCATTATGCCATTTTCTGATGATTATCCATTTTGTACTAATGGTGTTTATTTCTACTGCGGTAAGATGGGTTCAGGTAAGACATATGGTGTTATTCGTCATATAATGATAACAGACCGCTTCACTAATACTCCATATTATGACTCAATAGTTATCTCAGCAACATCAGGAACAATGGATAAAACAGCGAAGACATTTATGAGTCAAGTTAAAGCACCAGTACTGAAAAAGGATGATAAAGAACTTATGCCTTATTTAATGAAGAACGTTAAGATGAAAGCAAAGTATTACGCTATTGTTGAGTTCGTTCAAAGTAAGTTCGAAAAAATTTCAGAGGAGATGGAACACATCTTAACAAAGCATCAACTAAGGAAACCTGATGGAAAGTTTGAGTATAAGAAGATTGCAATATATGTTGTAAAGAAGTTGAACAAATATCCTTTCACAAAGTATCCCAGTAATTCTCTATTAGTGTTAGACGATTATGGTGGTCATGACTTATTGAATGACCCACGTTCACCATTAGCGAACTTCATCACTAAGGTCAGACATTATAACTATACTGTTGTCATCATGTGTCAAACATGGAGACATATATGTTTAAACATTAAGAGACTATGCACTGACTTCGTTATCTTTCAAGGTTATTCTATGAGAGACTTTCAGTCAATGATTGAACAGTCAGGAGCAACAGAAGATTGGGAAGAGTTATGGAACAAATACAAAGAGCTACCAACACCTCGTTCATATATGGAAGTTCATATAGTTGCAGGAAAGACGGACTTTAAAGAAGTTAAGCAACAAAAGATGACATTATTTTAAGAAGAAATAAATGGGTTTTGGCGATTATGTTAAAGCTGGATGGGGTATGGTGAAAAAAAATCCTGGTCTTGTAATAGGTGCTGGATTTAACATTGCTAACAAACTTTTCCCTCAAGTTGGTCAAGTCGGTGGTGTTATCGGTAGTCTTGGTGAAAGAATTGCAAAAACTACATTAGGTGAAGATAATGCATTAACGAAGAATCTTAAAGCATTCAATAAAGCTCTTGGTGGTGACTTCAGTAGAGACAAGCCTGTTGAAACACCTATAGTTCAACCTCAACAAACTATTGACAACAATAAGTATAACGCATACATTGGAGGAGCTATTTGGAACAATCATAAGCCATTAGTTCAGTCAGTACGTGTACTATCAGACATGCCATGGATTAATGCTATTAGTGGCACTATACGCAGATAATATATTTTTATGAGGTTTAAATGAGTGAACAAGAGAGGAAACTCATTGATGAACGAGTTAAGAAATGGGAGAATGAACGTCCGATAATTCGTACCATAATTAGCGATCAAAAGTTCAAGCAGCATACATTTGATTTTTTGCGCGATATATATAATGATCTTGCTTTTGATTACAATGCTAGGCAATACTTTGAGAAAGAATATGTTCAAAAAGGTCGTATTAATTTCCCAATGAGAAGAGAAGGCTTTTTGATTACATCAACATATACAGCACGTGGTAGAGACCCTTTTACAGACGCGGTTCGTAACTTTAAAGCACGTTCTTCTATTAATGATGATCCAGATTTCTACATACCTTATTTTCGTCCACCTTCGCATCCTTTACGAACCAGTGATCCTGGATATGACGCTAAACGAAGATATATAGAGACGAAATTAGCTAAATACAAGGAACCTAAGGATCCAAGGACTGGAGAAGTAAAGGAATCACATGTCAAGATAAATAAGCTTTACAAAGTAGTTGAAGAATTGGAGAAACGATCTAATGAGATTAACGCTGAGAAGAAAAAGGAAGTACCAAATATGAACAAACTAGATAAGATGATTAAGGAATATAGAGGATTGGCGAATACATCGAGCGTTCTAATAAAGGAAGTAGAAAACACGACAAAGCTGCAGAAAATGATTCATGATGAATTACTGTTAGGTGAATTTTCTATAAAACAAAGACAGAGTAACTTAATGGGTGAGGCTTATTATTTGGAGAATTGGTATAATGAGAGGTTAAAACAAATGTCGACTCCAACACCAACTCCTACACCTACTCCTACAGTAGCTCCAACACCAACTCCCACTCCTGAACCAACAGTAGCTCCAACGCCAACTCCTACAGTAGCTCCAACGCCAACTCTGACACCAACTGCTCACGCAGGTCCTCCACCAATGTCGAGTAGTCATGGTATAACATTAAATAAACCAACACCTACACCAAAAATAACTCCTGTATCACATCCTAGTACAACTAACCCAGTATCTGATTCAAATCAAGCGGAAAGATCACAGGTTCTTAAAAGAGCTAATACACCAACTGCTTCCCCTATTAGAACACCAGAGCCAACTCCAAGAATCACAAAGGCGCCAACACCTTCACCGACTGTTGAACCAACTCCAGAACCAACAGTACCTCTCCAACTCCATCACCGACACCTACAAAAGCACCTACTCCATCTCCAACTCCGACTAAAGCTCCGACACCGTCTCCAACACCAACTAAAGCTCCAACACCGTCTCCAACTCCAGCTGAACCAACTGATGCAGAATCTATTCAAAATTGGTTAGACGAAGAAAAGCGAAAAGAAAAGGCTGCAATTGATGCTGCACTAGATAAAAACACACCACCACAGACACTTGGTGGTTACATGTTAAAGAAAGACAACATTCAAAGACAAGAACGTGCATTGAGTGTTGCCAGAGAACAAGCACAAGAAGAGAAGAAAATAGTTGAAGGAGAAGCTTCAAATAGAGGTGGTCCAGGAACTTACAAAGGATCAAACTATCCAGCAGAGAAAGCCTCGAGTGATAATGTTGTCTCAAGAGCTACTGATTTAGTTACCCATGGTATTCTAACTGGTGCAACAGCTGTTGGTAGTGCTATTGGAACCAGTGTTGACACTGTTGTTGATACTGTAAGAACTGTTACAAATCCTACACCTGAAGATAGGAAGGAAGAATTTCTTACTCTTAATACAAAGGCAAAACCAGGGATATGGATTGGTCGTGGAATTTTAAATGCTGGTAGTGCTATTGGCAATGGTGCTTCAGCGGTAGGGGGATGGCTCGGAAGAACAGCAACATCAACCGCAAATGGAATACTAACAGGTGCCAAATCACTTGGTAATTGGGCTGATGATAAGTATACAAAATATTATGAAGAAAAAGCTCGTAAGGCTAAGGAAGAAGCTGAACGAAAGGCGAAAGAAGAAGCTGAACGTAAAGAACTAGAGGAGCTTAAGAAGAAAGAAAAAGCTCGTAAGGCTAAGGAAGAAGCTGAACGAAAGGCGAAAGAAGAAGCTGAACGTAAAGAACTAGAGGAGCTTAAGAAGAAAGAAAAAGCTCGTAAGGCTAAGGAAGAAGCTGAACGAAAGGCGAAAGAAGAAGCTGAACGTAAAGAACTAGAGGAACTTAAGAAGAAAGAAAAAGCTCGTAAGGCTAAGGAAGAAGCAGATAGAAAGGCGAAAGAAGAAGCAGATAGAAAGGCTAAGGAAGAAGCTGATAGAAAGGCGAAAGCAGCAACACCATCGCCAACTCCATCTCCTTCACCATCTCCATCTCCTTCACCATCACCAACTCCATCGCCATCTCCATCTCCTTCACCATCAATAGCGGCTCCTGTGAGACAATTTGGTGCATGGGGTGCTGATTTAGTCAAAGATGCTGCACAAGGAATTGGAAAGGAACTGAAGAACACAACATTAGGTACAATAGAGCGTTTTGGTAATCTTACGGATTACACAATTAGATCAGCTGCTAATCTTTTATATAACCAGACTACTGATAACGGTACTGATGAATTGGCTGTAAACGGACTAGCATCAATTAAGAAATCAGCAGAAGATAAATACGATGAATGGAAAAAGAATATTAAGGGTGAATATAATAAGTATGCATATCCTGAAGAACATATGAAGTTAGAGCTTACCAGACTAAGATCAAAATATGGTAATGAAACAACAAATACTACAACGCAAACGACGAAAGCTGACAGAAAGATTGATGACACTCCTACTCCAACTCCTGCAATGGCGAACATCACAACAATTGCTCCAAGAGTTCCAACAGGAGAAGGTATATCAGGAAATGTTTCAACTACTCATAACATTACTGAAGCAGCTAATGTTTCAGCAGTTGAGCAACCTGTTGTTAATGTAACTCAGGAAAACGCTACTGAAACATCAACACCAAGACAGGATGTAAATAATGAACGTCCAGAAGTTAAGGAGGTTGCAAAAGCATACCTGGAGAAAAATACTACACAAGTTCTTGAAGCAGAAAAGCATCTCAATTCAGACAAAACACCATCTCCAACTCCTGAAGCATCAGTTCCTCCAGCAATTGGTGGAAATATACCTTCAGTATCACCATGGCAGAAATTTTATGGATTGTTTAAAGGAGCGAATAAGGTAATGGATGCTGCTGAGAATCTCCAAAAGTTCAAGAATGAAGTCGCAACTGGTGCAAAGGAAATAGAAGAGAATGATAAACAAGCTGCTGAATTAGCTAAACAACAAGCTGAAGCAACTAAACAAGCAGCAGCTCCTAAACAATCTATATCTAAGTCTCAAAGACAAGGTCCTGACCCAAGTGCTAAAGTCAAACAGAATCCAACACCACCTGCAGCAGAGAAGTCCAAGAAGGACAAGGACAAGAAGAAGGATAAATCAAAAAGACAAGGACAAGAAAGAAAGATAAGGATAAGAAAAACGTCAAAAGATAAAAAACATAAAAATTTATCCAGTAAGAAATGAGTCAAGTCATTAAAGCATCAACTAAACAAAAGTGGTTAACTGAATATATAAAAGATGGTAAGGTTCCTGATGGATATTATGTACATACAATGAAAGACGGACGTGTACAGTTCCGTAAAGTCAAGCAACCTCTCAATGATGAACAGATCAGAAGGAAGATCTCATTGTATGAAACAAAAATAAAGGACTTACAAGCTAAACTCGAAACCCACGATACTTCTCAAGAAAACTAGGCATATCTTTAACATGACCTTCATTAATATTTTTCCCCAATACTGTACTTCCATTTGTGACAACCTGTTTGGATTACCTTCACGCATACCTCTACCTGTCACTTTTCCTGTATTTTCGTTCTCAAACGTAACATCATACTTTACATCATTACCGACAAGTTCATGACCATCAATACTTTTAACAGCACCGTGTCTTCCTTGATCTAAAGTTTCTCCTTGCTTTAATCCATGCTCTATTTTTGTCCATATCTGATAACGTGGATATCTTGCAACACTTCCATCTTTTGCTCTTAACAAGTATGCACTTGTATCAACTGAATCAACTGTATAATAAGAAGGATCAAGATGTCTTCTTTGTTGGTTACCTTTACCCCATGTTCTTGGTTCAACTATGACTTGAACTTTTTGACCAGGTCTTAAGTTATAAAGGTTATTTTTTCTGACATACTCTTCTTTCAATCTTTGCTTCTTTATATATTCCTCATTATCCTTTTCTGTGAAATCATCAGGCTTTTGTTGTGTGCTTGAATGATATTCAGTGTTGTAGTCATTAATAATTTGTCTCATTGTATCTGCAGTGAAAGGTGGTGTTTTATCACCTTCTTTGAGGTTTAACTTCATATGTAACATAGTTCTAATAGTTCTACAGAACCTATTAATAATACCTAGTATGTTATGATTGTATTTCTGTGTCGTCATGTGCTCAATGTTATGACTGACCAACAGATCTCGAACATTTTGTGTCGTATAAGCTGGGTCTTCATCACTAGTAAGTATTGTAGGCTTCATTTCACCTGTAGCTTGTGAAATGAACTTCTGCATTGCACTTAGAACATTGTTTGAGTTCTTTTCACTCATTGGGAACGCATAACCTTTTCTACTGTTTACATTGATGAACAAAAGAAAATATGGTGGTGTTCCACCAGGATTCTCAAATGTATCGAATTGATAAGCTCCCATATCAGTTGAATATATTGGTAGCATCAAATCCTCTTGTATTAAAGTTTTTTCTTGTTTACCAACAGTCATTTTTTTATTAACGTTAAAGTCTTACAGGCATTGAGTAATCGCTATAACCATCATGGTCTGCGAATTCATGTAATCTTGATGCATCAGGTTCTTTCTTCGTTGGTGCATGAAACCTTGCTTCATCATAAAGGTTCATATAATGGTTTGTCACGTTTGGGGTAGACCCAATTTTTGCATATTGAGGATATGAGTAATGATACACTAAGTTGAACCCATTACTACCATCATCAACATATATCTTTGGTGGAGGTTGTCTTATTAAATTCCTTCCTCTTGGGGCTTTGAGTTGGACGATCTGATCTAGATCATTGTAAACAACTCCTGTTGCAGTATATTCTGTGTTGTTCTCTGGGTTAATGTTCGTCATTTATATGAGAATAAAACAATTTTTACTCATAACAAATGAGATCGAAGTCAATTCTTTATGGTGCAGCTAATCTTCCAATTGAACCAACAAGCAATGTTGATTCAAGAACAACTAATAACATTGTGATAAAGAACTATCCATCTGGTACAGTAAGTGATGCTCCAACAGAGATAAAAAAAGAGGAAACAACTACGAACTCAGAAGCACCAATGTATCCTCCTCCTTTAAGTCCATTAACTTCCAACCTGACCTCATCGAGATCTGTGGAGACTTCATCGAGGATTGGTGTAGAAGAGTATTTACTTAGTATATACCAGAAGATACTTCTAGACCAAGACAAAGAGCTCTTTTCTAACTTAGTGAGCAAAGATCAGATCTTACTACCTAAGCCAGACTTGGAAGAAGTTGTTCACAGAATGACTGGGTTCAAGTGTGAAATAGACCTACTGGACCCAGACATCACATGTTGTGGTATTCCACCACCTTTCTCAAAAATAGCTCAGATCAGAATCATTGATGAGAACAATATTGCTCAAGAGTTTAAGTATGCATATAATGCACAATATACTGAGTTAATAAGTAGGTATAATTTATGTCTTAAGTATGTGATCGTTTAACCGAAAAGTGACATTTCCAATGAGCCAAAGACTACAAAGGTTCTTTGACCTAATTGCTGAGGAAGATGAACCAATATCTGTAGGTAAAGCAATGAGAGTTCATCACAACGTATTTGGTGAAGAAGATCCCTTCTCAAATCCCGAAGAAGCAATTCTTACCATGTTCATAATGAAATGGTATGAAAAGCATCGTGAGGTTGAAGTTTCATACTACACGTTCTTGTATGAGTTAGGAAAATATAACGTCAAGATGAAAGAATATCTTGAAAAGAGAAACAATGAATAAAACTTATCGTTTACTCAAGTAATTATTTTTAGTACTTTTCGACGTACTTTTTGATCTTGTCAAGAGCTTCGAGCATCTGCTTCTTTGCATTGTGCTTGGCGAAGATGGCTTGCTCAATGGTGAGCTCGAAGGCTTCTTTACCGATCGGCTGGTGTTCGCGAAGATCTTTGAGTGCATCAAGAACTGCAGTGTACTCTGATGGTAAATGGGAGCCATCAATGAGTGTATAAAGGATGAGCATGTACTCCTGCAGTAAGTTCTCCTGTTTCAAGCGGGACTTGAACTCTTCGCGGAGATCTTGAAGCTTTTGGAGCTTCTCAGTGGCTTGAAGGTAGTCAATGATGACCTTCTCTTGTCCCTCAAGTGCTTGTGGGAGGAAGTGGACATAAGCTGTTGACTTCATCAAAAATGAAGTGGTCATGACACTTTTTAAGTTAATGTCCGAGCCATACAGTGATGTCGAAGCAGCACATGAACCAAAGAAGAAGTCTTGCTGGGAAAAGACAAAGATTGTTGGTAACGCAATCCTAGCCATTTGTGTTGTTTTGAACTTGATCGTACTTCTGATCTTGTTCTACAAACTCAACAGAGGTTATTGTCTCAAGTAAACACTTATTTTTATTACCATATAAATGATTTTTACCAAACCTCCTTTACCTTTCATAGGTAATAAGTCGAAGATCAGGAAAGATCTTATCGACATACTCAAAGACATCAAAGGGGATTATGTCTTCGTTGACCTATTTGGTGGTTCTCTCTATATCTCTCATCTGTTGCATATTATGTTCCCAAAAGCAACGATCATAGCTAACGACTATGATAACTACGTTGATAGACTGAAACACATTCATGACACGAATGAAATACTTAAGGAACTTAAGGAGAGAATAAATGTTAAGCCAGATGAGAAAATTCCTACTGATCAGAAAGAGATCGTCAGAGAAGTTATAAGTAAAGCTCCATACATAGACTGGGATACATTATGTTCACGTCTTCTCTATTCTGGAGCATACAAATACTATGATCTTGACACATTAATGAAGAAAGTGTTATACCTCAGATATACTAACTTATTTGGTGAAAACATAGATGACTATCTTGAAGGTTTAACTATTGTTCATAAAGATTGGAGAATACTCTTCAATGAGTATAAAGATCTTCCCAATGTTTTCTTTATATGTGATCCTCCATACTTCCATACTTATTCTATACAGTATGGAGATGAATGGACTCTTAAAGATACTGTAGAAACCTTTGATGTCCTTAATTATCCATCTATTTACTTCAGTAGTGATAAATCTTATACAGAAGAACTTATAGAGATATTGACAAAAAGATATGGAGAGAAATTTCCTATGAGAAAGCATGTTATAGATAGAGGTTTAATTAATCCTAACACTCAGAAAAATAATGAAGTAATATATGTCACTTTTTCTGTTAATGGAGAAGAGAAAGATCAAGAAGATAATAGTTGATGAGGGAACTGAAGAAGCGACGACATTCATCTTTGACGACGGAAAGCTCACATTCGTTGTCGATAAAAATGGACAACACTTACACAAAAGAAAGAGACCAAGAAAATTTTTAGATCTCCCAAAAGCTAGGAAACCAAAGGAACCATTTCCAGTACCAGCCGTCCAAGAACCAGAGAGACTTTTGATACCAAAACCTGTGGTTGACAAATATGATCCAGATCAGTTCTTCCCAAAAATACCAAAGTTAGAATAAAAACTCCTTTATTTCTTTAGTATTATATAATAAGTCTATTAGTAAGCTCTGTTCTCGTTCTGTTCTGGTATTTTGACGTCTTTTCATGGTCTCGCATAATAAGATCATGAACTTTTTCTTGAGATACTCGAAGAGCTGAGGTAAGTTATCATATTCTGGATATGTAGGAAGCATCCCTGCTATCGTAAGTGTTGTATCAATAAGGATTGGACTTATATCGGAAAAGTCGAGATCTGGAGTAGAATAAGAAGGTAAGTCTCTTACATGTAGGTAGTCATTATATGCTTTACGCATGAGACTGAGTTTCTGGAGCACAACTATGAGACTTTGGTTCTGACGTTCAAGTTTGCTTAAAGTTCTCTCCAAGCTTCTGTAATAAACGTCAACCTCTGTAAGAGCAGATATTTTTGCATTGATCTCGGAGATCTTTTCTTGAACTTCACCAAGTTTGACCTTAACTGACGTTTGAGCTCCCATCATGTTTTCATCAAGGTCATTCTCTATGTCATCAATGATATCTTCCCATGAAGTCATGTTTTCATCATTGATCTTAACGTGAACACTCATGAAAAAAATGTCATGTAAAGTATAAATGTCAGATTTTTACTCTTGAGCTTCTTCTCTCTGGATTGACTCGTCTGTAGGGCTTAATGTGCCATCACGTTCGACCAGAAGGTTCTGCTCAGGTCTGTCAAGGAGCTGTCTGTAGGTCGTGAAGGTTTCAACGAGTCCTTGGTAAGGAGTTTGGAGATCAACATCGACCCATGGGTGTTTGCGTAAGAAAGCAGCAAGGCTTTCACGCTTGGAGTCAATGACATCTTTCTTATTGGTTAATCCTTCTTCAAAGCTTAGGATTACTCCTGCAGTTGATTCAAGTCTTTGGATCTGGCGTCTGGAAACCTTGGTGAGTTGTCTTATCCTCTCGTTTCCAAATACATGCAGGAGATATGCAGAAATTACTTCATTAAGTTCGATTAAACAAATTGGATGAAGATCAGTCATGGCTTTTGTAAAGCAATCTTTTGTAAAGCTGTCTTTTGTAAAGCAGACTTTTGTAAAGCAATCTTTTGTAAAGCAATCTTTTGTAAAGCAGACTTTTGTAAAGCAATCTTTTGTCAAGACGTCTTTTGTAAAGCAGACTTTTGTAAAGCAATCTTTTGTCAAGACGTCTTTTGTAAAGCAAAAGTATTCAATTTTGTGAGAAAATGCTTTTGTAAAGCAGTCTTTTGTAAAGCTGTCTTTTGTCAAGACGTCTTTTGTAAAGCTGTCTTTTGTAAAGCAGTCTTTTGTAAAGCTGTCTTTTGTAAAGCTGTCTTTTGTAAAGCTGTCTTTTGTAAAGCTGTCTTGTAAAGCTGTCTTTTGTAAAGCAGTCTTTTGTAAAGACATAACCGACGACCGAATGTCCCAAGATGGTACAACACCAGCTCCAGCATCACCAACACTAGATATGATGGCAATGATGATGCAGATGATGCAACAGCAAACCCAGCTTATACAGCAAATGCAGGAAAAGAAAACTTTCAATAAACCTGCAAAGAACTCACAAGATCTTGAAGCTGGACTCAATGCTCTCAGGAACGACTACAAGAGAGAGCAGATGACGTTTAGGAAGAAGGGTGATGAAGATTATGAGAATGATCCGATCGAGGAAGACGAGATCAAGTCCACTGCATCCACAAAGACCCTCCAGGATGAAAGAGATGATGAGGGATTCCTTACCAAGTCTCAAAGACTCTTTGTCCTTGAGTTCTTCACGATCTCTGCCTTGAGATCTATGAGGAATTGGAAGGGTCGCGTTCCAAGTGGCTCAAACAAGCGCGAACTACTCATGACCGCAGTACCGCTCACTAAGACAAAAGTCCAGCTCATGGACTTTATCCTTTCCGCTTGTCCCGACGAGATCTAAGATCTGATCAGAGTAAAAACTTACATTTATGAGCTAAGCTCAGTAATAATTAGTTGTTTATTCTTTCTTCTCATACTTCTGTGCAAGGTTTCCACGGAAGAACTCAAGCAACATTTGGATCTTTCCAAGCTTTCGACCTTCTTTTTCGAGGTCATCCTGGTAAGTTCGGAATGCGTCAACGTGTGAGCTCGCATAGAATGCAGCAACAACAACCTCTTCTGCACCTTCTTTGCTGTCAAGTGGCATGAACTCGAATCCTTCCATTCGACCAAATAAAAGTGACAAAAATGTCAATGAGACCCACTCGTTGCATAGATGCTAAACCTGGTCCGAAGATGCAAAAGTTCTTCAGAACACTCATGTCTGACCAGAGGGAGTACGGTCATGAAGAGGTCATACAGATCTTCGATCAGTGTGTACCAAAGCCTGAGAATCCAGACGAACTCTTCATGTAAATTTACTTGCTTCAATGGAGAGATGAGAGACCAGGTATGAAACTCAGACCAATAACAATCTTTCCAGGTTTCTGCAATTACCTAGAACAAGCATGCCAGATCAAATGGTCTGACACCATCTTCCTCCAAAAATAAACTTTATCGTTTATAACACTTCAGGATCTACATCTATTTCTTCTGCTTCATCCTCAATGTCGATCTCTTCGACAGGTTTGATAGCAGCTTTGAGTAAGTTCTTACCCATTGTCTTAAGTTCAACTGGGTTATATTCTTTGTCTTTACTCTTTGTTGATTTCGTGAGATCTACATATAAACAATAACTTTTAGTCTTGTCAAGGTTTATTCTCGCTGAGAAATGGTCAGGAATGTTTATAGCTATCTTTTCAAACTTGAGTAAATTAGCTAAACCTTCATTTGTGTATTTCTGCTTATCGACAAAGATCATGATCGGACTTGCACTATAACCATACTTTCCTTGACATAATGTTTGTGGTAAGCATATAAGTAGTCTCTTTGCTGTTTTATTTTGCTTCTTCACTTCATCTACAAACTGTTGGATCTTAAAGAACTTTATATGATGTTCAGACATCTTTATATACCCGATAAAAAGTTCAGATAAAAAAATAATTAGCTATATTTTTATTAGTGCATAAATGAGTCTTTCTTTGAGATTTTCTGATGAAGATCTAACTTTGGTAAGATCTTTAAAAGATGATGAAAACATTCTTTCTGTCATTGATGAAGAAAAGAAATACTTCAGTAATGATGTAAAAATAGAGCTACTCATTCATACTGAGAAACAGTTTGTGATCGTGATCTTGAGTTAAGCAGCTCTGAACCAAGCGAATACAGTCATAAATGGTGGTAAGAAGTCTTGACCTTTTCCTGTTGCATCTGTGATTCCAGCTACTGTGTGAGTATGGTTTCCTGCAGATCCGCAGAAAATACCTGTACTAACATCTCTAGGGTCATCTGTGATATCATATCTATTCATACCTTGTCTATCAGAACCTGCTGCAAGATTTGTATAACCTCTTTTTGTCATTGAATGTGAATGCTCTCCATTAGTAGATGTTGTTGCACTGAACCTATGGGAGTGTGGTGGAAGGTTTTCAACTCTGATAGTCTTTGAACCACCAAAGTCCATTGATGAGTTAGAACAGTAAAGAAACTGATCAACAATCGGTTGCCAAACACCTCCATAAAGGGTTTGCGGGCTTGTTGAGCTCATTGATGTAAATATAGAACCAATTGGATACATCATGTCAAACATGTTAGAAGGTCTATAAGTATAATCTACTGTGGTGACATCGTTCAAATAAAACTCAAACGTATCTCCAGGATGAATAGTTAAGTTTGTTCCATCTTTTTTGTGGAACACAAGTTCAATAGATTTACCATGACTCAATGTATAGTAACTTGGACCTTTTTCTGATGGACCAATGTTATAATTTATAAATATTGCAACTTTACCCATATCATTATTACCAAAGCTAACTGTAATGCTTTCAGGTATTCCATTGTTTACAGATGCATTAGAGATCTTTGAGATCTGTTCATTAACATAAGTTTTGTCTGCTTTGTTGTCTAAAGAAGTTTGAAGTGAATTTATGTCGGAGATATTGTGTTTATGAGATTTCAAAACTTTGTTCGTTGCGTCAAGTTCATCTTTGTCAGCTTTACTTTTAATAGCATCTTCAACGGTTATTTTTGCCTTAACTCTCAACCTAAATCTTGGCTCAACTAATACACCGTTAACAAAGAAGTATGAAGCATAAATTTCAGCGTTATAACCAAATGATTGTGGTGCTATACCTGTGTCATACTGTACAGTACAGTGTATGTCATAACCTTTAGCACGAATGAATTTATATCTTCTTTCATTAACATTTTTCGTATTCACTTTTTCACCCTGTGTTAAATATCCGTGGTAGTCCGTTATAATCTGTTCATCTGAACTTATATAATGAACATGGTTCTTGTCAGCTTTCTTATCTAACATTGCTGGTAGTTCATATACTTCGAAGTTTCTGGCATGACCTTCAATGTTCGTACATTTACTATCTAAACTGTTAAGAGTATCTTTTACGCTAGTGCTTGGATCTTCTTGTGGAGCACTTGAACCTAAAGTATAGTTCAAGATAATGTCATCAGCTCTTATTTTCTTGATTTGAACTGGTTGGTCATTATCAGCTCCTATTTTATTGATTATAACAGGTTTGTCTTCTCTTGAACGAATTGATTTAACTGTCAAAGGTTCAGTGAACTCATTATTTTTCAAAGGAAACAATGTTGTATTGATGTTTTCACCATTAATATATACTTCTTTTGTATCAATACCAGATGGGAATGAAACTCTTTCATTAACTTTAACTGTTGTACCATCACCTGGGTACATATCTTTCTCTGGACCTTTGATTGTCTTAAGTATGACAGACTGTGATAAAGTATATTCTTTAGATGCAACTTTACGTATCTCTTCGTCAACATAACTTTTGTCAGCTTTGTCTGCAATCTTAAGTGCAGTTCTTCCTCCATTATTTTTGTTCTCCTCAACTTTCTTCGCTAATTCAGCAAGAATGAGATAAAGATAATCAGTAAGGTCATCAGTACCAGACATATTAATATTATTGTTCTTTCTTGATGTATTAGCAACTTTCACTAAGGTCACAAAATCAGGGTACAAAGTACTTAACGTAGAAATGATTGTTTTTGGTCCAGGATCTTTCTCTTCTTCATCATTAGCATCACGTGGCATTGGAATTGGTTCCAAAGGTCCAGTCACATCAAAACTCTCAAGTTCCATATAACCTTCATTTCTGAATCTTTCTATATGAGTTATCTTCTGGAAACTTGTTTTAGTCTTTTCAACTAAATTTTTTATTCCATCCACAAAACCTCCTTTATGATTTGGACCAAGATTACCCAGAGTGTCAAGAACAGTATCTATACCTTCTTGACTTTCAACAAAAGCCCAAAGAGCATTTATTTGACTCTGGAGTGATATCCATGAGGCTGCAGTAGCACCGGCGTTTGCTATGGCAAAGATGAATGATAAAGGGTTGAACTTAAGACCAGATTCTTTATCTTTGACAATTTCAACGAAGTCATTGATATTTTTCTTCAAGTATTCCTTAGTCAGAAGAACTCCATCGCCAGCTATACCAGTTGCTTTTGTCTTTCCTTTAACATCAAATGTGATTGGTTTCTTCAATAAAATAACTTCTGGTGTTGTACTGATGCTATCATTAGTGGAGAAAAATTCTCCGACATGACTTGCTAAGTATTCTTTCGTCAATAATGTTCCATCACCAACAATACCAGTTGCTTTTGGACCATCTTCTGTGAATGTCAATGGTTTCTTTAACATAACTTTATCTAAGTATATTGCAATACCACTATTTTGTACTTGTTCATGACCTAATATATAAGCAAATGCTGCGTTTAAAGCATTATACAATGTATCTTCTTTAAATGTTAATTGACTGTTTTCAATCATTGGTATATTGAACAGTGTAGACCTTGGGTCAAAATGAACTCCATGGTCAATCGATAATAACCGTTTAACATGATATATTATAGTCTCTAATGCTTCATTAATATTTACCTCACGAGTTTCTTGCAAACCATTACTCGCCATACATGAAAACATATAATCTCTATCAGTTGTGAAGAATGGAGCATCTAAGTAATTATTCTCTACTTTTGTCACACGATTCTGTAACGCTTGAAGGTATTGATTTAAGTCTGTTTCAACAATTGTACCATCTGGTTGCTCGATAGGTAATATACCAGGACCGATGGTAATGTCTTCATCAGCACCTTCTTTATGTATGACTAAAGCATTATCAGTAATTCTGAGAGTATATTCTTTATATTGAAGTACGCTAGACTTATAACATTCATATGCATATGGAACAACACTCATTCTTTTACTACATATAAAAATGATGTATTATCTACAATCGACTGATCCTAATAACTACGGGACAATACAGTTTCAAGCAGATCCTAACATGGGGCATCCAAGTAAGATAAAGATGAGAGTAAAAAGTGTCAGTACTATGGCGAACTTTATTGTTTGTGACGAAACAGATTATTTTGTCTTACAGTTAGACGAAGATGGAGAAGAAAAGGTGTGTACATTTAAGTCAGCTCTTTCATTTGATATGGATACTATTGTATCAAAACTACAAGAGATTGTAACAAAACAGTTTGATTATTATAACAAGAAAAAAGGTCAACATAATGTAACAGTTTCACTGAGTGCTACGAATCAACTTATATTTACGTCACAGGACAAAGGACATAAAGTCTATTTAAAAGATGCTTCACATAGAGCAAATCTTATTTTAGGTGCATATGGAATAGAACTACCTATTGTACATAATTATTATCTACAAATGCCAAAACCACCTATGCTCAACTTCGGGTATCAGTTATACCTTCGTTCATCAATGTCTGTCATCTCTGGGTTCAATAATATTGACCAAGTTGATGATCGAAGAAAGATCATGTACAGATCTACATGTTATAACATCAATGAGTTCTGGATATCTGGTAAACCACTTATATGTAAGGAATCCTCACCATGGATAGATGCATTTCCATGGGAACTAACTAATGTTACGTTTACCTTAGTTGACTTCCAAGATCAGCCTGTTCGATTATTGTCACCAATGTTTATGGTGATAGAGATTAAACCAGATAAGCCAGAAGTTAGAGAAACCAATGATGTCAGTGATGATGATACAGAATCTTCGTACGATTATGATTACGATGACGATTAAAAAAAAATAACGTATATTTTTTTATCGGTTATAAAAGACCAACATGCTCAATGCTATAAAAGGATTAGTTAATAACCTTTCACCAGAAGATAAGAAAGGTATGCTTGATATGTTTGGGATCAAAATGCCTAAGAAAGCTAAAGACATTACCAATAAATTAGCTCTGGCAATTAAGAATCAAGGAGGTACAGGAAGTGTAGCAGATATTTTCAAGAATGCTAAGAGCTTCTATGATGACTACAATGGTATCATGAATGTTCCAGCTTCAAATTCCCCAGTTGCTTTAGATCACGATCAGAGATCTCATAATAGAGCGTTAATGGAGATGCAACCAATATACTCAGACCCTCCACCAAAGATTGATGAGAGCGAATTAGCATACAAAGAAATACAGAATGCCTTTTACGTTGTTAAGAACATTAATGGTCAAAAACTTCCTGATGAGAAATGGTTAGACCCAATAACTAAAGCAGGAGAAAGATTCATTATGTTTAACATTGACCAATACAGTCCAAGAGGAAAAGATTACTTCAACAAGATGTTTCCAAGAGTTATGGCAAAGTTCATTGGACAGATAGACCTTTTCAAACAGAAGTGGACATTCTATTACGACTTTGATGAGAAGAGAAACATTTTGCGTCATTTGAACATCAATACAATGGGATCATTAGTTCATCAGTTACTTAATGAAGCTCCAATAGCAGAAGTACAAGAATTAGCATCTAAAGTCCTTGAATCAAACTATGACTTCTTCCTTTGTAGTATTCCTTCGTTAAGGAAGATCGAGATCTTTGACTATACAGCTTATTCAGATGTTGATGCTTCTGCTTTGAGAAAAGGAACGTACACACCATATAAACTCACAGCTGAAGAACAAGTTATGTTAGATACGATGAGAGCAGCAGGTCAAGAAAAGATCGCACTCAAGATCATCAAACAAAACCATTCAAAGAAGAGAAACAGGTCACGTAATGGTCAGCTTTGGACATGGACATGCAAATTACCTATTAACTTAGAGAGGTATCAGATCTTCAACGAACTTAATGCAGAGACAGCAAAGAAGATGATGAAAGATTCATGTTTCATCTACGCTTGTATTCAAGCTGGTGTTGACGAAGCAACAATTAATCATATGAGGGAAATCATTCGTGTCAAAGATTTTCCAATGTCAAAGATTAAGGTTATTGCCAAAGAAACAGGAATAAGGTTCCATGTCATCAAATACAACGAGAAGTATTCAAATCATTCATATACTTAAGAACCAGATGAAGAACCAAAGATGACAGTAGAACTTTTATTAATGTATGACCACTACATGTTGAACGAAAAGCTTCCAATAAGTTCAATGTTCATCAAGAACTATGAAGATGTTTGTAAGTTGTGCAAGGATTGGACTTTAGAGAAGAAGATGTTAGTTAACAGAAGATATGAAACAAGGTATGCAATTAACTCAAAGTTAGTTACACCACTTGCAAAAGTCATTGAACTCTTGTTTGCTAACAATTATTTCGAACCAATTAGAACAGGAGAACTTTGCACATACTTCACAACGATGTATAATGAGAACCTTGAAGAAATGATTGACCTCACATACAATGAGCGTTATTGCGCAAGGATGAAGAAAGATTGGAGTTCAGAGACGAAGAAAGACATGAAGTTCCCAAGAGAACATGTTTTCTTTGCTGACTTCGAAGCATCAACTGATGGAAACATTCACAAAGCATACAACATTTGTTTCATGGAAGATGACGATGATGGTTATACATCAATTTGGGGAAGTGACTGTGCGTCAAAATTCCTCGAAGCTTTACCAGATAAGAGTTTAGTTTATTTCCACAACTTATCGTACGATGTCACTTTTCTCATGTCTCAGTTAGAAGAGATTACAGGAACTCCAATCATCAAAGGTTCACAAACGATGCAGATACAAGGAAAGTACAAAGGAAAACTTCTCTGCTTCAAAGACTCTTATGCAATCATCTCAACTAAGTTGGAAAGATTCCCTGAAATGTTTCACCTCACTAGTGGTGAAAAAGAAGTTTTCCCATATAATTACTACACGGAAGAGTTAGTTAATACAACTAAAGTTGGTAACATCGATGATGCCATGAATCATGTCAAAGATATTGAAGCTTTTAATGAGAACATTGAGAAGATTGAAGATTGCAAGATTGATGATGAACACTTTGACATGGAAGTTTATTCGTCATTCTATTGCGGTCAAGATGTACGCATTTTACGAGATGGCTTTCTTAAGTTCCGCAATGACCTCATGACTGAGTTTGAAATAGATGCTTATGATTATGTTTCAATAAGTTCTATCTCAAACAAACTCTTTGAGAAGAGAGTATATTGGAAGAACGGTAATCTCTTTGATCTTGCAGGAAAACCTCGTGAATATATTTCCAAGTGTATTCAAGGAGGAAGATGCATGCTAGCTGAGAACAAGAAGCAATACAATGAAGGAGAACTCATCACTGACTTCGATGCTGTATCATTGTATCCATCAGCAATTGCTAGACTTTACTGTTTAGAAGGAATTCCAAAAGTTATGACAGAAGAGATGAAGAGCAGTGAATACTTGTTGGAGCATCTCTTTGATGATGACCAAGCTGAACCAACAAAGGAAAAGTTCATCTCAGGATTTTACTGTCAGATCGAGATCTTGTCGATCGGTAAGAACTCAGCATTCCCATTGATTGTCGTCAATCCTGACATCAACCCTGACTTACATGTTGCCAGAAGTTCCAATACATGCTGCAAGATGTTCGTAGACCACATTACGCTTCAAGATCTGATCAAGTTCCAAGAGATCTCATGCAAAGTCATTGATGGATACTATTATGATGGAAAAAGGGACATGACAATAAGGAATGAAGTTAAGAAGCTCTTCGAATTACGTGCTAAGTATAAGAAGGAAGGTAATCCGATACAAGAGATCATCAAACTTCTTTTGAACAGTATCTATGGTAAGACGATATTAAAGCCCATTGACAAAAAGATTCGTTTCATCAAGGACAATAAGCTCACTGACTATATCATTAAGAACTATAATGACATACAGACAATAGAGTTCATCCCCGATTCCGAACTTTCATGTGTAAAGTCATTTAAACCTATCGTTCGTCACTTTAACTATTGTCCATTAGGTGTTTCAATCCTTTCTATGTCCAAACGAATCATGAATGAAGTATTCTTCACAGCAGAAGATTTGGGCTTGAAGTTGTTCTATCAGGATACAGATAGTTTACACTTGTATGAGAAGGACTTAGATAAGTTAGCAGAAGAATACAAGAGAAGGTATAACAGAGAACTCATTGGAAAAGCACTGGGTCAATTTCATTCAGACTTTGCAGAGATTACTGCAGGACATATGTCTAAGGCACAAAGATCTATATTCGTTGGAAAGAAGACTTACCTCGACGAATTAACCAATGACCTCAAGGAAATTGCTTTCCACTGTCGAATGAAGGGAATCACACAGGACGTAATTGCACTTACTGCAAACCAAATGTTCCCAGATGCGATACAAGTACATTATGACGAGAAGAAAGGTTTGTTCTTCCCTGAGAAAGTTGGGGAAAAATATAGCATCGTGGAATTGTACAAATCTCTTTATGAAGGTGATGAGATAACCTTTGACTTGTGCATTGGTTCGAAACCATGCTTCAACAAAAATAAGGACTTCACTATTTCAACGAAGTCATCTTTTGAACGTAAGTTAAAGTTCTAAACACTTACTTATTATTTTTCTTAGCTTCTTCCTCTTCTCTCAATTTCTTTGCAATCATTCGTGGATTCTTTGCGCGTCCAGCTGCTAATGCAGCTAATTGTTTCTCTGTGAGTTTACGCTTTGGTTTAGCTGGTTTCTCTTCTTGTGTTTGTTCTTTTGGTTTGAGTTCATTAAGTATTTCTTCACGAAGTTCATTCTTGAGTGCTTCTCTGTCGAAAGTATTCTCAGTCATTTTGTTAGGAGTAAAAAATTTTATTAGGATAGAAATGACGTCAAAACTTTCACCAAGTGAAAAGCAATCAATCATATTGAATGAAGCTAAAGGAATACAACATCCATTATATTATGTTTGTCATATGAAGAATGGTTCAGTTCAAGTTAGAAAGAGAAAGGCACCATTGAATTCACCAGCTCCTGCCCCAGCTCCTGTTGTTCAAGAAGCTCCTAAAGTTGATGAGAAGAAAGAAGAAGAACAAGCATATACTAATAAAATGTTGTTAGAGATGATGACAAAGATATTAGAACGTAACAGTGTAGTTAATGAACCAAACATGGACCCAATTGAACGTGAGAAGGAAACTAAAGAGAATCAAGAATATGTTCAATCAATGGAAGAGAAAAGAATACACTTCGATGATGAACCAGAGCCTGAACCAGAACCTCCTAAACCTCAGCCACAAATAAGACGAATAATCCCAAGAATAAGAAGATTGTAAATTTTTTATAGCTGAGAAAGATGTTGAACGATAACCTCAATACATACAGTATTGCTGATTCCATCAGACAAGTAAGATATTATTTCGATCAAGTTGATGGGGCAGTTCCTATTGGAGATACTAACCATAGATATGTCCCAACAAAAGTGCCAGCTATGCCGACAAATACTATTGATAACGGTTATATTACATTTAACATATCACCACCTGGTGAGAACATGATTGACTTATATAATACGTTCATTAGTGGTTATGTCGATGGTGAGTGCATAATTACAACAGAAACTGAACCAGCTGATGAAAAAGTTCCTAAATATGATGGTGAAGTATATAAAGAAAGAGCTGTTGAGACAGCTCCTACAGGATCAAATGTTACAGCAATTAAAGCAATTGATACTAAATATGCTGGTGGCAAATCATGTGCACATCTTCCAGCAATTTGGTTGGGATACATTGATTCATTCTATGCTGTTGAATCATATCAATTAATCGCTAATGGTAAAAGTGTTTATACACAAGATAATGCTAGAGAAGAAGGTTACATTACTTCTACTGCATCTACAACAGAAGCTATTAAGAAAGTTGATGTATTTAGTAAGGCTAGACATAAAGATGTTTTCAATAGATGTGATACAGTTCGTTCTGGACAGATTATTGAGTTCAATAAACCAATTAGTGGTGCAACTACATTAAAGTTCCACATACCAATCAAGATTGACCTAAGAAGATTCCTAATACTTAATAACATTAGATTCCTTCCAGCGTTTGCTGGTAACTTACAACTTAAGGTTAAGTTCAGTATTGCTGGTATGGTTTGGACACCATTAAGTTATCAGGATATTCTACCATTACCGAACATGCAAGCCAATGTTACAAGCTATATTCCAATCACTAATCACTTCACTCCTATCTATGAAGGTATCAAAGTTATTGATACTGTAACTTGGAATGCCGATAAGAGTACGATATCATTTGGTACCAAGTTTATTAAGTTCACTAAGAAGAATGCAAACTTCTTTGAAATGATTACATACTGTAACTCATTCTCTTTGGACCCTAACATCTATAGTGATTTGGTGACAAGATATTCGGCAAAGACTCTAAACTTCCCAATCAAAAGAATTGACTGCATTACTATGGATGGTTCAATGGCTAAAGGTGAAGGAACTCCTTGTACATTCACGGCAGCATTTACTCCATTATATGTGAACACCATTTATACACTATTTAAGAAAACACCTAATTATAACACTACCTATGAAAATCCATTGTTTGAACAAATTCAATTGAACTGTGGAGCATATGGTAACATACCCGCTGAGGCTCAAGCATCTAATGATCCAATCTTCTATGAGATGCAGGCAAATGCCACTAACAATAATAACGATACTGTTGGCTTCAACTATGATGTCATGAGGTCTATCACAACCACATCAGTCCCTCAATTTGGAATCGAGTCAAATGACTTAGGTCATTACCTATGTGGATTCCCTTGCGAAACTGATTATACATTCCAACAGGGTCAGTTATCTAATTCACCTATTACATATAAGCTTACAGTTAAGCCAACAGCAGAGTCTATTAAATATACTGAGAAACCAGTGTTATGCTTCTTACGTCACGTTTGCCTCTCCATACAGATTAAACAGGTGGGACCACCTATCGTACTTCTCGACGATTATGATTTATCAGCCCCTGCTAGTGAATAAAGGTTAGTTTACATATGAACGTTTATTTTTACACATATATGCGTACATATGCGCGCCCGTATGGTGTCAGTTTTCTGTCACTTTTTTCATTGTGTCGGTGACTGTAGCTGTAGGCTACAGGCGACGCACAATGTATACTGTACTTATGAATGCAAAGCAATCAGTATTTAGGATATTGACCATAGATTTCGAAAAAAAAAATGCTGCATATTGAGCGAAAACTATGATTATATTATAAGGCTGTCATTTAATGCATAATGAAACTATTCCCTTTTCATTTTAATCGAATAAGATAGTAAAGATTTTTGAATTAGCTAGAAACTGATGAGATGTTTTCACAAATCAGATTTTTAATCTCTATAATGCATAATTCACTCAATATCTCAATTTTGATATTGCGAGATATTTTTGCTATCGGTTTCGCAATTTTGACACAATAGCAAGAGGGTTCTATAAGCATTATTATCAACGTAGAATCTGAATATCATATCAGAAAATGTCGCAAATCTGACATTTACCAGACCAAAAGCAAAAATAATTGAATACTTTTCGCAAAAACTTTAAAAATCGATAAAAATATGAAATATAGATATTAAAGAGACTTTTTATATAATATTCATAAAGATTTTCCAAAAATATGATACCGCAAAATTAAAAAAGTGACGTCTTGAGTGGAGTCAAATGTCGAAATTGCTAGCTAAATGTTTTTTTAGTGAAATTGCGTATTGTACGTTTTTTTCGCAAAACGAAACCCTTATTATATCTTCATGATTTTAATTGTCATAGAGATATCTAAACATTAATACAAAGTGACTGAACATTATAACATGACAAAGAAATTATTCATCATTAAGTTTCAAGTTCATTATGTAATCAATCAATATTCACAACAATAAATTTTCGATATAATATCTCCGATCAATCAGTAAGTTATTCTATCTTAGACTTCATACTTATTAAGATCTTATACGAATTTTTGATCATAAGCAATCAGAGGGCAAAGCAATTTGTTTTTCATAATACAAAGTAGTTCAAAAACAGAAAAAGAGTAAGAAATTTATATACATTATTCACATTTATATTTTCTTTTTTGTATTTTTCATATTATGAAGTAATCAAGAATTACTTCTCAGCTTTCTCTTCTAATTCGTCTTCCTGAGGCTCGTGATCATTGATGTACTTGATGTCATCCTTTGGATCACCCCAGTTTCCAGCGCCGTTTCCCTGGCGTTTTGTCTTATCTCTTCTTCCGTTGCCTGGATCATGACGATCTTTTTGGCGAACAATCTTTTCACGCTCTGGCATCTCTGGACCGTCTTTTGGATAGTCTTTAAGCACAGCAAGCTTATCTGACATTTGAAAAATGAAGTGATTTAGTCTAAAATCTTCAACCTATCAATTTTTTTATCAAACCGAAAAATTTTAGTTTAATTCAAAATCACTTCACCTCATTTATACTTCATTCAAATTTTCTACTGTTTCATCAATAGCTAATGCAAAGATATTCCCAATGCATTCATTATAAAATTCAATATCATCGTCATAAATCTCATTTTTTTCCCAAACAAAATGATTCTTTTTTATTAAAACATTGAAATCAATTCTCGATATCAGATGACTCATATACTTGATGTATATTCTAATTTCTAACGAAATAATCATTTTGGTTCCGATCTTTCAATAAAATGATTGAAATATCCTTAATTCCCTAATGTACATCATAGATTGCGTAGAATATAAGGCAGTAATGCATTTCTTGATATTGAAATCCATCAAATTTATATATCAGAATTTTTCGAAAATCTAATAACAAGATTGACCAGCCATAAACCATTACACTATAATAGAAATCAAGTAAAATTGCGAAGTAGTACCAAAACAAAACGAATTGTTCAAAATTTGAAAATCGAAAAAAATATGAAAATCCTGTCCTTTATTAAACAAATCAATCAATCTATTTTACCTAAAAACCCATATCTTTCTTACTTAGAATAAAAAATTACGCTAAAATTTATCTCTTTTAATTTTTATTCCGTCCTCTTAGAAAAATTGAGAGTATTTGAAAATCTTTACGTCAATATATTAAAATTTCGAAAATTTTCAATAATTAATATCCTATTTTATGTGCTAATTTTAGTTTCATTAAAATCTTTTTTTATAGTCATGGAGGAAGTTCCTCATCGATAAAAGTGCCCTTTGATTTTTATGGTAGAAGTTAATCTTTCTCGATGGATTCAAGATCTATCTAATATTTTAGAAGCAGACAATGACGCAAGAACTCAAGCAGAATCGGAAATATATGAAGTTTTGCAAAAAAATCCTTCAGCTGCAATTACATTTTGTGCAGAAACGATTGGCAAAGAAGATATTCAAAGTTCGATCAAATTTCAAGCATTTAACTTCATGAATATTTATTTTCGAAAGCAACAATACAGTAATGTAACTAAATTTCACTTATTAGATCAAAACATCAAAGATATTATCCTAGAAGTCGGATTATACGGTTTACTCTTTGTAAATGATTCTCCAATCCAACAAACAGCCTCCATTTTACTTGCAAATTATTCCTCAAAATTACGAGGTGTAGAATTACAAAACGAAGTCCTAAACAGAATATTTACCACCTACAAAGAGAACTCCAACGATCTACCAGGCCTAATTATTGCAATTTCATATGCAATTGGACAAATAATTAATTTTTGCAATTTAATCGATTCGAAGCAGAAAATCGAAGTTCTCAATCAAATTCTACAAGAATGTCTAATCTACATCTCTAACGAGAGCTCCGAAGAATACAATGTTTTACAAATTGTCAAATCCATGGGAATTTTCATTAAATATTGTTCAGACGATGTTGCATCCATAGATTATGTACAGAGCATATGCCAAATCTATAATAATTTGTTCCGTTACCAATCAATTGAAATAATAATTTCATGTTGTGAAAATTTATTTGAATTATTCAGAATTATTTATCCCAGTATTGAAAATTTTTATTTTTCTTTTGTCAGTTTCATTGATGAGTGTTTTAAAGTAGATGAGTGTTATTACCATGCTTTAAAGTTATTACACAGCATGGTAATAACAGAAGTTAATCAAAGATTGGAGTTTAGTATTTCACAAGTTATTTTTGAAACTTTTTTTTCGAAATTTGGAGAAATATTAAATTCAATAACTAATATAGAAGAAGATACATTTACAGAAGAGACACCAATGAATGTAGTTACTGATATAATATCATCTATGTATAATATCAATAGCGAAGTCATATCAAATTATATCCAACAAAAATTTGAAGAAGGAATTAATTCAGGGAACTATAGTTTATGTTTTGGATCGATATATATCTTATATTCACTCATAAATCATCCACAAATTGAAGTTTTGGACTTCATTTATGATTGTATTTTAAAAATTTCTCAAAATCAAGTAGTTATTACACACATTGGTACATTAATTGCTTCTTATGATTTAATTGCTGTTATTATTGATAAATTATATGATATCTTTAATCGTCATGAAGATTTTCCAGAAATTATCTTCAATTTCATTCAAATTTGTTTAGAAATGGATTCTAGAGTCATCAAATCAGCAGCTTTGGTAGCAATGAATTTAGTTGAACTCTTATATCATGCTAAATATAGAATTGATTTCCAGAAACTCCAGAATTTCTATACATCGTTGTGGTCGAACCAAGAAGTGTTTGGACCTGTTCTTTGTTCGAATTTTTTCGAATCATTTGGTTCATTTTTATATCATACAGAAAACAATGAGTTAGCAACAGAAATGCAGAAAATGATAACAGAGAATATAAATGAGCGTATGAATATTCTTGAAACAGCTCAATATGAAAATGAAGATATAGAATTTCATAAATTTGTAATTAATTGTTTGTTAGTTTGCTTGGATAAGTCTGTAAGAAGATATATTGGACCAAATAAAGAGAAACCAAATAATGATTTGTATGAATATCAGATAAAAACAGCTGTTAGAGCTTTAAATCATAGTTCTGATTCTTTTATGATGGTAGCAATCGAATTCCTAGCAAAACTAAGCCAAATCAACATGAATAGTGATCATATAAGTTTAATCTTGGATCATATTGTTCCTGGACTTTCACAAGGAGATAAAACAAATTTTGACTACTCTGTGACCATCATCACTTCACTTTCCAATAATTTACAAAAATCATTTGACCAATTTGCCTCACAAACGTTTTTGATTGTATTTGAGAGAATACAGAATGTATGGAATATAATAACACCAGATTCACTTGGTTACGGACTTGTTTGTCTAGGAACTTTGATGATAAATAATTTTTCGGTTTTGGCGGATTATATTAATAATATGTATGATGTAATAAATCATTGCGTGCTGAGAATAATAGAATCAATTTCTGATGAAGATAAAAACGATTTTGGAATCTATTTTAGAGGATTGATAAAAGCAGAAACAGGATTCTTGACTGCAATAAAGGAATGCAATGTAGATCGTGATGAAGAAGTTTTAAATGCGTACGTGTCGTTAAAGAAAAAAATTTCATCATATTATATTTTGAAAATGCAGAAATTTATTGATCCGGGTATTTGGGTACCTGATTTTATTGATTTGCTGTTTAGAATGTATGATTTCGCTGTAATTTACAGATTTCCAAAATATAACGTTCAATTTCATTTGAAAATTGTTGCATTCGTCAAAGAATACTTCGCAGAGAATGAAAGAAATATATCTGAAGTACAAAGAGTATCAATGCTCTTTGATAGTTTTGCATCTTTATAAATTTTATACTTTTTTTTTGTTTTTAATAAATGTAAAAGTGTCTTATTTAATTTAGAAATCGAAAAATCAAAAGAGGTTCCTGATTTGAACAAAGGTACATGCACGAGACTTCCCAACGATAGATTTTCAAACAAATAGGATATTTAGAATCAGTAGGCTCCAGATATGAATAATATGATCTTATTTTGAAAAGTTATTAAGATAATAAAAAGATTTGTGAATTATATTTTAATTTCCCTAATTTTTATCAATTAATCATCAAATTATGATTTATATATCAAATGTAATTTCAAATAGAAGTAAAAATCAATATTCATATTCTGTATTTTAAATTGAAGTATTATTGGAGCTTTTGAATGTAACTATACCATTTCCAGCTTACATGAATATGATCCATTATGTAGTACCCAGTTTCTCAGCTAAATAAGAGATTTGAATATTAACTTTTGAGGATTTGACTGAAAATAGTATAATGAAAATGAGTCATTACAGAAATATTTTATATTCAATAAACCTTTTTTCGTAAATGAGAGTTCTTATCTTTTATCAAAAATCGCAAAGAAGTCTCTTGAAAATCTTGGAGTTCCTTAAGAAACGATATTATTCAAGATGCATGTCGAGACAATTTAATCAAATTAATCAGAAATCGAAGCAAAACCTCACATTTATTAATAATTTTAAGTAAGATTTAAAATTCAAGATTAGAATGTCTACTGAATGCTAACAAATACGAATAAAATCTCATCTCTCGACTAGGATATTAATATGAAACAGGTTTTCGTTTAAATCTATATAAAAATGAATAAAAACTCAACTTTTACACTTTTTATTCAAGTATTTTACTAATATAGATCATGGTTTATCAATACTTAGTACTATCTTTTTTGAAACAAATGAGAATAAGGATGATATTTGTGATTTTTAAATAATTTTTAAGATTCGTCTTTAATTCATCACATTGTGAGATGTATAAAGCATTCCCATAACTCATTCTGCTTAATTGATCAATTCAAAATTCCAAAAAAAATTCAAAAATTCAAAAATGAAAATCAAAAAGCTGATTTTTCTCTTGAAAAAATCAATTACAAAAAAAAATTTGGAAAATAAAAGTATTGTATAATTAGCCAAATCGTCAAATTAACACGTTTTTACTCATAAAAACACCTAATAATTTTTGATTTTGATATCATATTTGATAAAATGTCATTTAAGAGTTGATATAATGTCATCATTGTTGATGAAAATATTAATACTATAACAAAATTCTATTTTAAGATAGTAAAATAATAACGTTTTTATTTCAACAACAACAAGTAAATAGATGAATGGATACGTACTGTATTCGCATAAATGTAGTAACTATCATCTAGATCTGAGTTATGAATATTCCAATCAAAAATGTTATAAATTTGAAATCAGAAATATCCAAAGATTATGTGAGGCACTGTACACTAATTATAGAGGTTATTTTAATTCATAAGTAACTTATATAATAAAACCGATTTTTTATTTCTTATTGCAATAATTTCCTCAAATCTTAGTAACTTTTTCTATATTCCAGTAATTTGAATATGTATCATAAGGTAAGTAAAAAACCAAAATTACGAGGATTCTGTCGTTGCATTTTTGGAGTTGCAAAATTTCGATTTTTAATGTGGGATTTTAGCATGTGTAATCTTGTTCTTATCTCAACGCGAGGGTATAGCTGCAGTATGATTTAAATTAAAGAAGTTGAACTTAAATTGAATAATGCTGGAGAATAACTGACAATGCAACTAATTGTATATTACAAGATAGTTGCCAATTGGAGTAATAAATTATTCTGCATCAATCATTTCTTTCGTTTCTGGCATGGCGAGCAGAAAGAAAGCGATTAGTAACCCTAGGAAAAAAGAAGAGGGGTGTCACTTTTCGTGAATGTACCTTTATTTGAACAATAAATTAAGGTTTAGACATTTTCTGACAAAGAATTCTAATTAAACTACTTTGCAAAAGTACGACTTTTTGAGAGAAGTCATATAATTAATTATATGACTTCTCTCAAAAAGTCGATTTCTACTAGGATGGTCTTTTTCCACCTCGAAAACTTTCTTGGTTTATTCATCAAAACAACAATAAAAATACCAATGTTAGAGCAAGGTATTGCATTGTCAAATGCTTTTCTCTGATTTTTCTTTTGATAATTTATTATCCTATTTTATATCTCATGAAACCTTTAAAATTATAGATGATTAAAGGTTTTCTTCTGCAGTGAACCAGTGTAAGTTATCCAGACACTTAGTTCTTCACTAATGCTAAACTTTAATGTCTTTATTCATTATTTTTTCTGTTTTTGAAGCAATATTTGATTTTTCATATACTGGGAAATCTCAGAATAAAACACTTGAACCTGGATACTATAAATTTGAAGTTTGGGGTGCACAGGGTGGTGGATCTGCATACACTCAATCTGGTCAAGGAGGTAAAGGAGGTTATTCTGTTGGTTATTTAAACCTTGCTGAGACGACAACAATATATATCCAAGTTGGAGGTGTTGGAAAAGCAGCAGTATATAGATTGGCAGAAGGTGGATACAATGGAGGTGGCTGTGCATGGTCATCCGATTATGGTGATCCAGGACATGGTGGTGGAGGTGGAACAGACATCAGAATCAATGAAGATGACATTTATTCACGTGTAATTGTTGCAGGAGGCGGTGGAGGTGGTGGAGAAGATAATGAAATGGGAGGTTATGGAGGTGGCCTAACTGGAGGTGGAAATTCAGCTGGAAATAATTATCCAGGTACTCAAACTTCATCATCAAGTGGAGGTGCTTTCTTTCAAGGAGCACATACTGCATGGGATGGAGGTGGTGGAGGTGGAGGTACTCAAGGTGGCTCTCAAACGAAGCCAACAGGAAATTCTGAAGGTGATTCTAATGGAGGTAGTGGAGGTAGCGGTTATGTTTACACAGAATCAACAGCAAAAAACTATCCAATTGAATGCAAACTAACACCGAAATACTATTTGACAGAAGCATCTACAACTGCTGGAAATCAACAAATCACAAAACCAGATGGAACAACATCCACCGGACATTCAGGAAATGGATTTGCAAGAATTACTGTAATTGATGCCGATTTTAATTATTTGATATTAGATAACGAGTTATCTGTCAATGGATTCGGTAATAGATGTGCCAATGTTGTTGTCATAAAAACAGTATTAACTGGAAAGAATATTATTTCAATTGCAAATAATGCATTCAAAGATCAAAGTTGTATCACAGAGGTGAAAATACCAGAAACAATCAGAAAAATTGGTTCTAGTGCATTTGAGAATTGCGAAAATCTTGTTAATGTTTCATTTATTACTTCATCATCACTTATTTCAATTGGAGATTCAGCATTTAAAATGTGTTCTAAACTTAATTCTATATGTGATTTATCTAAAGTTACATCACTTGGTGAATATTGTTTTCAAGGGTGTTCTTCACTTCAATCTTTAAGTATACCGCAAGTTACTTCTCTAAGTAATTCACTGTTTCGAGATTGTACTGGTCTTACATCATTAAATTTATCAGAAAATTTAATTTCAATAGGAACTAGTGCTTTTCAAAATACAACTTTTTCAATTTTCAACATTTCATATTTAAATAAAATAGAATCAATTTCATCTTCTGCATTCAAAGATTGTTTTAATTTAGAAGAAGCATATATTCCACAAGAGTTAGATAGCATTGGAGATAATGCATTTGAGAACTGTGAGTCATTAAGGTATGTAAATCTTCCATTTAACTTGAAATCACTTGGGAAGTTCTGCTTCTCTGGCTGCAGGAATTTGCAACAGATTTATATTCCTTATTCACTCATTAATATAAAAAATTATGCATTCGGTTCCAGTGGAATTGAAACTGTTTTAATTCACTCGGATGCAGTTGTTGATGGTTATGCATTCTATAACTGTACTTTTCTAAAAAGAGTTGAGATATTTGATAATGCTATCGTGATGCCTAATGGTTTCTCTAATTGCACAAACATCCAAAAAGTTGTTGTGTATGATTATGTAACTCTTTTCAATAATTCTTTTGATACTATCAGTTCAAGTGTTTTCTATTTCGGAACAACTGATGTTTGCTACCCAAACACTGCAGAAGAGTTAGCAAGAATCAACAGCACTGAAATTTATGTAAGGAATGAGTATCCATCAGATAAATTCTGTGAAATACAGATTGTAAAATGTACTTCTGATTCTGTCTCATCAAGCAAGTGTTTAAACACTCCGTATTACAATGATATGCAAAGACTGGTATTAAGAGCTCGAAGAAGACGATGATATTTTTATATTTTTGTTTTGTTTGTAAATATTTTTTGTACGTGGTATCTTTTTAAAAGGCATTTTTATCCCAATGAATCCCTTCAAAACATGTTCTGTTTCTCTCAATTACTGGCAAAATGGCAGAAATTAAGAGGGCACCTTTTGATATTAAAAATCAAATTACTATAATTGTATCATACCAATTATGAGGGAAAAAAATCAAGATTTGAGACTTCTACATTTCCGGCATTCCTGCTTCAGTTTGTTACAAGAAGACATACCATCATTCATTGTTTCATTTGCTTGAGATAGTTTACTTTTAAAGTGATTTTATTGCGATTCTTCAGAACTTAATGGAATAGATCCTTTACCTATGTATATTTCTATTGATCAAACCAAAATTCGTATTCATTCTGATACATTTTAAGTGAAATAATAGAAATATATTAATAATCATAATAAATCTTTGAATATTCATACTTTTGCTTTTATTACTATAATTTTTTATTGGCTAATGCAGGAAATGCTGAATCAAATAAAGCACTGCTAATGATAACCAAACGAAAATTTATGTATTAAGGATACCCTTACATTGCGTAGTTAGAAAGAGAATATGATATTGTCATGATTGCTAAAGTTTTAGGCTCCAGAAATGAATATACATCAAACTGAAACAATTGATAAATTGAATGAACTTTTGAGAGGTTCTCAAATAAAAAAAATTATCTAATTTTTTACAATATTACTATTATTTTATCCACATATGTATATATAGTAATTTGAGAAAACTTTTAGGAAAAAATAAGTTTAATAAAAATCTGAATTTTACTTGTTGTGGGATTGTTATTAATTGACACTCCAGACGTATTACTAATAGTTATGCGTATGCAATTAAAGTATTTCTGATGGACAAAATGTGAGATTTATATCAGATAATTCATTTCTACTATTAAGTTATTCATTTATGAGTTTGCACTTATTCGCACTAAATAAATAACTATTAAAAATTGTTTTAATTAATTGACACCATATAATAGAGTGAATTTTGTTTGATCAAACAACAATAGATGATAGATATAAAGCCAAGAAACTTGCTATTAATATGCTCTACTTGCTATTTCAATGTAAGTATGATATTTTCTAAATGTTTCGTTCAGATAACTTAGATATATTAGTCAAAATTTGAAATTTTAATAGCACATATATTAAAAATAATTATTATTCATAAAAGATTAATGAAATAGTAAAAAAATCAATCAAATTATAAAAATACAACATTTAGAAGAATTCTTATTATCCTTCAAAAAGTCAGTATTTCTGCTGTAATTTTCTACAACATTGTAGTTATTGCACTTTGTCTATGGATTTGTATATATGTTATATATAAATTATATATCTAAACTGCCCATAAGTGCAATTTTTATATAAATTGTTTATTTCTTTAACAATTTCATATGAAATATGCTTTTTTAAGCGTATCAAAGCTGTGTTCTTAATGTGCATGGATATATCAAGAAAAATGTCGAAAAAAAATGTGAATTCACAAATTCACTGAATTTTCACCGTTTTTTGAATTTTGCTACAGCACTAATATTAAATAATACTAAAATCTTCTGTCTTTGTAAAAGAATAAATTCTGACAAAAGTGCTCGTTTAAATTTAATGATCATCTGTATGACTAAGTGGTAAAAAAGTGTTTATGACCAAAAAAGGGTTACATGCTTAGTCTATTTTTCTGACAGGATACTCTAGATTTACATGATCTCTATTTCATATCTCCGTTTTTAGATTCTTCGACAGATTTTATGATAGAAAACCAAGATTAACAAATTTCCGGCATGTTAATGAAGAAATCTGCAGCTACCCTCAATATTATTTCAATAATCAGTATCGTTTCTCTTACAATTTATTTTTTTCTCAATAATTTAACAAGAAATAACAATACACACTTGGTTTTACGTATAAAAGCTAAGTGTCGAACTTAATCAACTTTACTTACTTAGCAAATGAATATTTTTGTGGTTGCGAGTTCTGAATGCTGAAGTTTTAGATTTCTCTATAAATGATATCATTGCACTTACAATGTTGTTCCAGCCTATCGCATAAATCATAGAAAATCCAAAAAAAAAAATAATATAAAGAAAATTCATGTCATGAAGTTCAAAAAATACCGTGTAACATTAAAATTTGTTATGCATAATACATTTTAGCTATTATTGATTTTTTTAATTTTCGAGAAATTGAATAGTGAGTCCGATAGAGAAATTTTTAAAAATCCTAGTGCCTCATAGAAGTAATTTCCCTCGTCTCCCATACTTCCAAATGTATGCATATGACATAAACTTTTATGCATTACACAAGTGGCCAATAATATCTATAGAGTAAAAAATTAGAAATTTAATTTTTTTATATGATAGTTATATTTCAGATTTGCGAGCGTAACTTTTTTCTCCATGGCATACTTGTTTTAAGAGCAAATGATCAAAATCGTCCTTCAATTATTGAAGGAGCTGATATCTTTTGAAAATTGAATTGAAAGGGTATTCAATTTTCAAATTTCCTCTCAATTTTGGAAACATATCAACTCTATGAATTAACAATTATGTGCCTTCACAGTTTATCAGTCATATAAGGTGCTTATAAAGAAAAAAGTTACGCTCGCAAAATATGTTTTTATATAGATTTCACATAAAATAATTATGTAATTTCTAAAAAGAATATTTTTGTTCTTGAATATTAAAGTGTATTGTAGTTTAAAAAGTTTTAAATATGTTGCTAAAATTTCAGGTTTATAGCTCATGTCTAGCATGACTTCTTCGTATGCGCAAAAAATCTGACACGTAAGGGTATCCTTAAATATATAAATTTTGTTTATGATTTATTTTGAGAATGCCACTTGAGTGGTAATTATTCGAGCAAATTACTTTAAATGCTCAGTACAAACGATTTTGATGTGAAATATTATGTTTTCGTAGGATGTAAGAAGTAAGTAAAAGATTTTAGATCTGGCAAAAAATTGTTTTCTGAAGATATTTCGGTTTTGGCATTTTTTTGACACAGACACACTTGATGGTGAATGGCTTTTCCTCTGATATTTTGTGTTTTTGAAGCAATATATAATTTTTCATATACTGGGGAATCCCAGAATAGAACACTTGAACCAGGATTTTATAAATTAGAAGTTTGGGGGGCAAATGGATGTGGATCCAGTTACGACTACGAACCATATGGTATAGGAGGTAGAGGAGGATATTCTATTGGCTATTTAAACCTAGAAGAGCGAACAACAGTCTATATCCAAGTTGGTGGTGTTGGGAATATTTCAATCTCTGGATTGGCAGCAGGTGGATACAATGGAGGTGGATGCGCATGGGGACATAACTCAGACGATTCTCGAGCGCATGGTGGTGGAGGTGGAACAGACATCAGAATCAATGAAGATAGCAATTATTCACGCGTAATTGTTGCAGGGGGCGGTGGAGGTGGTGGAGCAACTGGTGGAGAAAGAGGATATTATGGAGGTGGTCTAACTGGAGGTGGAAATTCAGCTACTCAAAATTCATCATCAAATGGAGGTGATTTCTTTCAAGGAGCACATACCGGAAATTGTGGAGGGGGTGGAAGGGGAGGTTGGTACGGTGGAGGTACTTATCGTGGCTCTCAAACAAAGCCAACAAAAGGCATATCCAATTGTTATAATTCAGGAGGTAGTGGAGGTAGCGGTTATGTTTACACAGAATCAACAGCAAAAGACTATCCAAATGGATGCAAACTAACATCGAAATACTACTTGACAGATGCATCTACATTTGGTGGATATCAACAAATCACAGAACCAGACGGAAGAAAATCATACGGACATTCAAGAAATGGATTTGCAAGAATTACATATCAATACGGTTATGAACCATGCAATTATTTCCTTATTGATAATGAATTTATTGTGAAAGGATTCCGCAGTGGCAACTGCAAAAAAATCGTAGAGATAAAACCGACTTTGGATGGTTACAATGTTGTTTCTATTGAAAATAATGCATTTAAAGGTCAAAGTTGTATCGAAGAAGTAAAGTTACCAGAAACAATTAGAGAAATTGGTTCTAGTGCATTTGAGAATTGCGTTAATCTTGTTAGAGTTTCATCTGCTACTTTGTCAAAACTAATATCAATTGGTGATTCAGCATTTAAAGGATGCTTTTCACTAAATTCAATAGGAGTTACTGCATTTGGAAGTGATTCAATCCATATATTGAATCTTTCATATTGCAACTCATTAAAGACCATCCCTTCTTTTGCATTCAAAGATTGCACAAAAATTGTAGAAGTACATCTTCCACAAGAGTTAGAGAACATTGGAGATAATGCATTTGAGAACTGTGAGTCATTAAGACACATAAATCTTCAGTTCAACTTAAAGTTGGCTGGAAGATATTGTTTCAATGGTTGCAGGAGTCTTAAAAAGATTAATATTCCTTATTCGCTGGATAAAATAAGATCATTCATGTTCGGTTCCAGTGGAATTGAAACTGTTTTAATTCACTCGGATGCAGTTGTTGATGGCTATGCATTCTATAACTGTAATTATCTGAAAAGAGTTGAGATATTTGATAACGCTATCGTGATGCCCAATGCTTTCTCTAATTGTGCAAACATCCAAAAAGTTGTTGTGTATGAATACGTAACTCTTTATGATAATTCTTTTGATACTATCAGTTCAAGCGTTTATTATTTCGGAACAACTGATGTTTGCTACCCAAGCAGTGAAGATGGGTTAAAGAAAATCAACACTACAGTCTACGTAAGGAATGAGTATCCATCAGATAAATTCTGTGAAATACAGATTGTAAAATGTACTTCTGGTTCTGTTCAATCAAGCAAGTGTTTAAACACTCCGTATTACGATAGTGTGCAAAGATTGGCATTGAGAACCCAGAGAAAGTGATGATATTTTTATATATATGTTTTTTTTTGTTTGTAAATATTATTTTTTTGTATGCAACTTTTTTTTTTGATTTGAGATAGAGTCAATTGCATTGTTTGTATGTCAAATATGAAGAAGACGAGACCGAATATATCTGTTTTGAGTGTTTAATTTGATAAATTGAGTTTAGGTGAAAAGTTAAGCTTGTTTATAATTGGAGTAGTCATATTATGTTTTGTCATCTTTATTGGCTGTGTTTTCCCGGTCTGAAGAAAAGATTGAAATAACGACCACGAAAGAGAGTCTAATTTTTTTTTATATTTTATGTCAAGTAAATCTGTTCTTTTTGTATGCCTTGGCAACATTTGCCGCTCCCCAGCTGCCGAAGGAATCTGCAGAAGCATGGCTAAGCACCTACATGTTGATTCTTGCGGAACTGGACCATGGCATGTTGGCCAACATCCAGATAGTCGTTCAATAACAGCATGCAAGAACCACAACATCGACATCAAAAGCCATGTTGCAAGAACAATCAAGAAAAATGACTGGCAAACATTTGACGTAATTGCTGCATTAGACCAATCAATTTACAATGAGCTCAAAGACATGATGCCTGCAAAATCTAAATCAAAATTAGTGCTTTTTAACGCACCACGCGGAATTGACGACCCTTACTATGGCGGACAAGACGGATTTGAAAATATGTACTCAATCATCTCTGGTCACATGCCAACATTCCTTAAGGAAAACGATCTTCTCGAATAAATCTATTATATATCTGATATACCGTATAGCGAAAAAACTTTTAATTTCAATACAAATTTAATACGCTTCAATTACAATGGTTATAATTAGATGTTTAATATGAATTTTAATTAGCTAAGATTTTCACAATCTTTTACTTGTTTTACTATGAATTTACAAACAAAAATTCAAATTTCAATGGGTAAATATGTTAAAAGAGAATATGACTTTGCAATTAACAGAAAATTACTATTATGATTACTTCCATTAATGAAAATCCTTCAATATTTTAATTTGATGATTAATCATCCTATATTTTAGAATCTATAGGGAGAGATTGGGATAATTCATGGAAAAATTTAGTTCTTACCATACGAATTCAGAAACTCTTTAGTTTTTTAAATAATTTTTGTTTTATTTTAACGATATTCAAGATTTTTAATACCATTATACTTTACTTTAGAATGTAACTATAATAAACAATTAGTGAAACCTCTTTTGATATTATGTAATGTATAATTTTTTATTTTGTAATAATAAACAAAATATAAGTTTATTATGTGTTTTATGATACTTGGATATCACTTAAATTATCAGGGAATAAGTTGAGGCTGTTCATTACAAATTCCCATAAGATAATTACGGGAACAATAAAGATCAGTGTCCATAAGATAACTGTGGAAATAACATTTGATCCACAGTTTAATGATTCGGCTAAAATGAAAGCAGAGTTCGCTGTTGGTAGCATAGATAATATAATGCATTGTCTTGCAAGCCTGTTATCAAGTTTAAATGCAACTGCCAATCCTAAAGAAACTAAAGGATAAATAATGAATCTTATTACCAAACAGATAATTAAATGATACCACTTGCAAGCTACAAATGACTCTTGATGAAGGAATCGTCCTAAGCCGAAAAGAGCAAGATAACCAATACAAGCTCCATAGTATGTTGTAAATTTGTTTAAAAAGATAGGTGGCTTTACACCAATAGCAGACCAAATTAAACCGGCACAGTTTCCGACAACAATAGGATTCTTGAGTGCCGCGTAAAAAGCCATAAGGATGTCCTTTGGTTTTGTTCTTAAATCATCTTGATTAACATCATCTTTGTTGTAATTATCTCCTAACTCTTCAAGCCTCTTCTTCTTTTCAAGTTTAATTGCTCTGATCTTTGATCCAATAATGAAAAGAGGAACTGAAATAATGCAATTTCCAAATGATGCAATACCAGGAACAACATCATATGATGTACCCCAGATTGATTCGAAAATTGGAAGACCAATAATGATGTAATTAATGTAACATGAGGCACAAACAGTTGCCAAGTAAACTTCTAAAGTATCTTCAAATTTAAAGAAGAAAACTCCGCCACAAAGTACATGAATTAAAATGCTTGATAACAATGAGTTAATAAGAGGCTTTGGGGAAATGTCCTTAAATGGCGTTTCTGCAATTGAGTCAAAGAGAAGTAGAGGAAATGCAATTGTTCCTGAAAATTTCGAAAATCCCTTAAAAGCAGGACCTTCGAACATCTTGAATATCGAGCCAAAGTAGCCCAGCAATATTACAAGAAGCATCGCTGCAGATTCTTCAATAACATTGATGTACGTAGTAGAAGAAACCATGAGGAAATTATGAAAGGTCAAAAAATTTTCTCTAATTTGAAAAGACTTGATTCAAATAACCGATTTCTTATCAAAATTGATAGTATGTTCAATTACGATATCATTATTTTTTTAATAAATGTATCCAATTAAACCATATAACTCCAATTATTGTAAAAATAACCATACTCTCATGATTGCTCTGATTTTGAGAGAGTCTCACAAATTTTTTGAATCAATTTGAAAGAACAAATTGAATTTTGAAGAGAACTTGAATTAAAAGAGTGATTTTAACCGAGAAGAGGCATTGTTACATATTAAGTTCTGTCAAAATGTAAGCTATTGAATTTTTTGAGAGGGAAATAATTGTCGAGGAAGTAAAAAGTGACGCTTTAGGAAATATTATTAGAAATATGATAATAAATATATTTGGAAAAAATATGTTTTTTTCAAAAATTGAAATGCTCATAGAATATTTTGAAATATGTAGGGAATTGAATTCGGTAATATATAATAAACAGGATTTTTAAATTTCAAGGAAAAATAGCTTTTGTGAATACTTTTGAGAACTCTTCTCAAAGATCATGATTCAAATATATTAAGGAGCCAAAATATTAGAGATGAGTTCACAATCAAAATTTTCTCACTTTTCTTCCAAATTGACATCCTTACTCACCACTTTCAAGTTTTTCATACATATATCTTACCCATTCATTTGGAATACGAGGTCTCGAGTTTTCGTTCATTTTTTTTACTTTACAAAACTGTTTATTTTTCAGAATTTTTAAATTTGAAAAAATCCATTCTATATCTGATAAATAATATATTATTTTTCAATCAAAATATTTTGATTATCATCTCAAAAGTGTTCTCAAAACCTAGTTTTTCTTATTTTGGATAATCTTAATATTTATCTTATTATAAACTAATTGAACACCATATGTTTTTGTATACTTTTACAAAAAAATCGATAGATTTGTGATACTTTCCCCGACGATAGAATTGAATAGCTTACATTTTGACAGAACTTAATATGGAACAGTAATATTGAAAAATAAATCCAAAACTACAATTCCAAATTTAAATTTGAAATTCTATTTCAATATCCATAGTCTACAGCATACTTTCCATTTCTTCTTGAACTTGTTGAAAAGTTATAACATTGGCGTCATTGCATTATTTGCCGATTTATTCTTGATATTTAATTAAATTTTTATGAGATAGAATAAAATAAGTAAAAGAATTATTAAAATCAATTTGAATTCTAGCTTTGTTCAAATCATCATACAGCAATTCATCAAAATTATTCAATTCCATTTTAATTAGATGAAATGCAAAGAATTTATTTAAAAAATTCATTCTACACAATGTACAAACTTGAAAAACATATTTTAAATAAATTTTAAAGATGATTCATTTCCAAAAGTGACAATGCCTGGTGGAGAGAACGAAGAACCAATTTTCCAAGTACTTCAGACTCTTCAGAATTCTGTTTACTTTCCACCAAATGTATTAGGACCAATACTTCTTGCTGGAAAGTATTGCAATTCTCAAGCTCTTCGCCGCTATACAGAATTAATTTTAAAACACTTGGTTACGTCACTGAACCATGAATTGTTGAGTTCGAAATTTGGATCAAGCTCCTCATCAGATGAAGTCCAAATTGTTCCTGACAAAGAAACAGATGAAAGAGGAAAAATTTTAATTCGTCTTTTGCCTTTAATTGACAAAACAGCACTCGGACCAACTTTCTGCACAATCATTGAATGCTTAAATAAGATCCCAATTAGCTTTGCTATCAAACTTAACGACATTAATCCGTATACTTTCTTATCTGTATTTAGCACAGATAAGGCTCGACAAAAAATATTCCAATTATGCCCTCCATTGTTTGAAAAGATCGTAATTACCATTATCGGACCATTTTCTCAAGATTTAGTTGTTCTTGACTCTCTCATCTTTTCTTCCTACTTAGAATTCACACAAACAATTGATAAACCATTCTCCGAGCGTCTTGATGCAGTCCATACTCGTCTCTGCGATGAGTGCGCTTCAAAATTAGACGATCTCTGCAAAGATTCAAATGAATTATACCAAAGAGTCTTTGTTATATTATCAGATATCTGGGCTAAAACAGGAAATCCTCTTTTTGCAGCTCTTCAAATCGAACTTTCAAATCTCAGATCAAAAAGAGGTTTAAGATTAGATACAATACCTAAAACCGTTTACGATTTCATCTGTGGTATATCTATTCGTCCTCTCAATTACGAATTTACAAGAAACGACTACATTTACGTTGAAGATACATTATTCAAGTGCAAGATCCTCAATTTCGTCTCCCAAGGTATCATAAACAATAGTGCTGCCAATAAATTCCCTGCTGATGACCCAATCTTAACAACTTACATTCAATTTTTATTACCTAATATTAATAACGACGATAGACTCGATTTACTTAACTATTTCGCAGCATTCGCAGCAGTTATTAAGTTTGACATCGAAATTGAGTACGAAAATTGCATTTCTGATATTTATAAGACAATTAAACGCGTAAACAACCAAGTTTTCACATATACAGCACTTCTCATTGCATTTAGAATGAATGAGAAGACTCTTGTCCCAGTCAGAGACCTCATTGTTAAGATTTTCCAAGATATAGATTTAGTTCGCAGCAAAGACCTCTTTACCGGCTATGTAATAATGAGATCACTCGTGGTCAACGATAACTACGACCGATCAATGCTTATTTTCACTTGGTGCGATGATGTCATCAAAGTTTTGTTGTCTTGGTGTATTGATGACCCAGAATTCAGCACTTTGTTCGTATTATTCCTCAAGGAGATAGAATCAAAGAATAGTTTCCTGTTTGCTGATAAAACAAAACAATATATGACAGAATACGTTGATATTATGTCTAATCTTCATATATCGTTCAACCAGGATAGCCCTATGTATACTCCTTATATGGAACTTACCTCAAAATATTTGTAAAATAAAAAAAATTTATAAATTTATAAAAATTAAACTTTTTATTTTAAAAAATCAAGACCTACCAAATAATAGTTAATGAATCATTCATAAATTTTATATCAAATTTGAATGATCTTTTAGATTTTTTAATATATGATCTTATAACAAGATTTTCCAAATTAGCACCCATAGTAATGTAGAAATAAAAGCTGAATTTCGAAAAATTTCCTAAATTTTTCATTCAAAATTTTGAAATTAGATTTTTTTACATTCTAAGTCTAATAAATTAATCAATCACATGATAAGGAATTCATATCTGTGTAATTTAATCCAAAATATTTGAGATTAGTATAAAAAAATCTCAAAGAAGAATTTTTTCACGTTATTCTTGAAAACAAAGAGATGTCTGAACGTGTTACTCGGGCGCGTGACCGTCTTACATCAAATGAGAAAGAAATTATGAAAAAGCGAGCATTAAGCCACAAACTCGGAAAACTTAATCCGGATGAAGCTGTTAAAATTCCCAAAATCGGTGAATGGAATCTTGGACAAACAAAAGTAGCGCCAGATGAGAAGGATCTTGATATTCTAAATCAGCCAGTGGATATGGGTCCACTTGATCCTTTACAAAATGCGCCACCAATTTCAGCAATTATTGATTTTAATCCGAAAAAACCTAAAACTATTCGTGCTAATTCACGTTTTGATGCACCTTACAAAATCAAAGCTCCACCTCCAGTAACAGAACCTTTGTATACCGGTGGTCAAGCGCCAAAATCTTTTCCAGCAGGAACTACATCCTCTGACATCAGTCAAATCATGGTATCCAAAACGAAACAAGCACCAAAACCCTTACCACCACTACAAGAATCTCCGCGCATTGAATCTACAGACTTCTTTTTACCAATTGAATTATTCGATGATTCAAATTACGAGCAATATCCATTAGAGTATTTACTTCAACACCCTGATGCATTCTCCAAGTATACAGTTATAAATATGGGCACTGTATGGAAAAAATGCAAAGTATTAGAATACTTTCCAGAAAACAAGCTATTTACTATACAATGGGAAAAATCAACACAGAAAAAGAAAGTTACGCGCTTCAATCTACGTTTTGAATGCGAAGATGAAGCAAAATTTAATAAAAGAATCGAAGCAGCGAAAGAAGGCTGCAGAGCATACGAAATGGAGTTCCGATTGAATTCTCGTATCAACCAGATGCCTACAACAGATTTACCTGAACTTCCTGACCAAGAAATTTCAAAAATAACGGATTTGGCCAAAAAACGCACTACCAAAGAATATCCTAAGCTTCTAAACAATCTCTCCACAGAGATCAAAGATGAATACAAACGATTGAACAATACCCTAGATTTTGCTTATAATCTCGAATTAAATCCTTTGATACCAGATAGAGACGAATTCCTATCATTAATAACAAAACCACCTGTCAATCAAGAGTTTGGCCTTGTTACAACTAATATTCTCACTTTTCCCGAAGTCAAGCAAAATATTATTGATGAACATCCATACGAAAACGACGTAATACTTAGTTGTATACAGAAAATGTTTCTTACCATACAACAATACGCCGATCTGACGTTTTTAAGTGGATCATCAAATAAATTAATAACTCTTGAAGCATTTATCGCCGATCAATATCAAATGCTTGCTGAAAATGGCAAAGTATATCGTGGCCGGATCCAAGAAACACTAGAATCGCTTGCAAGTACCACAGTCACTCAAGTATTGAATAAATCTGGTCAAAAAGAAATCCATCGATTGGAGAAAATGGTTAATACTGCTGTAAGAATGACAAATTCACAAGCGATTCTTAGCGCCCAGAAAACGCTTGACCAATACTTGAATATTTTCCAACAACACATTGATAATGAAAAAGAAATTCCTCCACAATTTTTATTGGATCTTATTTTTGATGGTGATAAAGGTTTACAAGTTATTCCATCCCCTGAATCATTCATTGATCAAATAGTATCAGTATTACCTCAACTGGAATCAACTTTACTTGATATACCAACAATTGTTATGCCAATGGTCGAATTCAACATTTCTAACATGTTTTTTGAGAATACAATACAAGATATAAACGAAACACACGATTTACTTGAAGAAACTCTTAAAAAACTGTTTGAAAAAGTGAATGAATTCCTTGATAGTTATCGTTTCTTTGAATCTAGTTTATCAATAAACACTGATAATTTTATAAAGGAATTCGATCCAGATGGAAACAGACCATTGGAAGATTACCACAAACAAATAAAAGAACTACAAAATACTACAAGAATATTGACACAAGAAATGAAACCAAAAGTTGCAATAGGACCTTTTGAAATACAATGTGCTTCTTTCTGTGAAATGATGGCATTTCATACTCATGAAAACTATACTTTGTTATTAAAACAATTCAAACAATACGCATCAAGAGATGTAAAACAGTTACAAGAAGTATTTGACAATATTATGGAGAAATTAAAAGTTATGCCAACAACTCCTGAAGAACTGAATGAATTAAAGAATTTCGCAACACAAGTTAAAAACAAAGATGAAGAAAGGAAACAAATAATCAAGAAAATCAATGAAAGATATGATTTCTTGAGCTCTTATCAGTTCGAAATATCAAATGAAGAAGCAGATGAATACTACAAATTGTTGTCAATGCCAAACAAATTGACATTGATGCTGGATGACGCAGAAAGAACTGTACAAGTTGAAAGAATAAGAATGATTAAAGATTTAAGAACAAATCAAAAGAGTTTGGAACAAGAAACAACAGAAATTTCCAAACAAATACCTTTAATTATCACAAAATACCAAGATTTGGAAGATTCAATAGAAGCTTATGACGCAGTTACTGAAGTTGATAAAGAATTACATAGATTGAAAGATTTGGACTCGAAATATTCCAATCAAGATGAAATCTTCGGTTTCGATGCTGCTCCTTGTCGTCCTCTTGATAAATTATGTCAAGAATTCGCTCCGATAAGTATGTTATGGAATCTTGCAAGTGAATGGAATTCTACAAGTTCACAATGGCTTGATACTCCTTTCTTGCAAACTAAACCTGATCAAATGAATAATTTCATTGCTTTGTGTATCAAGAAAATCCAAAAACTCAAAAAAGATTTGTTGAATCACCAGGATTTAATGAACCATGTTTTGTTACCTTTGGCTGATGCAATTAATAAATTCAAGCAGCCATTGCAATTAGTGTCTAAATTAAGACATTTAGGTATCAAAACAAAACATTGGGAACAAATCTCTGAAATTGTTGGATTTAACTGTGTTCCAACAATGGATTTAACATTACAAGGCTTTCTACAAATGGATTTAGGAAGATGGGGACAACAAATAACTGAAGTTGCTTCTGTTGCCATGCAGGAATATTCCATTGAATCTGTTTTGGATAAACTTGATCTCGAACTCGAAACAACACAATTCATAACAATTCCGTTCAGAGATTCAGGTCAATTCATCATTTCCGGTGTTAATGACATCATTTCTATAATTGATGACCAATTAGTCACTTCACAAACTCTTCTTTCATCTCCTTACATCGCTCCTGTAAAGAAAAGAGCTCTTGAAAGATTGGATTTCTTGAGACATTGCCATCAAACAATGGAAGAATGGGTCACGTGTCAAAGACAGTGGCTTTATTTACAGCCAATCTTCAGTGGCTCCTCAATACAGAAGAAACTCCCAAGAGAAGCTGCAAGCTGGGCAAACGTTGATAAGTTATGGGCATCGTCAATGACGTTGACTCATAATCATCCAAGTTTCGTAAATGTCATGAAACGTGACAAAATTTTTGAAACATTTCAAGAATGCAACAGATTGTTATCTTTCGTTTACGAAGGCTTGAACACGTATCTAGAAACGAAGAGACAAGGATTCCCGAGATTCTTCTTCTTGTCAAATGATGAAATCATTGCAATCTTGAGTACAACAAAAGATTACGCTGAAGTACAAAAATCATTTAAGAAATTGTTTGAATACGTGAATTCTTTGACGATTACTCCTGAAAGATTCATCACAGAGATGCATGATGGAGCAACAGAAACAGTACCTTTGATAAACCAAATCGATGCGAACACAGAAGAAATTGAAGAATGGATGAATAATTTCGAAGATGAAATGAAAAACACACTCAAAAACAAGATCCAAGAAGCGATTTCCCTTTATTCGAAGAAGAAAAGAAGTGAATGGATGGAAGAGTTTCCAGCACAAGTCATCTTAATATCCAATCAAATATTATGGACACAATTAATAACATCTGCTTTGAGATCATCTAAAAAGAAAGGAATTGTTAATTTACAAGCAAAATACAGTTCCGTTTTAGGTGAATTAACCGAAATAATAAGAACAGATTTATCTCCTGGCATGAGAATGCTTGTTTCCTGCATGCTAATCTTCGAAGTTCACAACAGAGACATCATTAATTTAATGGTCAGAAACGATGTTGATGATGTCGAGAGTTTCTTATGGGAACAACAATTGAGATATTACTGGGAAGATGATACAGTCATTGTCAGATCAATCAACAACAATTACGAGTATTCTTATGAATACGCGGGTAACTCATCAAGACTAGTTATCACTCCTTTGACTGATAGATGTTACCAAACACTTTTAGCAGCATTTAAACAGAATTTAAGTGGTGCTCCAAGTGGTCCTGCAGGTACAGGAAAAACAGAAACAGTCAGAGATTGTGCAAAAGCGCTCGGAAGACCATGCGTCGTATACAACTGCTCTGAAGAAGTTACTCCTGAACAGATGTCACAGTTCTTCGCTGGTTTGGCAACAAGTGGTTCATGGAGTTGTTTCGATGAATTCAATAGAATTAACATCGAAGTTTTGAGTGTAATTGCACAACAATTACGATGCATTCAGAACGCAATAGCTTCACAATGCGAGATGTTTACATTAGATAAAAGACAGCTCAAACTAAATCCAAGTTGCGCTATTTGTATAACAATGAATCCTGGATATGCAGGAAGAACAGAACTCCCTGATAACTTGAAATTAATTTTTAGACCAATCGCGATGATGGTTCCTGACTTTGTTTTCATTTGTGAAATCATGCTGTTCTCAGGAGGTTTCACAGCTGCAACAACACTTGCTGTTAAGCTTGTTGCTGTCTTCAAACTCTGCCAGACACAGTTAAGTAACGCAATTCATTACGATTGGGGTTTGAGAACAATGAAAACAATTTTAATAACTGCTGGAGAAATGAGAATCAAAAAACCTGACATGAAAGAATTCCTTATTTTAGTTGAATGCATATGTAATAGCATTGAACCAAGATTAATTGCCGATGATGTTGTTTTGTTCGAAGATATAATTGTTGACGTGTTTCCTGAAGTCAAGCCAGAGAAATACATTCCAGATGATTTCAAAGAAGCAATTGAAGAATCATTTAGAAAGAATGAAGCATTTCCTGACAGTAAACTCGTGAGAAAAGCAATGGATGTTTACGATACAATGTCACAAAGACAAGGAACAATGTTAGTTGGAAGAGCATTGAGTGGTAAATCTGTTACATGGAAATCTTTGAGAGATGCAATGAATAAATTGTCAGAAAAAGATGAAAAATTCAAAGTATCCGTCAAATCAATGAATCCTAAAGCAGTTACGATATCCGAATTATATGGTTTATTTGATCCTGTCACAATAGGCTGGAGTGATGGTATTTTGTCTAATGCTATTAGAGAAGATTCGAAAGAAGAAGACAATTTCAATCATTGGATTATTATTGATGGCCCTGTTGATTCTCTTTGGATTGAATCAATGAATTCTTTGTTAGATGATAACAGAGTTCTTTGTTTACCAAATAACGAAAGAATCAATTTAGGACAGAAAGTAAAGTTGTTGTTTGAAACAGATTCATTGGCACAAGCTTCTCCTGCAACTGTTTCTCGTTGTGGAATGATTTATTTCGATACAGAAGACATACAATGGACATTTATTACTGATATGTGGCTTGACAAGATCAAACAACAATATCCATTGGTAGAAAACTTGTTGAGAACTATTTTCCCACATTATATTCCTAAATTAATCCAATTCGTAACAAATGACGCTCAACAAGCCATCAAACAAAATCCTTTGTTCATTTTGAAGAATATGCTGAATATAATTGAATCTTTCTTTGACATTTTGAGACAATACGAAACAGTTATTTCACCTGATACTGATGAACGGAAACAAGTTGATCCTTTAGATCATTCTCTTTATACTGCTTGTTACAATTCAAGAGTTGCAACAACATTTGGAATAATTGAACCAGAAAAAGTTCCTCTTTTATTCGAAAGAATTTTCATTTTCGCTGTTGTTTGGAGTTTTGGAGCATCATTAGTTGATGATTCACGTAATCTATTCGATAAATTCCTTAGAGATCACATGGATAAAGTTAATTCAAGATACCAATTTCCTCCGAAATTCACTGTTTTCGATTATTTCGTTGATATTGGCCACTTTTCATGGATTGTTTGGTGCGATGGAAGCCAAGTTTTACCAATAAATCCAACAGTTCCGATCGAACAACAGTTTGTTCCAACAAATGAATCAGTTGCTCCTCAGTACATCACTAGAATCCTCAGTGCACATCATAAACATACATTGTTAATTGGTCCTGAATCATCCAAATCATTGTTGGTTAAAACAACGTTTTCAAATCTTCCTGAAAAATACGATAAACATGTAATACCGATGTCCAATTGCGTAGAAGCGAAAGAATTATATACAGACATCAAGTCATTGTTACAGAAAAGACATGGTGCTTATGGACCTCTTCCTGGACAATCTCTTTTAGTGTTTTTGGATAATATTGGAACACCAAAACCAGAATTATATGGTGCACAACCTCCTTTAGAATTCATAAGACAAATAATTGATTACGGAGGTTGGTATGATACTAAGAAGGTTGAATTCGAAAATGTCGCTGAAACAACATTCATTTCTGCAATGGAAATGCCTGTCGGACATTCATTTAACATTCCAGAAAGATTGTTAAGACATTTTGTTTCTTTACACATTCCTAAGACAAACAAATCATCTCTCAACACAATAATCACAGGATTATTAACACAACACCTCGAGAAACATGATTTGTCTGTTAAAGAATTGATAAGACCAACTGTTGCAGCAACAATTGACATCTACTTGGAAATATCAAAGACATTGTTACCTGTTCCTTCGAAACCTCATTATATCTTCGGATTAAGAAACATCGTGAGAGTTATCAAAGGAATTGTTTTGAGTCCTTCTCATGAAATTCCAAAAGACATTGATTTCATGCATTTATGGTGGCATGAAATGCACAGAGAGTTCTATGATAGATTCAACACTGAAGAGACAAAACAATGGTTTAGTTCTTTGATAAATGATATCTTTGCTCAACAATTCCATGTCCAAACTAATAAAGTAATTTACGGACAAATAACATTTAACAATTACTCAAATAGCGAAAGAACATATGTTGAAGTTGAAGAGAAACAAGAATTATCAATGGATAGATGCAAGAAATATCTTGAAGATCATAACTCAACAATGCCAAAACCATTAAACATTGTAATGTTCCAAGAAGCAGTTGACCATTTATCGTCAATTTCAAGAGGTTTGGCTTTCCAAAGAGGACATTTGATGCTTGTTGGATTGAAAGCAAGTGGTAGAAAATCATTGGCGAGATTAGCAATGTATATTAGTGATATACAATTGTTCGAAATCGCTTTGACAAGAACTTATGGAATTTTGGAATGGAGAGAAGACATAAAGAACTTGTTGAAACAATGCGGAATAAAGAACCAACAAACAGCATTCATGATCAGTGATTATCAACTGATTAAATCATTCCAATTGAGTGATATTTCGAAGTTATTAAGTGATAGTTGGATCTATAATTTGTTCTCGAAAGATGAACTCGAACAAGTTAAAACAGAGATCTCTAATGGTGTCCAATTAGATGAAGATCCTTTGATTATGTTCAAAGAAAGAATAAGAAACAATTTACATATTGTTTTGATTGTTTCTCCTTCTTCTTCGATATTCCAAGAAACTCTTCATTCTTTCAGTGATTTACTAAAAGAAACAACAATGGATTGGTTCATGCCATGGTCATCAAATTCATTAGAAGCTGTTGCAACAAATGTTTTGGAGAAATCTTCAATTTCTGATCCAGAAATGAGGAAGAAAATTGTTTCTTTCTGCGTAAGAGCACATAAATCTGTTGAAGCAACAAGTGCTAAATACTTAGCAGAAAAGAAGAGATACACAGCTATTACTCCTTCCAGATTCTTTGATTTGTTAAAGTTGTTCATGCAGAGATTGGAAAATCAAATAAGTCAAACAGAACAAAAAGTCAAAGATTTCGATAGTGGAATTGAAAAAATCGAGAAAACAAGAAACCAAATCCAAGAACTCTCCAAACAATTGGATATTGACATTCCTATTCTCAAAAACAAACAGAAGAATGTCGAAGATCTCATCAAAGACTTACAGAAGAAACAAGCAGATGTAGAACAAACAAGAACAGCAATCAAAGAACAAAGTGAAAAAGCAGAAGTCGAAGCAACAGCTGCTGCTGAAGCGAATAAAATCGCTCAAGAAAAACTGAATGAAGCGAAACCAATTTTACAAGGTGCACAAGATGCAATCGACATGATTGATAGAGATTCGATTGTTAACATCAAACAATTGAAGAAGATTCATCCTGCTTTGCGAGAAGCTTTCGAAGCAATTTGTATTTTGTTTGGAAGACAACCAAGAAAAGTAGACAGTGGAACACCAGGAGTAAAGACAGAAGATTATTGGCCAGAAGCTCTTGTTCTTCTAAATGATGTCGCTTTTCTAAAGAAAATAAGAAACTTCCAACCTGATACAATAACGAAAGAAACAATCAAGAAATTGGCTAAATACGTGCCAACAGATAAAAAGACGAGAGAAGACAAATTGGCTGATGTAAGAAGTGGTTATCATGCAGTAGGAAACATCTATTTCTGGTTGTGTTCTTTGTATGATTATTGGTATGTCCACCAAGAAATTATTCCTCTCCAAAACGAAGCAGATGCAGCTGCAAGCAAATACGAGAAACAGCTTGAAATACTGAATAATTCTAAAAACCATTTGGCAGAAACTGAAGAACAACTCAAAGATCTTCTATCCCAAGTTGACACAGAAAAGAAGAACGTCAAAGAACTTCAAGACAGTGTCAACATCACACAATTAAAACTCTCTAGAGCACAGAAAATCATGGTCGGATTAGGAGTTGAAGTCAAGAGATGGAACCAACAAAAATCCGATTTGATTGCAAGTTCTACGAGTGTTGTTGGCGACAATTTGTTGATCTCTGGTTGTCTGACGTATTTCGGAGCATTCGGACCAACATACAGACAGAGATTGATGGATGAATGGAGAATGTATTTGTTGAACGACAGTTTTGTTTTCGCTTCCAATTTCTCTATAATCCAACAACTCGGAAACGATGCGAAAACAAGACAATGGATTTACATGGGTCTTCCAAATGATTCTCATTCAATTGAAAACGCTTTGATCATTGAAGCTTATCCTGAATCATTCCCTCTTTTAATTGATCCTCAGTTCAACGGCACGAAATGGTTGAAACTGTTTGAAGGTGACCAATTAAAAGTCCTGCATTTCGACCAATCAGATTTTGTCCAACAACTCAAATCATGTATAACATTTGGTTTGCATGTTTTGATTGAAAATGTTGGTTTCGAATTCGATCCAATCATTGAGCCAATTCTTTCCAGAGAGTTCATAATAACAGATGGAATGAAGAAGATCTCAATTGGCGGTGAATACATTGATTACTCACCAAACTTCAGATTGTTTATGTCCACGAAATATCCAAATCCTCATTATTCTCCTGAAATTTGTTCCGAAGTTTCTTTGATCAATTTCGTCACAACACAGAGTGGATTGTCCGATTTCCTGATGAATTCCTTGATAGAAGTAGAAAGAGATGATTTAGACAAGAAGAGAGTTTCTATCATGGAATCAAACGCCGAAAACACAAACAAACTCAAAACTTTGGAAGGCCAAATTTTGACAATTGTTAATAATGCTGGCGAAGACATTTTAAGTGATGACAATGCAATAAACACTTTAACAAGTGCCCAAAAGACAACATTGTCAATCGAACAACAATTAGCATTATCAGCTAAAACGGAATTACAAATACAACAATACAGAACTAAATTTGTTTCCGTTGCTGAATATGCTGCACAATTATATTTCTGTGCATCAGATTTTTCGATTATTGATCCAATGTATCAATTTTCATTGATGTGGTTTGTTGACATCTTCAAGAAAGCTGTTAAAGAAGCACCACATCCACAAGATGTCAATCAAATGATTGCAAGTTTCCAACATTCCATTGGAGTCAAATTCTTCCAAAGTGTTTCTTATTCTTTGTTTTCAAAACACAAATTACTGTTTTCTTTCTTAGTAACAGTCCGTGTTTTGTTATTCCAAGAAAAGATTACACAATCGGAATTGGCTTTTCTTTTATCTCCAACAATTGAGAAAACAGAGAAAGCTATTAGATGGATATCTGATAGTCAATGGGATCTTGTTTCTGCATTGACAAAATCATCAAATTCATTTGCGAATTTGATAACAAATATCCAAGAAAAAGAAGATTTGTGGCGCCAGTACATGTCATCAACAAATGCAGAAAATGTTGATCCTCCAATGGGAACAACACCATGGGAACATCTCTTGATATTAAGAGTCTTCCATTTCGATAGAGTTTGCAATGGAATGAGAGTTTTCATTTCTAAAACTCTTGGAAAAGAATTCATCGAACCTCCGCCATTAAACATCCGACAAATCTTCGCGGATTCGAATCCTTTGACTCCTTTAATTTTCGTGATTACGCCTGGTATCGATCCGCAAGACGAAATACTCTCAGTTGCTGAACATTTAGAAGTTTCTCGCGCTGTTAAGTTCTATTCTCTTGGAAGAGGAAGAGGACAAGGTGCAGAAAAACTGATTGAAGAAGCTTCTTCTGCAGGATTCTGGGTAATTTTGCAGAATTGCCATCTTTCTTTATCATGGATGCCTAGATTGGAACACATTGTTGATGGATTAGTTGGAAATGTCCATCCAAGATTCAGGTTGTGTTTAGTTACGATGTCTACACCTCAATTTCCAATTGGTGTTTTGTTCCGAGGCACAAAATTAATTTACGAAATTCCTAAAGGAGTTAGAGAGAACATGATGAGAATATATAGTGGTTTCGATCAAGAAATGTACAATGAAAACAATAATTTACTTGAGAAACAACTCACTTTCCACTTGGCTTTCTTCCACGCTGTTGTTTTGGAGAGATTACAGTTTGGAAGTTTGGGATGGAATGTTCCTTATGAATTTAATTTGAGTGATTTCAACATTTCTCGGAAACAACTTGCTTCTTTCATTTCTGAAGCAGGTGGAGATGTTGCACCATTTGAGTCATTGACATATGTCATTGGCAAACTCAATTACGGTGGAAGAGTCACTGATAAATGGGACAGTCGTTTGTTACAAGCGATTTTACAACAATTTTTGTCACAAACAGCAATAAGTTCCGCGGAACCATTTGGCCAACATTTCCTTGCTCCTCCTCCAAACTCATCGCACGAAGAAGTACTAAAACAAATCAACAAATGGGACGTAGTTACACAAGGAGAAGACATCGGATTATCAAAGAACGCAAGCACAATTGTCGCAAGACATGAAGCACATAACATTTTTAATTCTGTCATCGAAATTGATCCAACATTAATTTCTACTTCTGGATCTTCTGATGACACGTCTTATATAACTAAACTTGTAGAGAACTACGCGAAACAATTACCACAGCAGTTCAATACAGCGCAGTTAACAAGACAAATGAGAGCTTCATCGAGTAATTGCGATGTTTTCTTAGTTTGTTTATTGCATGAATGTCATTTATATAATAATTTGTTATCTGTTATTTCTTTGTCTTTGTCTGAAGCACAGGATGCATTGAATGGAAGCAGATTAATGAATGATGATATCTCTCAAACAATACATTCATTAGTTGCCAACAAAGTTCCTCCGAAATGGAGATCTGCTTCTTATTTAACTTCTCTTCCTGCAACGCTATTCATTGAAGATTTGATTGATAGAACTAAATTCATTGACGCATGGACAAGAGGTGTTCGACCAAAGGTATTTAAACTTGGCGCTTTCTTCCATCCTGAAGAGTTCTTAACAGCTCATTTGCAGTTGTTCGCAAGGAAAAACAAAGTTCCTTTCGACACTGTCAGATGGTCAACGAAAGTTTTGAGTGAAAGAACAGGTGCAGCAATAAATGAAGAACCAGAAGATGGTTTGTACGTTGAAGGACTGTTTATAGAAGGCGCAAAGTGGAGTAGCAGTGAGAATTGCTTGGTAGAATGCAACTCTTCTGATTTGATTTCGACACTTCCTGTAATTCATTTGATTCCAACAACAGATCCGGACGACAAAGGTTATGAATGCCCTGTTTTCAGGACACAAGTAAGAGGAACTGGAGCTTTGGATCCACCAAACTATATCATGAGTCTGTGGCTGCCAAATGGAAAACTATCACATGCACACTGGATACAAAGATCTGTGGCAGCTATCATAACAGTTCGTGAATAATTTATTTATTTTTTTTATGTTATTTTTATTTTGTTTTTTAAAAATTATATTTGTATTTTTTTGTTTAAAAAAATCTATTAAGTATTTGCATAGCTGGCGCTTGAAACACTCTATTAATAATCTCATTAATTTTAACTTGAAATATATACCTTGAACACTAACTCTTCATTATGAAGATATTTTGTGATTAATTTGCTTTTTATTTGATTTGATTTCTCATTCCATGGATTTATAATTAGGTATTGGTATTCTTGTTCTAATCTCTTACAAAAAAAGATTATCTAACACAATCATAGAATATAATGAAATCCTATTAAAAATCAGACAGTTTTAAAAGTAAAAAAAAAGTTATTTTAAATTTTAATAATAATATAATCAATTCTTTATATCAAATAATATTATTGAAAGGCGTGGTTGGCGTGATATTCAAGTACATCACGCAGAGTAGGGATATTCTGAGGTTGTTGATTGATGATGTCAATTGACCTACTTAGATTCAACATCAAAAACCTAACGATACAAGCTTCTTCTTGCATAAGTGTGTGGCACCATCCGTGGTCTTTTAGAGCAGGAACTTTTGCAATTTCGCATAAAGCGACAATTGTCATTATTTTGAACCTGGAATTTATATAAGTATTAGCTGAAACATCACAGTGAGAGGAATAACCAATAGAAGTACTACTATCTCTAGCAAAATAAATTCCATTGCCATGAGCTGCTCCGTTGAGCATTCCATCCGTATTAGACATGTTTTTCAGGCCATTTCTGAATATAGCGTGCCATCTACTGGACGGAGATCCGTGCCAAAGGAAGAGAGATCCGTATTGTTGCTGCAATTCACGGAATCTCTGCTCCTTTTGAGGTGTACTCGATAGAGCAAGGAACATCTTGGCTGTTCCACCCTTTAGTTCGGCCAATTCGAGGCTTCCATTCAGTGACATAAACTGAGATCTGTTTGTAAGCAGTATCCATCGTAATAGACGCATCGGACGTTCACCAATAGCATTAATTATCTCCGCATCGTTCTTATATGTCGTAATTATCGTATTCATTGATGGAAGAGTTCGAACAATTTGTTTGCACTCGTCAACTGAGAAATCTGGTGGCGCTGGGATGAGCCATTTGTCTTTTGTGGCTGCTGCGAACATAGAAATAACAAGATCGGCCGCATCCGGGTCCCTCAAAATTTCATTATAAACTCCGCAACCGACGCCGAGTTCAGTAAATGTAAATTGGCATAGTGGGTTATCACAAGGTGTTGGTTTGACACCTGGTTCTTGTAATTGCTTACGGCAAACGCAACAATGGTCTGGTAAATCGAGAAATACTTCGACTAGCTCAAGAACGAAATATAAAAGAGGACAATCTTTGTATGATATATGTATATCTGTTTCTATCGCTGGAGCAATACCTGTCCTTAGGAAAGATAATGCTTGATCAAAGTCATTTCTGAATAATGCTAGGGCATGGGAGGCACGCTCGCCATCGAAACCCATATCTCTAAGCTTTTTTAGCTTGGCTGGCTCGCATCTGCCAGGCGGAGACAAAATATGAGAAGCAGCTTGATAAAAATCGCGTGGACTATAATCTGAACTAAAGAAATCGTTAATAACTTGCGAGATAAGTGGTCTGCCGATATAATTGTTCTGATATTCTGGATGTAAAACAGATATGAAATCTGGTTTCTGTTGCCATGACATATTTGTTAAAATAAGATTGACTTCGAGAAGTTTTTCGCTTTTATTGAACCCATAAACGACTTGGGATGATAAAGGAAGACAATCCGCAAGAATTGAAAATGTAATTCTTCCTGTATTGTCAACATACGCTGGATTATTAACAATAAAGGCATTGTAAATATTAATAACGTTGGTAAGGCTATGGAACTTGAGTGAATAAGAATCATTTGTTTCTTTGATTATAATTGATTGAGATTGAGACTCCTCATCTAATACAACTTCACCATCATCAGCATCATTGTCACCGTCATCATTATCATAGAATCCATCATCTTCATCACTCATATTTTTCTGTCTTTTTGACTTCAGAATTTTTGGTTTTATTGAATTGGTTGGCATACAAATTCCGATTGATTTGGAATAGTTTTTCAAGATGATTTTTTGGAAGAAAAATATCAATGGAAAAATTTTCCACTCAAATTGAATTTTTTTCCCAACATCAAAATTTTCATGCTTCAGAGGCTTTTGCTACTGAGTTAGCACTTATTTTAAGAAATAGTTGTCATCCCTCGACAATTTAACAAGTAACATCCAACAATTTCTCAATTATTAACAAATGATCATGATTCATTACTTTTTAATTCGTATTTTATATGAACAATGCGTTAAATGAAATGATACTATCTATCCCAAAGACAAGAGCTTTGAACTCCGCAAATTTTTAAATCATTGGATTAATTTCCATGGAAAAGAGCGAAATTTATAAACAATTTAATTTACAAACAAATAAAAAACAAAATATATACAGAAAAATGTAAGAATTCTGAACAAATTACAATAATTCTTGAATAAGTTTTGAAAGAGCTTTGATATCCTTGTAAAGAGGTGTCTTTCTACTTGCTTCGATTTCTGCTTTCTCTCTTCTTCTCCTTCTCTCGATTTCCTGCTTCCTTCTCTCATAAAGAGAAACAGCTGGAGAAACAGAAACGACAGGGGCTGGTCTGAGCGGAGACAAAGCACTTCTTGCGTCTCTTTCTCTTCTTGCTGAGTTTACTGGCCTTACGTTTATTGATTTCGGAGGCTTTGGAGGTTTCTCCTCTTCTCTACTCCATAATTTTACAGCTCCATCCCAACTACTTGACACTATGTAATCCAAACCTTCTCCAACAGAAATCGCGCAGATTGTATCTTTGTGGCCAATAAATGTTCTCGTGATTCTTCCATCGTCGACATCAAAGGCTCTCAATGTTTTGTCGTCGAGTGCAACAATCACAGAGTTTCTGTCTAATTCCATTGCAGTGATCGAGCACCATCCGCATGGAATTGTCACTAATAAATCTAAGTTTTCGACTTCACCTGACCAAACTCTAATTTGTCTGTCACTGTGTGCAGTGATGATTCTCTCTCCATCATGGTGTAATCGGATGTTTGTGACTTCTCCGTACTCTCTCATATCAGCAACAGCTGTTTCTCTCATTACGTTGGCTGTTCCTGTAAGGAAAACTGATGGAAGATTGGCCAATCTCTTCAAATCAGTGCCAACACACCAACTTTTGACTAAACCATCACTTCCTGCTGTCAACAGATATCCGCTTTGTGCTGAGAAAACAGAGTCATTGATTGATCCGTTGTGTGCCATTAATCTCGTTCTCTTTTCTTCCATGGGATCAGGGAATTCCGTGAGAGTGAGCATGTGCCAGGATCCATTTAATGTGGTCGCAAGAATAAATGATCCAACAAATTGAAGTGAGGTTATTGAACCATTTACAGGTGCAGCGGAATGAGCAACTCTCATCGTTGTTGTTTGGATCGCGTAGATATTACCGTCTGTATCTCCGAAAGTGAAGAAATCTGGATGTGTTCTGATGGAAGTTATTTTAGATTTTGCAGGAAAATCTTTAATTTTCTGGAATTTAAATTTTGATTCCTGCAAATAAATAGAAAATGTCCTCTGACCACCACCAATTATGTACTTTCCTTCTTTAACAGATTCTGTAACGGTTATTAAACCTTTCTTTGTATTTGTAATTTGGATTAAAGGATGAGCCAAAGGAACAAAGTTTACTGAACAAAGAGCATGAAAAGCATATGGCATTGTAAGTGTTACTCTTGATGCCATTGGTTCGTATTGAAATCCAAGAACATAATGTTCATTAAGAAATAGATACATTATTGCTGTATTTGGATCGAAGTGGACGGCGAAGTATATGTAAGTATTGATACCGATAATCGGTCTTTCTTTGAGAGTATCGAAAAAATCTGTAAGATCAACTAAAGGATTATTTCGATCAAGAAGTTTAATAGAGCCTTGTGCTGATATAGCCCATATCATGTTTGCTTGGTAGTCTTGTGTAAGAGACATAATACTTGAACCAGGAAAGATATCAAAACCTTGAAGTATTAATCCATCTCGGGATATAATGTAAAGCTTTCCATCTAATGCTCCAACAAGCAAAACTTGTTGGATTGAATCATATATAACAGAAGATATCGATTGATTAAGTTTTAGACGAATAAGTTTGTTCACCGTTGGTGAATCAAGACGTGTAATTCCGATGGTGTGGTCGTGCGCGATTGTAATAAGTTTGTCATTTGCAATCAAGATTTTATGTATAATATCTGAATGTAATTTAATTCTTTGAAAAGGTTTAATTTCTGATATGTCTTCTGATGCATTTTTATCAAGTGATCTTTGGACAATATCGTATCTAACTTTAAATAATAATATTTCGGCATTACCTCCAACATAAAGCGTCTCTTTGTATGGATAATAGCATAAGCAATAAAGTGGAGCTCCAAAAGTATCTGTTTTTCTTTGACGATTTAAAAATTTTGCTGCGACTCGATTATTTGACCATAAAAGTAATCTTCCATCAGTGGATGTAGTTGCCAAAGCATCAAGATCTTCAAGACATTCAATTCCAGTGATAGGTCCTTCATGACCCGAAAAAAGTCCTGTAATTTTATGAGTTGCTAATGACCATTGGCGAATAACAAAGTCCTCGTTAGCTAAATAAAGGTCTTTTCCATGAACTTTGAAAACTGTGAACTTATTCACCGGAAAAGCCTGCTTAAGAACCCAACTCATATAATGTACGTTACCTATTAAATTCAAAAAAAAAAATTCAAATGAATGATGAAAAGATAAAAGTTTATATTCAATACAATGGGAAAGATGCTCATTATGATATTCCTTCAGACGCAAAAGTTCAAACCGTGATAGATCATTTAACACAAGAATTTAAAGTTAAAAATGAATTGCAAATTTTTCAGAATACAACTTTATTGAGTCATGCTGATCCCGTCTCAAAGTATAAAACTGATAAGGAAAATCCTTTAATCGTTGCCGACATACCGTCTGGACTACCTCCTAGAGAGGAATTTATTAATCGCAGGAACCCTTCAGAGGACGAAATTCAGAGGCTTGTTTCTCAGGTATATGAGATAGTGGATGCTAGTGAAATAACTGGAAATAAACAAATTGATGAAGAAATTAAAAAGAGACAAATTGATACTATTCGAAAGGCTTTAAAAGAAGCTGATTACAATATTCCTGCTACAATTGAGATCCTTTGTAAATCATAAGACTAATCTATCAAAAATTTTAAATATTATTTATATCAATAGGTATTTAATAATAAACATTATAAAAATTAATAAAATATCATAAAAATCTAGGAAATATGTCTCCAGTCGTATCTTGCATATGGCTTCCGCTGCCAAAATCCCAACATTGGACATGCTGTTTTTATAAATTCGGATGATTGCTGCTTTCTATCATATTGATGAATTATTCTGGGAATCACTCCATCATCATACCTAACTAGATCTGTTTTATTCTCCGACTTAATGAAATTGTGCAAGTATGCTGAAACGTATTTTCTGTCAGGATCAATCTGAACGAGATCTCCGAATTTATTATTGTAGAACATTGCATTCAATGTGCCTTGATCTTGAGCTTTAAATGCTACCCATTTCCAAAAGCTTAAATTCACAAAAGTTCTGTAAAATTTCACTAAATTTTCTGAAGTTCCTACGAAAAGGCCAGAGCACAAAGGGTACTTATCAAAGTACTTACTCTTTGAATAGTTTGCGTCTAGGCGAGAAACCCATAGATTATTTACTCCATTAACACTAAATTTTTTGCTTTCATAGGAAAAGAATACGTTTGTCATATTAAATTCTGTTGTGAAAGGATCTCTTTGGAAATATGTATCATAAACATCTAATATAACAACTCTATTAAAGGATTTCCAATATTGATTTAAAAACATTGCGAAAATTAAATGGCGGAGTAGATTTCCATGAATATTTTGGATCCTTCCGATTCGAGGGATTGGAACTAAGTTGACTCCGCAGTTTTCTAGATTTTCAAGGTATTTAGGTGGTAATTGCTTTTCTACATCTGTACATGTTAAAATAGCAATTGTTGCTTTACATCCTGTCGTTCTAATAGATCGAACAAGCGTTAAAAGATTGTTTGGAAAATCACTGTATAATAAACCAATAATTAGATCATCTGGAGTACTATTTGCAATAGTGTCATTATCTTTCTTATAAGAACATAAGTTGCATCCAGAATACTTCTTATTCTTGAGAATTTCTCCATATGTCATATTGTTAGTCCATTCTATACTTCCGATATACGCTTTGGTGAAGTTTATTGATTCTTCCATCTGTGTGCTATTCACTATTTCCGGGACTTCAATCATTTGCAATTGTGCTGAAATAGAATGAATGATTTGCGGGGCAACATAATTGGTAAATGATAGAATGAAGGATGATATAAGTATGATACAAAATACATACTTAATGGCAAACGAATGTGCTTGCTCCTCATTTATTGTCTTGCATTGCATTTTTTTAAAATGATTTTCAAAGTGAAGATTTTTGAGAAGTCTCAATTCAATGAGAAGAAAAGGATTTTTATGAGACCCTCTTTTGTTTTTTTAAAATCGTACAGGAATGAAAATGACAATTAATAGAAATTGTTCGGAATTTTTGAATGCAAAAAAACCTTGCTTGAAAATTACTATGGTACAAATAAAATCAATATTTTCGTGTTAATCTGATTTGGCATATTTGATTTTTTGAGAGGTGGAAGGTTTATTCTGTTCTCAAATTTAAATGGACTTTATTTTTAGAATCTAGCATTAAAATTTATATTAAAGCTTTTTGATAATTTGTAGTAAAAAATTTCAAGAAATAAGATGACCCGTTGCATTTATGGATCTACTCTTTAAATGTCTGCTCTTAATAATAGTTTTACAATTTCATTTTAGAATATAATCAACGATTCATCAGTATTGATGATTGCCACAAAATAGCATCAAAAACTACATAAATTAGGCAAAAATATTATTAAATCTCTGGCAACATCCTTGAACTTGAAAGCGTGATCGTTAATAAACTTCAAATAATTCGGAAAATTTATCATTAATATATTAGCTCTTCTCAGACTGGTATTATTTTTATAATGCTCTTTAAAGTTGAATTTCCATTCTTTTGTTTAGCTTTGTTCATTTATTATAAAAATTATAAATTTTTTAAAAACAGAATGATAATTAATTTCAATGCAATACAAACAACATCTAAGATTTATTATGAAAATTAATAAATATAATAAAATATTATATTATTTTCAGCAACAGAAGTATTTTTTCTTGGTTTGATCCAAAATATTTTGTTCTTTAATCGTTTCATCTGTTTTCACTGCTAAATCTGCTGCTAAAGCAAATAATTCATCGATTCCGCTTCCATTTTTAGCTGAAACGAATAACACGTTTGTAAAGTGTTCTAGTAGCATACTATTTACTTCTGAAATAGTTAATGGAGGGTCTTCTGAGTCTATTTTATTTATTACAGCAATTAATGGAATATTTTTTGTATAGCTAACAGCTTACTGTTTCCATTTGAGTATGTGATTAATTGATGGGGAATCAAAAAGGGATCCAACAATAATAACGCAAAGTGCATTTTTTATGTATAATGGAGTGATTGATTGAAATTGTTCTGCACCTGCTGTATCCCATATATTCAAAGTTATTGTTTCATTATCTAAATTTATCAAAATTTTGCTATTGGCTAATCCTATTGTTGGATTTGAATCAGAAAACTGGCCCGTTAACTTTCTACAGCAAATAGAAGTCTTTCCCACTCCAGAATCTCCAAGGAGAATTACTTTATAACCTTTCTCCATTGAAAATGTCTGAAATAGGAGAAAAATTCGAAAAAAAAAACTTGAGCAAAATTAATTTTTGGTTCTTCAAGGTCTGTGGTTAAATTGGATGTGAAAAGGGTATAGTTTTACATAAAAATTACAAAATTGGAGAAGCTTATTTTGGAATTTGGAGATCCCAGTCGTTATTTCTCCAAACGAGATCCTTAAGCTCACTATTATCATAATAGACATCAAAACCATTATGATCAAAAGAGGAATTAATTGTAGAAATATTTAATCTTGACGAATCAAGATCAAAACGCATAACCGAAATCATTATTAAACGTTTATTTCGAAAGCAAAAATACATATATAGGCAAAAGGAAATTAAGATTAAAAAAGTTTTTATAGGTGGGACATACTTCATATTGAAGGATTGTGATTATTACTCGACCATTACCATCCCAAATGCCAGCTTGATGAATAACGTTAGAAAATAAATAATCTGTTTTTGAAAATGCATATTCATAACTTCCGATAGAGGTGAAAAAGTCGTCTACCGAATTGATTTTTCCTGGTGGAATAATTGCATCTTTAGATAAAGCCCATGAAGAGCCTCCCCCAGAACCAGAGTCTGGATCATGACTAGCAAAACCTCCAAACCATCCGCTCCCGGAGCCTGATTTATCGCTAGTAGAAGAGTATTTATGAACACCATTTACATTCTTAGAGCCATATAATTGAGCAGCTTCTCCAAATCCAAAACTAAATCCGAATGTGGAGTTTGCAAAATAGTCATTCTTATAAGTTCCATTCTCAAACCATCCCTGTGCAATCAAGCCGCCTCCTGAACCTCCTGAACCATCATCAGTACCCTGAAAATTTCCATAGATGTTATCAGCACCGCCGCCTGAACCAGCGACAATTACTCGATGCCACAAATTGTTTTCTATGAACTTCACAGCAGTCTGGCCACCTCCTGATCCAACGGTAGGATGTGCAGGCGTACTACCTCCGCCTCCATATCCTCCTGGAGAATAAAGATTTTGTTCGAAACATCTTATTTCATGATAGCATGTAGTATCTTTATTAACAGTTCCTTTGCCCCCAATGGTTATATACGAGAGTGTTGATTTCCTTAAAAGGATAATACCTGAAATGTATCCTCCTGCACCACCAACACTCGCGTGATGTCGACATTGGGTGTTTCCGCGATATCGATTAACGATTTCTTCTGAAATGCAGCTGCCATCAGGAAATCTATATGAGGTGACACCGTTTAGGCTGCCACCTGATGAACCATAAAGTTCGAATTTGTAAAGACCAGGGGATAATGCGACTTCATAATCTGTACAATCAGAGCTACTAGTGCAGGGATAATCGAAAAAATATTGATCAATATCTGTTGTAACATTGATTTGAGCACCTACTTTACTTTCATTTACAAGTTTGTATTTGAGCATTTACTTTTAAATGCATTTACCTTGATTTCAAGATTAATATTAATTTAATATATTGCTTGAAAATTGATGCAGAAAAAAGAGACTCAGGAAGACATGGTCCAAAGCATAAAATCAATTTTACAATATCTTCTTCATTATGTTGAGATGGTAATGTCTTGGTGTCCGCCATATAAAAAATAAAAATCCAATTCTGAAATTTGATTTGAATTCAAATTATTTGATGAATTTGGTTATGACAGTGCGTTTCGTCATTGAACGGTGTTTGAACTTTATCTTTACAATCATTAATATTCCTTTGGGATTCATTAGGCTTAATAATGTATATCATCTCAAATTTGAGAGATCTCTCAATTTTTTTGAGATAGTTCCAGTATTTCTATCTCACCATCTTAAAAGTAATATGTACACATATGAACTCGTGTATCTAATTTGTACAATTACTCAGGATAAATATTAATCTATCTCCATAAAAAAAGTTCATATGCAAAATTGATTTTTATAACATAAAAATGATACTCATTGTATGAAATGAATTGAACCATGGTAATGAAGAAGCCCAATAATTTCTTTACAATTTCTTGTCTCTGTGTGATGCACAATAGTTCTTCCTTGCTTATCTTTTTCATTAATATGTGCTTCATGAGAAGAACAATGTTCTTCTGTTGCTTTCTTGAAAGTAGTAAAAATATATTGAAGTGTTTTTCTATATTTACATCATGTTAAAGGAAATATTCACAATGAGGTGATATATTAAACATTGTTGAATGAAAAATTGTTTAAATCACTAGTTTGATCGACAAAATGATTATTTTCGCAAGTAAATAAAGCAAAATTTTGATATCATAACAAAAAAATTCACACCAATAGGATGTTTATTTTACTCATAAGGTTGATAAGGTGATATCGACTGCTGTGGCTGTTGGGGTGGTGGATAATATGGCGCCTGTGGAGGTGGTTGCTGGTATGGCACCTGTGGAGGTGGTTGCTGATATGGCTGCGGCTGATAAGAATATGCCGCTTGTGGATATGGTTCTTGCTGTTGTTGGAAGTCAGAAAGTATTGATGCATTTGTTGGATTCTTTCTCTTTGATGATGAAGATGATGAGCTCTTTGATTGTTTCTTCTTCTTAAATGTGAAATAGATCGCTATAACTGAGATTATAACAAAGACGCCAATGAATATGCCTACTACAAGCAATCCTTTCGATTTACTTGTCAAGCCCTTTTTTGAACTTTCAGTTGGGGATACTCTGTATTTATAAGTTGGCAATGGAGTATACATTGGGGTTGCAGCTGGAGTAGGAATATATTTACTGCCATCAATTGAATCAACAAATTGTCCATTTAAGTATGCTATTGCAGATAAATTTTGCTGACCATTTCTGACCAAAATAAGCTTTCTCTTATTATCAGAATATGTCTGATCATTCATTTCAATGTTAATGTGTCTTGAAGAACTCGTAGTACTTTTTACACTTATAGCAGGACCAATTTGTGACTCTTCATTAATGTAGTATAATGTTCCACCAATCTTAACTGTCATGTCGTCTGTCATGCAAAGGTACACACAAACTTTTCTATCTGGTAACCAATAAATTGAGTTTTTGCCGGGGCCACCATATACCAAAATGTCATCATCGCATCCTAAGTCTGAACGGTATTTGAAAGCATAAACTAGGAAATATGCTCTCTCTTCTGATGATATAAGATTCAATTTAATTTGGCCGGGCTCTGTAAATCTAACTGCCCTGTATTTTGTATTTCCAACAAGATCAAATGTTTTATCGTTAACAACAGCTGTTACTAATACGTTTTTGTTTTCATTATATGGGAATATACAGAGTGTGTTTTCTGGTACATTATAGACTTGCTCTTTCTTGATTAGAGCATATTGATTTAAACCATAATCAAATTTTGGATAATTTGAAAAATCATATGAATTTCCATCGAAAACATGATTTCTTGCTGCATCATTGATTATTTCACTATAAGATCCTTCTTGAAGACCATAAAAACCTCTTGTTGAGCTCTCTGTAACAGTATCACCTTAGCTCTCACGCCAAATCTTAAAAATGGCAGTTTGTGCATTAGTTGAATCTGAATCCGAACGAACACCTTTATTAAACCATCGATTTTGCGTGTCAGTCATTTGCCTTTGATAATATACATATGTATTTTCATAATCAAATTCGCCAGCTTGTCTCTTAAGCTGATAAGATGGTCGATCCTGTGTGGTAAGATAAATCATGCAAAGTTTCCTATATTTATTGACCATTTTGCCATCAATTACTTTATTTCCGCCAACATCCAGCAATATATCAAGGGTACTGCAAGCTTTTTCAACTATTAAATAGAAATATTTGATATTTCCTCTCTTATTTGAAGTTAAATATATAAAATCAATATTTTTATATATTTTCTTCAAACCTTCTGAACCTACATAAATATCTTTGGTATCTGGAAAGATAAGATAATAGTCGCAATTAGAATTGCCTTTTTTCAGATCATAAAATGTGCCAACACGAAGTTCACCAGTCGTGCCTCCAATAACTTCAACTCTTGCGGCAGAAGAAATGCATGAAATAAAGAAAGAAAACATGAGTAAAAAATTTAAAAAAGCCGTTGCAAAAATTTGAATAGAGGTGGACTCTCTCAGAAAGATTCCTTGGTAAATAAAGAACTATATGTTTTCGACAAACTTTCGGATCCGTAAAGCATTCAATTTTTTCTTGCTAAATAGAATTCATAGGAGGGATAAATCAAAGTTATATAGCTAGACTGTACACCTGCTAAAATGAGAGTTCAACATTAAAAAAATAAAAACATTCTGTCATTTCATAGATAATAGGAAGTTATCAACAAAAATGTGTTAAATATAGCGACTTTAGACAGTTTCGAATCTTATTTTCAGGCCATTAATGATAAATATTTATCAATTTAATATAAAATTTTGGTTATTTGCCAAGACATTGTTTAGAAAGTCAAATTTACAGTGCCTACATGTATGAGCCATTGTTTCTAGTTTATCAATACCTCAAAATTTTAAAATATAATTGATGAAATTAATTCTCAAATAGTTAACTTATTTGAGCTTATGATGCATACTTCATTTACGAGTGAAGTTATTTTGTGCTTATGATATTTGCGTGTTCTTCAATCAATGGATTTATATTTGATGTGTAATAAAAATGTCACTTTTTGGAATAAAAACAAATGCAAGTTCCAGAACAAGAAGGCAAAATAATTAATCAGCTTGAAAAGATACTCACCGCTGCATCTAGTTTATATGATTCTCGAAAGGATCAAATAAACTCCGATATTTCATACTTAGAAAATGTATATAAAATAATGACTGGATTGACAGCTTCTCTTGGATTTAAATCAGATAACCCATTTCTTATGCATTCGTTTTATTCTCTTCCTGCTGGAATTGCATTTGAAGAAATGTATAAAAGTTTTAATAATATCGCGTCTAACATTAACAATGAAGCTCTTCCTGGACTTAAAAAGTGTGTATCCCAGTTGACATCTTCAAAGCAAAAGGTTTCAAACAATATTAAGCAAAATATGTATACTCTTCGTAAAAATGCTGCCAAATACTACGAAACAGCAACTGGAATCGCAAAAAGTCGTGAAACATTTTCCATTTTGGACAATCTCGACAACCAATACATACATGGAAACCAATCTCATTCTTCATATATGACATTATTGCAGACAATTATCGAAGTCGAAGACGCAACTAAGGCAGACCTCAATGAGCAAGAGAAATTGCTTGGACAGATAAAAGAAACAGAAGCATCCATCATAGAAAAATCATGTCAAACAATTTCGACCGGTCTTCCATTCTTAAAAGATATTCCAAACAAAAAACGCGAATACCAAGATACTGAAGAAGTTCCACATTGGAGAAATATTATATTACAGGTTTTCCTTGAACTAAAAACAACTCATACGATTATTCCTGTTTCCCCTCGCGAATCAGCCGGTTTCGACTGGATGTCGTATGGAAAGATGACTCCATTCTATGCCCGCGTTTGGGAAGACCATACGAAAGCAAATAATGACGAAATTGATTTGACTCGAAAGGAAACAGTCAAAGTTTTACAAGTTGACTATGGAAATTATTGGGTTGTCCAGAAATCTGATGAATCTACTGGCTTGGCTCCTTGTACCAAGTTACAACCTGTTGAATAATTTTATTTTTTCTTTTCATGTGTGATATAAAAAATCTATGTTTATTTCAATCAATTGGACTTCATTTTTATCATTTTTGACGATTATCTATAAAACACTTTTAAATTCTGATGATATAATTTCTATTATCTGTAATAAAAGATGTTTAACCATATAAAATATGTATCTGTGGACACATGAATTGAATTTTTAAAAACAAAGTACTCCCTGCTGCCATTTTAATTGCTTTATTTATAGAATATTCTAAGAAACATGGTAATTTTATGGACAAGATCCACCTGCGACTTAATAACTTTTGAAATAGGACATCTAATAAGAATTACAAATAAATGAATAACATAATGTTAATACAACCAATAATAAATCTAGATGCACGTAAGCATATAGACTAAATGAAATGTAGTGTAATGTGCTTGTTAGTAAGTTGATAGACATTGTGAATATAAATAACAATTTACTAACAACAATAAAAGAAAGAACAAAACAATAAATTATTCTACACCAAAGCTGTCTTGCCATTCTTGATATTTCTTCATATTGAACATCAAGCTTGGTTTAGTTCTAGATAAAGCCAATTTCAAATCCTGATCATTAACTAAATCCAAAACAATATCCTCATCTTTGGCGACATCTAAATACAAATCTCCATACTTTTCCTGCAGTGATGACATCAATCTTCTCAATGGTTCCATTGCAGCTTCTTTACAAACTAATTTGATATCTGATCCACTGTAATTCTCTGTTTTCTCTGCAAACTGAGCGAAATCAATAGATTGATCAGCTACATCAGGTGTCAACAATGTTCTAAACATGTTTTCACGACTTTCTTTATCTGGCAATGGAACTAAAATTCTCTTTTCAAGTCTTCTCAATAAAGCAGGATCTAAATCAAACGGGAAGTTCGAAGCAGCCAAGACAAACACTAAAGCATTTGAGTTCGCAAGTCCATCCATTTGTGTGAGCATCTCTGTCTTCATTCTTCTTGATGCTTCGTGCTCTTCTTCCGAAGATCTCTTCGACATAATCGAATCCATTTCATCAATGAAAATTGTTGAAGGTGCATGGAATCTTGCGAGCTCGAATAAGACACGAATGAGCTTTTCTGAGTCACCTCTCCACTTAGAAACAACTGTAGAAGCTGAGATATTAAAGAATGTTGTTCCTTCGCCTGCAACAGCTTTCGCAAGTAGAGTTTTTCCTGTTCCTGGTGGACCATGGAGTAAAACGCCTTTCCATGGGCGAAGAAGTTTCTTTCCTTCGAATAATTGAGGGAATTTGAGTGGCATAACAACTGCTTCTCTTAAAACTCTCTTTGCACCATCAAGACCAACAATATCTGACCATGTAACACCTGTATTCGCTGTAAAGATATCGCGAGCAATGACATCTGTAAGGTCGCCGAAATCTGCACGCAGTTGTGGCGGAACTGGCTTCATTAACTGAATATCTGGAGGGACAGGTAAAGGAGTTTCGTCTGTGATCTCTTCTTTCTTGGATTTCTTCGGTTTAGGTGGTTGTGCAACGATTGGCGTAGCATTGATTGATAAAAGATCATCTGATTGTAGAGGATCATCTGATTTGCCTTTTTCTGATGATTTCTCTGACTTTGTATCACTTGATTTAGCTTTTTTGACCTTTGGTGGATGACCGTCGATACCTGCATTATTCTTTGCCTTTTCAATTACAGCTGGAATATCATAAATATTTCCGAGTGATGTAGGCGTGGTTTTCTTTCCTTTAGGAACTGGTTTTGCAATCTTTGGTTTAACTCCATAGCGTTGTTCGTATGCTTTTTCAAAATCGACAATAATTCTTTGAAAACTTATATTATCGCAAAGTTCAAACCTATCAGGACCAATTCCTGCCTCTTGAGCAAGATGTTCAGCAGAATTAACGTAGCCTAGTTGCTTTAAATGATTATAGATTAATACTAAACCATCACGAGTTCTCCTCTTTTTCTCGTCTTCGGAATAATCTTTTGCTTGGCTTTTACAATGAGTCTGCATATAAGAAATTTCATGTTCAGTCATTAACATTTTTAGATAAATGAAATTTTTATAAGGGGATTGAAAAATAATTCCCCCTATTAATCCGTTTTTATATTAGGATTTTGAGAATTTCATCGAAAGGAGGTGGATTTATGCAGTCGTAGGTATAACAAATACGAAACATGCTACATCATGATATCAATAGCTTACGATATTCAGATTAGAAGATATTGTTTTTGTTTAAGCTTTTATTAATGCAAATCAGACGGATCTCATGTAGAATGGTGATTCATAATATTGATGTTTTGAAGTAATGAAGTTGGCTGCATTGTTGGCTTAATTCAGGCATTTTCAATGATTTATAGGAAGAATCAAAATAAGAAATATGTTTAGAAATGCATAGTTCCAAAATTTTAATGCATAAGGGATGTGAAAAAATTTCTCTCGCAAAAAAATAGCTATAAATCTGAAAAATAGAATGAAATTAGTCATATAGATACTAATTAGTAATATACTTCTATAAAAACGTAATCATGTGCATTTTTTATTTATCGATCATGAGAAATCACGTAAAGCTCACAAAAATGAATTGTCTCCGGTTTTAGAATTGAATACTTTCTGAACGGTTGTTTATTTTTCCAAAAATATGTAACATTACCTTTTTGATAATATTTATATATAAAATAATTTGAATACACCCCAGAATTTCAAGGAGCATCAAAATGTCTCAGGCGCCAATGAATCCAGCAAACACTCAAGGTGCTGCTGAAAAAGATACCGTGGAAAATATGATGAATAACCTTGATACTATTACTCAATCAATTAAGAGAATTCAAGAAGAACTGAACGGTTTCGAATTTTTATTAAATCAATCAAAAATCGCATGTAAGCAATACCAAGATGAAATCGAGACATTAGAGCAAATAAAGAAAGATCTTCAAACCAGAACTTCCGGAAATCAATTAGTTCAAGTTAAACAAGAAATGTTACCCAAATTAAATCAAGAACCTTTTCCAAAGCCAATGCCGAAATTTTCTCAAGATGGAAATATTCTTTCTCATGATCAAATCGAATGGACAACAAGTCCTCCGCATATAAAAAATACTGGCATCAAACTTCGCTATGCATTGTCGTTAAATTGCATCTTGTGCGCTACGCAATTCAGTCCCGATGGTCATTATTTTGCATTTACAGACAAAAAGACTTTATTTATCATAAATACCTCTGATGGATCGTTAGTTGGAACTGGCATGATACCTGGCAATGAAGACCAATATACAAGGATTATTGCTTTCTCTTCGAATTCTAAATACGTCGCAATTGGTGGCAAAAGTAACGAAATCTACGTTTACGACAGAGCAAACCCATCTAATGTCTTTCAAATATTGAAGAAACATGCAAATATTGTATCATTATTACACTTTTCTCCAGATTCCGAGAGATTATATTCTGGAAGTTACGATGGACAGATTTGCATATGGGATACCAAGACATTTAAGCTCATAAAATGCAGAGAACAAATAAATCAGGAGAAAGGAGATGGTCTTGTCAGTTTTGCCTTATCTCATGACGGAAAAATGCTTGCCTTAGGTTTTGTCAAAGGAACTGTAATGTTACTTGATTCTTCTCTTGATCAGACACAACATGTAATTACTTTCAAGGCTCATGAAGCTATTTTACATGGATTATCTTTATCTAATGACGATGACTTCCTTGCAATTGCTTCTCAAGATCAGACAGCATCTGTATGGCATAACTCGTTCGTTCCGAAGAAGGTTCATTCGTTTTCAGGCCACACAAACATCGTTTTAACGTGCTGTTTCACAAACGACAAGAAAATGCTCATAACAGGGTCAAAAGACGAGACGATCAAGATTTGGTCGATAAATACCGGTGAATGCTTATGTACAATCAATGCACATAAAAATACAATTTTCCAGGTTCAACATCACCCAACAGAGAATGCTTTCTTGTCATGCTCTGGTGATGGAAAGGTCTGCCTTTGGGATTATGCACCTGGTTACTACTTGACTCCTTAAATTAATAGAATTGTTTTTTTATTATTTATATCTTGGATTTTATAATAATATAAGTTGTTATATGTGAAATTGTAAAGTATTTTATTTAGATATTATTAGCTATTTTTAACTTTTTTCATTCCAAAAACAAAATATCTCAAATTTTTCTTCAGTTATAGCTTCATTTTCAATTACATTTAATAGTACGCACATAATATGTTAAAAAGATGAATAAATTTTCTTGATATCTTAAAAATTTAAATAAAAATATATTGGAATATACATAAAAATCGTGATTCATTCTTAATCATACAAATAGTATTGACATATTGATAATAAACAAACTGTTTAATGTATATAAAGTTAAAAGAATTAAAAATTAATAACATAAAATCTTATTTTCTCTTAAAATTGTTATTAAGGATATCCATGTATTCAGTAGCAAGTTGTGCAGGGGTAACCATTTGCTCCAACCATGGAATAGGTGCATCATTCTCGAGCTGATTCTTTTTCACGACCAAAGCCTTGAATCTTCCCCAAAGGAAGACAATTCTCATTGCTATTCTTTTTGTTATATCATTTCCGTTATCAAAATCTCCGAAATTCAATCTTTGGTGTTCGAAAATCATCTTTGTTTTCTGAGAATGAGTTTTTGTGAACTGTGTAGCGATTTCCTTCAGTTCATCGATGGAAATATCAATCATGATTGGTTCTTCCTTCGCATTGTCAAATGTTGAGTAAGATCTTGACAAAACTCCAGAAATTTCGGGGAATTGTTGCTTAATAACCAAATCAAGATATACTTGGTGAACTTCATCATATCTTTTATGGAAGAAACTAAGAATTGGATTATCATTCGATGCAGTTGAAATTGTATCGATAATTAAGAAATAATTGTTGATTAAAAAGGCTGGTTTCAAGTCTTCTGCTGACATCTTCTTTGATGTATCATCAAGGAGCTTATCAAAGACCGTTTTTGTGTCATCAACCGCTTTCATTATTAAATTCTGCACGGATTCGTCCAATAACTGGACCATTGACTTCAGGAACTCACTGTATCTCCTTGTCATCGCTAATGCGAGGTGTGGTGATGCGTTGTTTTCGACAAGCATGTTTGGATCGACAGATTTGATGGCGTTGACGTTATCTGAGATGATACGCTGGAATCTGTTGGTCAGCTTGTTTGTTAGGTTCTGTAAATGGTTGTTGACTTTGTCAATCTTTCTCCTTTGCATCTCATTTGAAAAAGAAATGACAAAACGAAGTAATAATATTATACATATTGGATCATTAATCTTATTAAACAAATCATCGAAAAATGTTTCAAGATATTTGTAAGTCTCAGAAAAGATGATCGCCGAAACGGTTTCGTTCTCAAAAAATTCCAATGAGAACTTATATTCCATTGTCACTGTATCTATCAAAGTTTGGTACAATGACCTGAAGAAACTCTCGACCGGATAGACGCCATCACCGAACGGCTGCGGCGGAGACAGTATCTCGTTCAGGAGCTTGATTCTGTCGCCTAAACAGAAGAAATTGGTCATTTCCCCGATGATTTTCTTAGTCTGCATGAAGAAAAATCCGGATGTAGTGAGACCTGAGATGTTTTCTCTTGTAACTGAAGACTGTGACATCTGGCGCTTAAGTCTGTATGTAAGCATCTTGAAGTTTTCGAGGTAAATGCGTGACATAATTTGAGAATAATAATCTCGTGCGGATTGCTCGTAATCTGATGAATGATGCTTTAAGAATATGATAAATGGTTTGCATTTGAGCATCTTGTGCTGTATTGCAACTTGCTCTGTACCGTATGTTTCTTTCATTTCATTCATTATATTAACGAACCAGTTTCTTATGTTGTTTGAAGCAATAACACGAAGTTTATCAAGTGGGAGAGTGATTTCTTGTGCTGCTTTTGTACTATAGCCGTCTTTTGATTTGATATATTGAATCTTTTTATGAAGCTCTTCTACGGCGGAGACATAATTGGCATTAACATCATTCTGCATTATAGTTGAAATGAAATTGCGAGTAAGGGTGATTGATTGAGTAAATTCTCCATATTTATTTTCGAAATTCTTACGATTTCCAAGCTTTGTTGTCAATGTTTCTGATTTATCTTGAAGAGTACAAATTTCTGTTGATAAATTTCCAAGTGATTTCTTGAACTTTTCGAGTAATTCTTGAATTGCAGCTAATGCTTTGCCTGATTGGTCAAGTTCTGCAGCAATTTTTGCAGCATCTTCTAATTGTTGAAGATAATCATTGATGGCTGATGTCTCTGCAGCTTCAAGTTGTTTTCCAATTTGTTCATAAATTTTTCCAAGATCGTTTCCATTAGCAAGAACTTCTGCTACAGAAGGAACAGATGCGAACATGCTAATATCTTGCTCTGTTTCATCGAAATTCGGGTCGTCTGCATTTAATGAAACATTGCTCATTTCAACAATATAAATTTGAATGGGGGCGAGCATCATAAGAAAAATTTTTCGAAAAATAGGGGGTGTTAGTATACTCAACCCCCTCATTAATTATCGTTTCTAGAGGAATAGGAACAGAGGCCTTTTTTCAGGTAACCTTTAAGAAGTTTCCGAAAGAGTTTATGCTCATATAACCTCATTTCCAGGTAAATAGGGGGCATTGTTCTACTAAAAGTTTAGTTGCATACTGGCCTCATTTCCTAAGAAACTTAATCAAGAGGCTATCTCAATAAGCCTTGACCAATAGGAATAGGATAAAGGAATATGCAATACTGAACTGCCGTAATCTTAAAGCAATAACCGATAGACACAAGCTCATCACTACTTGTTTGGTTGTTCAACGAATCTTTTTATATCATAGTACACTACGCGTATCTCATACCTCCATCCAATAGATGATTTACTCATAATTACATTTAAAACCCAAAAGTCGACATTTTTTTGAAAATATTATTCAGATTCAACAAAAATTTTCATTGATGATACAGGCATATAAAAGTTTCCAAGATGTAATTACTTGTCTTAACAAAAAACTTCATTCTCTTTCTATAATTTGAACAAAATTATGCAGCCATCAGGATTTTCGTTCAGAAATCATGTTTCATTCCTCTACGTATATAAGAAATCATATTTTCTACGGAGAAAACTCCATTTTTTATATTTTTCCTAAATTTTAATATTTTACTTCTTTTTAATTTCCTTTTATTAAGAGCACACTATCCTCTTTGAAGGATTTTCAATTTTTGCATCCCAACTACATTGCTGCATATTTTTACCATAACAATTCTTATCTATTGTTAAAATTCACTAAATTCGTGCACATTTTTACTTTTTCATATATGAAAATACTGATAACTTCTTAAATTTCCAATTGAATCTTTCCTTTTGTACATTTTGTTTGAAAATGTTTTTATTTTTCTGCATGAATATCTTAACACTAAGGACAAATATATATCAAAACCAAACTAATAGATTCTAGGCTCAGATATTTTCAATTTTCTTCTTATTTATTCTCCAATGTGATTATATGAGAATTCTGATAAAACATTCTCGTATTATGCATGAGAAATCAATTATATTACAGTCATCTTTCAATATGCAATGTTTATGGTAATACTTAAATTTTTATCTCTTTACACTAACTTTATTATGAAAGGCATATTATAATGTTAAATTCACATCAAAATAATGCAAAACGTATCTTATATTAATTCCAGACTTCAAAATATTTAATGAAATTTAATTTCCTTCAAAAATTAAAATAACCATTTCAAATCAAGAAAGCAAAATTATAAAATAACAATACGGGTTCATTTGTCTTTGATAATAATAACAAATATTGATTTAATAAACAATTGAACTTATTAATTTTCGAGTAAAGATAAAAATATTCGAGAAAATTAATAAGTTCGTCATCTTCTATTAATTTTCACATGTTTTAGAATGTATAATCTCAATGCAACAATAATATTGGATAAAAAATTCGACGAGTAATGGTTTTGCTTGAAAAGCGTCTGAGCATTATTTGAATTAATGTATATAATACAAATGTGGTTACTTATAAATATGCTCGGAAGAAAGTATAATGCTGCATTAAAGAAGGTAGGCTAAAGAACCTAAATGCATGTTTCGGTATTATTGATTACTAATTCCACAAGAGTGATGGTAAATCCTATTCCTATTGGTCAAGGCTTATTGAGATAGCCTCTTGATTAAGTTTCTTAGGAAATGAGGCCAGTATGCAACTAAACTTTTAGTAGAACAATGCCCCCTATTTACCTGGAAATGAGGTTATATGAGCATAAACTCTTTCGGAAACTTCTTAAAGGTTACCTGAAAAAAGGCCTCTGTTCCTATTCCTCTAGAATATAGATCCAAGGTGATGTGATTTTTGCATCCCTGGGATGGACGATACACCCAAAGTGTCACCTTTTTTGGGATAACATGAATTTTAAATATCATGAGAGTTCTGCAAACCATATGCACAATATCTATTCAGCCTGACTTCTTGTATATATGAGTTAGACTTCTTAAATATTGTGCTTGGGGCGATATAAGCATTTCCGAGATTACCATCGTGCTCTATAGTATGCTACTTCTCCCTGGTTCTAGCTCAGTTCCAAGGATATTGGCGTTCAAGGATTGGCAAGGTCCTTCCGAAGTCTCTCATTCGATGAGAGATTTCGGAAGAATCTTGCCTTAAAGTACTCCAACTCTTGTTCTTTTGTTCCTAAATAGTGAGAAAAGTTATTTGACTACTTAAGGTAGAGATTATCCGAGGTCCCTCATTTGATGAGAGGCCTCGGATAATCTCTGCCTTAAAATTGTACACTTGTAGTCCATGAGAGTGTAAGTATACATTGATAGGACAGCTTTCTTCTGAAGTCTTAGATTTGATGAGAACCTCAGAAGAAAACTGTCCTATTTTATAGTAAAAGGAGTTTCAGGAGCTCCAAAGCTCCCTTTCGTAAGGATTAGGAGCTTTGGAGCTCCTGGTTCGTAGATGTGTTTCGCATCTTTCATCAGCAAAGGACATTTACCATCTGGGACTATGTTGATGGAGACTCAGGAGCTCCAAAGCTCCCTTTAGTAAGGATTAGAAGCTTTGAAGCTCCTGGTTCGTAGACGTGTTTCGCATCTTTCATCAGAAGAGGCCCAAATGGTAAATAGCCTCTGCTGATGAGCTTCAGGAGCTCCAAGGCTCCCCCTCGTAACGATTAGGAGCTTTGTAGCTCCTGAAGGTAAGGTAGGATTGCTCTGATCTCTAATCAGTAGATGCCATGCCTCATTATGAACTCTACTGACAAGAGATCAAGAGCTCCAAGGACTCCCTTTTTAGTTAGTGGCGTTCTCACCATTTAGTAGGATTGCTGATCCTACTAATGAAGTGATCACTTAGTATACGTTTTGAATAAATTGAATTTTTTTTTAGAATTTAGTATTTTTTATAGACATCACATGTATATTATAAATACATAAATATATTCTTTAATTCAAAAAATTCAATTCGGTTTTGGGATGGGTATCCAGCCCCAAGTATTCAATTTTATTCAATTTTTTAAGAATTTTGGTTGGGATGCCCAGACCAAAACAAGCTTTATATTTTGATGTGTAGATACGTATGTGTGCATCATTGTTGTGTTATATATTATGTTTTTAAAGAAAAAAAATCTGATTCAAAAAAAATTATCACTAATTAGTTGATAATATAAAGAAAAAATAGATAAATTGTATGTTTTGAGAGTATTTATCCACATTCACTCATATGAATTCATTAAATAGTGTCTTTTTACTCCCAAATTTATTTTGAATTATTGAAATCAAAGAAAAAAATCAAAAAAAATTTCTCGAAATTTTTATTTTCAAAAAAAATTTGGATTTTATATTGAAAACTGACACTGGGAGGACGATAGGGCTGGGATTGGAGATACCCCGCTCACTTGGGAAAAATACGGATCTATACTCTAGAAACGATAATTAATGAGGGGGTTGAGTATACTAACACCCCCTATTTTTCGAAAAATTTTTCTTATGATGCTCGCCCCCAATAAAAACTCAACAAAAATATTTAAATTGTGATAAGAAAATCATTTTTTATATCATTTTGACTTAAAATACATGATGTAATTATGAAATGTTTCATATCACATGTCATATAATGATTGCCGAAATTGCAGATATTTTAGGGGATATTTGCTTACTTATATTCGTTTTTGCATTGATTTATGCAATTTGCAGTTCAGTAGTATCTGATGAAACTCTTTATGATAGAACTCTCCTTGCTTCAACGGATCCAAGAAAATTAGAGTATTTTATCGAACCTTCGCATGATGAACAACCTCAATTATTCCCAACAATATTTGATGAACCGGAAGTTTATGCTACATTCGTTGTCCCAGCTTATAACGAAGAAAGAAGAATTCCATCAATGTTAAATGAAACACTCCAATTCCTTGATACTAGGAGAGATGAGAATCCTAATTTCTCATATGAGATCATTGTCGTTGATGATGGCTCCAAAGATAAAACAGCAGAAGTTGTTCTCGATTTCGCAAATTCACATCCAGAAATCCGTCTTCTTAAACAGCCAGTTAACATGGGTAAGGGTGCTGCAGTAGCGGCAGGCTGTTCACATGCAAGAGGACAGTACATTTTAATGGTAGATGCAGATGGAGCAACAAAAATCGACGAATTTAACGAACTCGAAAAGAAAATGTTACAATTACAGCAAGTTAATCGCGAAGCAATCGTTGTTGGAAGCAGAGCTCATCTCGAAGGTCAAGATAAAGCAAATCGTACTCCAATTAGGAAATTCCTTGGCTTATCTTTCCATTTACTCATCTTACTTAGTGGTGTTAGAGGTATTAATGACACACAATGCGGATTTAAGCTGTTTTCTAGAGAGGCATCAAGATATTTGTTCCCTAACCAACACATTGAGAGATGGTGCTTTGATCCAGAGCTTCTCGTTATTGGAAGAAAGCGTAAGATGCAAATTGCCGAAGTTCCAGTCGAATGGAATGAAATTGAAGGCTCAAAGATGAAAGTTACATCAATGATCAAAATGGCCATCGATTTGCTGAGAATTGCTTTGTTCCACGGAATGGGAATCTGGACAGTCAAACTGAAACAGGCTGTTTACGACCAGGAACTCATCTAACTGTCTTTATATATAAGTAAATTGTTATTTTTTTATATCATATTTTATAATTTTTTTTTAAAGGTTAGAGGGTTCTCTATTTTATAAAGATGAAATTGCTTCTAATGAATTTTCCCAAACATTCCCAATAACACTATGCATTTGTTTAAACTCTATTATCTAATGAATATCTTTACAATGGAATCATGATTAAGTATGAGAATTCACTCTTTCTAAACACATGAAATTCTGCAGCTGATTATTAAAAATTGGAAAACTCGTCCAGGAAATCGTCATATAATATTTGAGTTATATCATTTAACTATTTCTATACTATTCACAAAACTAAGGCCCAAAATTGAATGCAATGCTCACTGGTACTATATCAACTTGAACAGTGATTTGTGAATAAAAATTATCTTCACAAATTAGGAAGTCTCAATTCCAAAGAAAAAAAGTCAAATTATTTATACTATACAACAAATAACTTCAAATCCAATCCAAGAAAAGTCACAACAACAGCCAATCCTAAGAAACCAACCAAAAAATCTAAACCGAAGAAATCTTTATTCCAATAACTGAAGACTGGCAAAAAATAATCAAAAAAGTACTATATAATAATCTTTATTTGTTCTTCGATTACTACTATTAATAAATATTTGAATATTACAGAAAATGTATTAATCAATTTTTTTTTTATTCAATAAATCAAACATAAATTTTAATATAAAAACATAAAACAAAAGAACAAACGTAAAACAAACATCACTTATTTCCTTAGCAATAATTAGTTAAATATATCGCTAACAGGATAAAGCTCTAATTCAGTAGCAATGTTAAGAGGGAATCTATGTATTCTCTCAAGTACCTTTGCCATATTAAACTTACTCAAATGGCAGAGTTGCAAAACAAATTCAACCCACTTTGATTCATCATCAAATTTCTCTTCAGGAATTTCTTCATTTGTATTCTTGAATATTGTTGGAATTACAGCGTCACTTATCTGTTTGTGCACCTTCCAAAGAATGTCAAACAGAGGAGAAACAATGTAATCTCTGTGTTCTGAAACATCGAAATTATAAAACTCAGAAAACAGTTGAGAAGCAACTAATTGGGACAAAGCAACTTCTGTTGACTTCGTGAACTGGTTATCTCTGATGCAAACAAATGCAAGAGAGTAAAACAAGTTAAAGATCGCGTATGTTGGCTTTTCATAGTTGAAAATGATGTCATCGAGGTCTTCCATCAAAAGGAAAATTGGATAGACTGGAATTGGTTTTCCTCCTGGTGTTTGGACATCAAAAACAACTCTGAACTGTCTTCTGATAGTATAATGCATGAAATCGGAGATTTTCGTGCAAACTGAGTTAATAAAATTACAAAATTTCGGAAAATCTTGTATTTTATCGTATTTTTGTTTTGGAAGAGTCAGAATCAAGTTATTTGTCTCGATTTCTGCCCATGGAACTTGGAAATTTTTAGTTTGGTCGAAAATTTCCGGCATTTCTTCAATATATCTCGGAGATTTGAGGAATTTCTGGAATTTGACAGATAATTCCATCTTCTCACTATCTTCTACAGCGATGTAAACTAAACCGCCAGTTTGTGAGAAAATTTCATTGTCACCTTTTTGTAAAGCTTGGGCCATGACAACAGTTGGCCATCTTCTTCAAGGAATTGGCTCTGCGGCAATGGCTGTGTATGGATACCGATTTGTACTAATACGTTTTTGATCTCTTCGCTGCTAGTTTCCACTGAAATTCTTACAATTACGCCAGCAGGAAGTCAGAGACCAGTAGAGATCAATTGATGCGGTCTAATCTCAATGGTTTCTTGCATTTCTACAGAATCTTGCTTTTTGGCAAATCCTGGGAATACTTCGCTGTCTGGAATAATATTTAACATTGTTATTGGGAGTTTTGAGGTAATATCTATAATAAGAACAATAAGAATGTTCTGTAGTAAGTTTGGAACAAGGTGTTTGTATTGGTCGTGGTAGTCATTCGCTCTTAAATATTCCCAACAGTTATTTAAGATTTCTTGAAGGTACATGTTCTCGGATTCCTTGGAAACCATGACCATGTATCTGATTTCTGTAGCAATATCATCGAGTTCTTCAACGTTTAAGTTGCTAGATGACAAAACACTCTTAAATTTCTTTACTAGGATAGGAAGAGATTTATTTTTGATGTCGTTGTATGAATATGGGATGATTACTGTCAATGGCTTTGATTTCTCTGAATTGATTGAACATTCCATGAATGATATACCGTATTCGTGTAAAAATTCGTTAATATTAAAGCTGATTTCGTCTTGTTCTGTTGCGGGAGGAACGTAACAACATATAATTGCTCCGCCATTGTCTGAAAATTTACGTAATTTTTCGATTTGCTCTTCTGTTGGATTTACTTCACTTGATAGAATAATTATGCTGTAAAATGATAAATTATTCGCAAAATCTCCACTTTGAACACGAAAGCCATACAACTGTAACTCTTTGGAAAGGTCTTGCTCGTATTGGTCAAGCGATATTAAAAGTACAGATGATAATAATGTCTGTTTAGATGTGATCCATTTGAATATATTTTTAAATAACAATGCAGTATCATCTGCTTCCATCATTGCACGAGATAACATGCCAACATGGCCTAGACATACAAGCCTGCCAAGACGTGCAACTGAAGCCACAATAATTGGCATGTCTAAATCAGAATCTTGATTATTATAAATTTCTAAATTAGCTGTCGCGATTGCAAAACTACTTGTATTCAAACATGCAATAGGAACCATACCGCCAGGACACTGTATTGAATTGATTTCATTTGTGATGAAATCAAAGCTATCGATAATGTCGGAAGCGGCTTCGCCACCTTCAAGTTTGGAAATGGGCCCTTTTCTTGGTGATATGATTCTAGGTGATACTGCTTTAACAGGTTCTTCAGCTGGTTTACTTGAAACACAGCCCATTTTTGAAAACAAATGAACGTTATTTGAAAATCATATTTGTTCATTTTTGCATTTCTTTACAAATGTTTTATGTTTCATGGTTGAATTTTTATTTTACAATAAGCTTCAAAAATTTGTATTAGAAATAATCGGCTATTCGAAATTTCAAGCAATCTATTGATAAACATATGAACTGGAATATGATTTATTGCAGAATTTATAAAAATAATGTTTAACGAAATTTTGAATGAAAAATATTCATTAAATGATATGTAATTTATTTATCCGTAATTACATTTATATTATATTAAATATTAAATTTAATTTCTATCAATGTGAATTTAATTTTGCAAATTACCTCAGACTTTTCAGAGGATTGAGTGGCAACTCAATCCTCTGAAATAGTCTGTGGTAATTTTTAGTCTCTACACTATTTCAATATAAGCTCCATTTTTAAACAGTTTTTAAAAATCGAGCATTGAAAAGTGTGATGAGACTTTTGCATTTGAGAACATATTCAATTTTAAAATATTTGATATTATTGATTTAATTCATAAAATCTGATTAATATATTATTTAATTTTGTAAACTTTTGAAATTCAAACTGTTTGGATTAGGTTTTCAATTCTGAATTCAATTAACGATTGTTTTATTTCATATTTTGGACTTTGGGTTTTTTAGGTTTAGTATACATTCAAGAAAAAAATATGAATGTATTGATAAATATCCACCAAACAAGAAGAAACTTATTCTTTATTGTAATAGCCAGCTATTTTTCAATTTTAGTCAGATAAACAAATGTATTATCAGACATTAAACTATCTTGTTCCAATCTTTAATCAGAATTCTATGTCAATCAATAGGTATAAATCAAAAAGATGCCAACAATTGAGAAAAATTGAGACTTGCAAAAGAATGAGATCAAATGAGCATGATTCCTAAAATATTATTGTGACATGTTCTAGCAAATCCAAACCTCTAATATCTCTAATATGATTCATAAATTGAGCTTTTTATCATGTAAATGAAACAACTTATAATTATCCACGTGTAAAGATTATTCTGAAACAGTAATAACGCACTAGTATTTAAATAGATCCAAGAAGTATTCACAACTATCAAAATTCAATGTTTTTTCTTTCGAATATCAAAAATTTCTTTACATTCTGAATCTTGGTATCAATATTTGTGACCATTTCGTTGGTTTTGATATTTGTTGTTATATGATATCCACTACTTGCTGATTCTTCTGTAAAAATTTCCTGAATTTTCATAAATTTGGCTAGATTTTTTTGATTAACAGAGAATCCAAAATAATTTAAAATTATAATTATTTTTGCGCATAAAATAATAAAATGATATCATAAAATGTAATTGTCACTTTTCATAAAAATGCAGAAACGCTGGGAAAAAATAAAACAATCTGTATCACTCGGCATTAGTGCTGTCAAAGAGATTGCTGGATTCTCTACAGTTCAAGAGGATAAAGCATATTTGGATTTGATTGAGCAAATCACAGAAGCAACAGCAGTATTAACTGAAATTGAGAAAGATATTGATTCATATGCTCAATCAGTTTCTGCATTTACAAATGCACAGTACTCATTATCTGGTCATATTTTTGCTTTATTTAAACAAGGCGAACAAAATTACGAAACAGCTGAATCTGCTCATCGTGGCCAAGAGGCAGTTTATGCAAATGGAAAGAACTTTAGTGGCCATTACATCGAAACATATTTGAAACTTCCAATTAAGAAACTTCAAGAAGAGTTAACGAAAATCAATGAAATGTCAAATGAGAGAAAGAAAGACCATATTCTTCTTGTTGACTCTCAAAATGATCTTGAAAAAGCAAAAGCCAAAGGAAAAATTAAAGATATCGTTGAATACCAAGAAGTTGTTGCAACACGCCAGGCCAAATTCGCTAAGATCGATGATCAATTCAGACAAGCTGCTCGTGATTACCTTACGGCTGCTCCAGAAAAGTATTCTAACATTTTCAATATGTTCCAGTCATATGTTGCTGAATTCTTTGATGAAGGCCGCAAACAAGCAATTGATAATGTCCCAACATTCAAATATGATGAAATTAAAACAACAAGACCAACATTGACTATTGCCCCAGCTGAACCTCCGAAAGAGGAAGAGCAACCGAAACAAGAAATTACCAATGAATGAAACTGTTAAAAAAATTCAAGTGATTAATTTTTATTATTTTTTTATCATCAGTCAACTTTGACTCATTGTATTACGCGATCGCAATAAACTATTTTAGTTATATATACTTTGCGTTATTTTTTAGTTAGTAGATTTTATTATTTTAAAATAAAAAAAAAATAGATAAGTTAAGAATATCAAAAGCAGAAGTAGATCTATTCATCCAGGCTAAGGATGTCAATTTGGAAGAAAAGTGAGAAAATTCCTAAAATGCTAAAAATGAATTTTCCAAATGTATTTTTTTATCTCATTTTTTTGATTTTGAAAAAAATTTGGAGAGAAGAACTCTTCGTTTTTGAATTTTATCACGATGGTTTTAAAGTATATTAGACACATGTATTGATATTACTATTTTTGTATATTTTGAGAGAAAATCCCCAAAAAGTAAGAAAATCTAAGACGGTTTGAGAAAATATATAAACTATTGAAAATTTGAATTAAACTTCTAATTTGGAAAAAAGAAATTTGGAAAGAAGAAAATTCAAAAATCGAGATTTAGACTCAGCATCAAATGGAGAACAAAATGTTTCTTCATATGAAGGAAAAAAATTTTCTTGTGAAGAAATAGAGTTTTTAAAATTTTATTGTATGTAATGAAATAAACAAATATTAAAATTATTTTTTGATAACAAGAAAATTCCCAATTTTATACGTTTAGATGAAAATAAGTGATTTTGCTTGAAATAAAAGTTATTGTTTGCTTACAGCTATCAAATAGATTTTTGCTATTTTGATTAAAATTTATTAATCAAATTAATAAATTTTTTCTAAATATCTTAAATATCTGGATCACTCACTGATACAATGAATTGAACGATAAAAATAATACAAACTCAAATAAGTTTCCTGTTTTTCAACTAAAAAAAATTATGCAAATTAAATTAAATTGTTTATTCAAATATAAAACAAAGATGAAGTAATTACAGTTATCATAAACTTTATGAATAACTCTGTAATTGGTTCAGATTTTCGTAAAAATATTTTTATTAATATCGATAAGAATACGTTTACCTACTATCACAACATATCGATAAACAAGAGTAGAGTGATTTTTATCATCGAAACTTTTTAAAAGCTGTAAGCTGGAAGGAAAAATCTTGTTTTTTCTGAGTTAGTTGTAGAACTATTGATGTACGAGTTATCATTGTGATGTAGAAGGATGTCAATGTACTGACTGAAGGATATGAAGTGAATTGAATTTCATTGAATTTCAATTTGATCAAAATTTGTTGAAATGATATGAATGTGTCAACATCTGTATCACTCTCTTTCACTCCTTCAGTATTCTTTCGAGAACGAAGCTAGCTCAGCTTTCGCTGAGCGAATTGACACTTTTGATGCCCTAAACGTACATTTTCTCAAATTTATCGAAAAAATTATACCACCCAAACTAGTATATTCTTATTTTAAATATGATATTATCCTTAGAAATCACACTAGAATATATTTAAATCAACTTTTAAAAAAATTCGAATCCTGCGCGTCTCACTTTTTAAATTTTCCAAAAGGAAAATTATATTCTCCTAAAATGAAAACAATTTTCCGAATTGACATCCTTATCCAGGCATTATAGCAAGATATTAAAAATAATATATATTTAAACACGAAAGAAAAAAGTTTTCCGATACGGGGAGTCGAACCCCGATCCTGTGGATGAAAACCACATATCCTAACCGCTGAACGATATCGGATTTACATAACTTAATAGATAAATTAATTTATAATGTTTAAATTTATCCAACGACTGCATTATTCTATGATTCATTCAATTTATCAATATTAGAATTCTTTTTATAAACAATGCTGTGGCAAAAGGATACCTGAAACAATAAAATACAGTTTTATCGTTTTTTATTTGAACCTCACAAATTTCATTTTACTTCATGTGGCTACTTTTTTCATTAGCAATTAAAAGCACATTACCGCTCTCCTTAACAGATTCAAATGATAATCCGTTCCCCTCATGCAGATGCAAAAATTATCATGATACGTTAGAAATCGGACAATACACTGTCGATTTTCTCGACAATGGAGCACAAAGTTGTTACAGGGGAAGCTTTCTATTAGGTGGAAAAGATTTCCAAGTTACTGCTGCAATTCGTTCGACAAAAGATAAAACATGGAATTATTCTACTACGTATCCAAATGCGGCAGCGATTCTATTGAAGGAGTCAGATAACACTTCAATTTTTAAAATAGAGTGCATTTCTGGAGTTACATCTTGTAAGATTCAAATTGCTAAAATTATGCCATCATATAAGAAAGATAATGTATATTATAGAACATATATATCTACAGTTAAAAATGGCAATGTTAATTTTGAATATTCGACTAAAAAAGTTGATGGATATTTCGTTCAATATCAGGGCGTATTTTTGAACCTGAACAAACGAAAATTCACAATAGATACCAATTCAACGATTAAATTTAATCAATCAGGGTTATCATTTGATCAAGAAAAATTCCAGTATTCCGGAATATTCGACACTGTTCATTTGAAGCCACAATATGATACAAATTCTCAAACAACAGTACCAGCTAAACTCTCAATCAGTTATTCACCAGAATCAAACAATAACCCATCACAGAATTCTGATATTATTTGGCTTTTCCCAGAAATAACATCATTTATTAAGGAAGGAACATCAATATGTCCACATAACCATTTAGATGATGAAGATACTCCGGCACAAAAAACATCGGCTCCTTATATCATAGTTTTCGTTTGTCTCTTAGTTGTGATTATTCTTTTAGTTACAGCAATTGTAACAATACTAGTTATAAGACACAAAAAGGAGAAAGACCAAAAAGAAGTTCAACTTGCAAATTCAGAATATAAAGACACTGCAGAAAATTTGTTACCTGATGCTTAATTATCCATTCCTTAACGTGTTAATAAAAATTTTATTCATTTGTTTTATAAAAATGCTATTTCACATAGTAACATAATCAACACTAGTATAATATAGATTATCTGGCATGAAATTCGTTGTTATGCAGTAAAATTCAATAAATTGAATATTTGATTATTCAATTGAGACATGAAGTGTTATTCATTGAACTACATCTGCACATAAAGATTTATTTAGAGTTTTAAGTATTGACGAAGCCATATCTTGTATTCTAAATGAATTTAAATGAGATATTTCTAGTAAGGCCTTGTAAATTATTAATTTTTAACTATTGAACACTATCGCTCACAACATTTTACAATTCTTTTCCCAAACAACCATAAGATTTTCCCGGATAAGAATTATAAAAAGTGACAATGGATCTTGATTCATATATAGAAAGTATTCGAGGTGGCAAGCGCCTTGAAGAGGAGCAACTTAGGCTTGTCTTTTCCAAGCTTATGGAAGTCCTTTATCAAGAAGGTACAGTCCATCCATTACCACTTCCAATTGTAATTTGCGGCGATATTCACGGCCAGCTCTACGATCTTTTTGAACTTTTCAAAATTTCCGGTGGACCAGAATCCAACCGTTATCTTTTCTTAGGCGATTATGTAGATCGAGGATACTTTTCACTTGAAACCTTCACATATCTTGCATGCTTAAAGCTCAAATATCCAGACCACATTTACTTACTTCGCGGCAATCACGAATGCAGACAAGTTAACCAACTCTACGGTTTCTATGATGAATGTGTCAATGTATACGGCCATGCAGGAATTTGGCGTATGTGCAATGAAGTATTCGATCTTTTACCAATTGCTGCTCTTATTGCAAACAAGATTTTCGGTGTCCATGGTGGTCTTTCACCAGAAATTAAATTAATTGAACAGATTCCTCTTATTGAGCGTCAAGATGAATTACCTAGTAACGGAGCTCTCGCAGACTTGACATGGTCTGACCCAGATGATGTTGATGGATGGGCTCCTAACCCTCGTGGCGCTGGATGGCTGTTTGGAGCACAGCCAACACATGAATTCTGCGCGAATAACAAGATAGACCTTATTGTACGTGCTCACCAGCTTGCAATGAGCGGATATCAATACCATTTCGGAGAAACACAATTAGTTACAGTTTGGTCAGCTCCAAACTACATGTATAGATCTGGTAATGATGCTTCTGTTCTTATGATTGATGAAAACTTTAATCGTGAATTTGTTATCTTCAAAGCTGTCCCTGATGACCAGCGTGTTATCCCAGAAGAAACAACACCTCCGTATTTCGCTTAATTTAATACAAATCTATATGAGTAAATTAAATATCCGTAATACATTTCAAAATTTTAAAAATTTTCTTTTCTCATATCTCTTAGAAACAACATTAGGTTATGGTAATCAAAATCTCAACTACATTTCTCAAATATATTATTAACATGTTATTGAATTTCAATTTTTTTTTAATAATAATGAATTCATTCTAATTAGACGCTCTATGAAGTTGGAACTAACATGAATTAAAGATATCTTTAAAATCTCCTTAAGAGTGCGCTTACGCTCATCATACTTAAATTCAAATTTCTAATTATGTGCATGAAGTATCATTTTGTGGGCTCTTAAATTCCTTACTCCCAAAATATATTATGAGAATTATTCAATGAAAGTGTATTCAGTATACATATCAGTCTATGCTCGAATATTACTGTCAATAGTTCCATTTTAAACTCTTCCGACAAAATAGAATTCCCCAACAATAAATGGAAAAGACTCTTAAAATTAGTAAGTTGAAAGACAGATGAAAAAAATCTTTATTTTTATATCCAAACAATACATTTTAAAGTCATAACAACAAACAATTTTTATCAAAATCTTCTTCCGCCGTATGAAACTTTTCTCTTTTCATAAGTAATTTCTTCTTTGAGATTATCTGTGATCAATCCTAAGAACCACTTTCCTGGGTACTTATATGTTATATAAGCATAAGGGAAACATTCGAAAACTGACTGATTCATGTAGTTACTTCCTCTGTAAACAATGAATTCGATGTTTTTTGTTCCATTGAATGAATTTGTTTCAACATTTTCAAGTTTATCAGGAAATCTGAAAAGTTTAAGACTGTTACACATAGCGAATGATTTGTCTGTAATATTTATAACTTGTGTTTCAAGTAATTCGACTTCTTCAATTCTTGAATTCTTAAATGCTCCTTTTCCTATGAAATTGAGTGTTTTAGGGAACTTAAATGATTTTATTGCTGTTCCTTGGAATGTTTGTGATCCAATTGCTGTAATATCCTTTGGAAGATCAACAATTTCTAATCTTTTGCATCCAATGAACATCCTATTAGGTATATACTTGAGATTAGTATTTCTAAGGTCTATTCTCTTCAAATCTTCGTTGTAACTGAATAAACTTGTTCCAAGTGACAAAATCTTTTTCGGAACAGTGAATCCTGTGAATGTACACCACGTAAAGCAGGAATCAGAGTATATTCTTGTTTCTGATAAAATATCAAAGGAATCTCCTTCATAAGGGAATTTGTATAAAATTGTTTTATTTTTGGAGTATAGAGCATCATCAATCACTGTAAAGTTAGGATTTTCTTTATCTACTATAATTGTTTGTAGATGCTTGCAATTTTCGAAACATGTGGAATTTATGAATTTTATTGTTTTTGGAATAACGATTTTTGTGATATTTGTTTTATAAAATGAATATGCTTCAATTGCTGTAATAGGGCATTCTTTCTCTTTGTAATTAATTGTTTCAGGAATTGTAAATTCAAAATATAGATCAGAAACAATTGCTGGTTTGTGTACTTCATCATTACCTATGTGAATTTCGTCCTCAAGTATAATACATTGAACATCCATACCGTCGATGGTTAGATTCTCTGAAGACCTAGTAAGATATAAAAGGTAAGAAAACATTAAAAATAATGAAAATAAATCACATAAATTAAATTTTTATTACTATTTAAGAGTTGTATCATAGTCGTAATGGGTTATAATCCAAAACTGAAATCTGGAATTTGAGGGTCAGATAAAAATTAAAAAAGAATTACACAATTAGTTTTATGATTTAAATCTCTGCAATTTTTTATTGAATTATTTTCAAAATCTTGTCATTTTACAAAAAATTAATATAAATAAGGAAGAGCTCGCACAAAGGCTTGTCTTCAGTAGTACGCCTGAGGGTGCAAATAGCCCACAAACACAAGAACTGCAGCAATATTCACGAGAAAAGCCTTTTGAGTGCACTTATAAATTTATTCGACTTTTAAGTAAGGATAAAATTAACCCCACAGCTCTGCATATGGCTGTTATTCTTGCTAATCAAGTTTTGCCCCGTCAAATCGATCCATATTATCTATCAGATGAATTTTCACATAAATTAGAAAAATATCACAATGCACTCATTCGAGGACTTATGTATTCTGACAATTTGATTTCTTCCAACTGTCAAGAACTCATTTCGAAGCAATTTTTAATCGAACAAGGCAAATGGAGTGATTTAATCGGAATGTTAAATCAAATAGCTGTTTCCGATGATTATAGTCTGCAAGTCCGTGCTAATTCTATTACAACATTCCAAAAAATTCTCGAAACAGGACCTCCTTTAGAAGTTTTACAGGAGTATGGCGTAAATTTTGTTGCAACTCTATTAGATTACCTTGCTGCAAACTCATCTGAAACCAATTTTTACAAATCTGTCATAGAAACTCTGAAATTTGCGATTCCAATTTTTAATATAAAAAATTCACAAGAAGAATTTCAGAAATATTTTCAAATAATTATCGGTGCCATTGCAAATCACGAAGATCCAATGAGAATTACTGATCTTTTTTCTTTATTTTCAATTTTATGCACAAATTGTTATGTTTTTATGGCTGATTGCGTTGAAGAGCTTATGAAGATACTTACAGCATCATTAGAAGCACCAAATAAATACTATATCTTCGGAGCAATTAATTTCATTGATGAATTTTCAAAATTTGAGCAATCTCTTGTCCAAGAATCGAATAAACAAGCCAAAGGATTCAGAAGGAAAACAATTGTAATGCATAATATCTCAGATTTATTTATTGATCAGTTTATTTCTCCAATTATCAGCCAAGTCGTTCCAAATGTTAGTGAACAATGTCCGGATACTATTGAAGACCATATTTGCTTTGTATACTGCGACATTATTAGAAATATGTTGAAAATTAATCCAGAAAAAATATCAAATTTAGTTATTTCATTTATTTCTGAAAATATATCATCATCTGAATGGTATATTCAATATTTCAACCTTCTCCTCATCAAATCTGTTACTTCTTCTGATATTTCTAGAGAATCTCAAGGATATTTGTCTGAATTTCTCTCCCAACAGTTAGAATATCTTACAGCAGTTGCAACTATGCCAATACCTTTATTGGCAGTACAATCTGTAATAGATATCAAAAGAATTATGAAAAATTATGGAATTTGGACAAGAATTGACGAAAGTATTGAAATTATCATGAAAACTCTTGAGCAATGTTCACAAAATGACTATAAAGTTATCATAGAATGCTGTAATTTGATTAAAATGATGGCTTGTTATGATATTATTAAAAATCAAAACTCATTGATATCAAGAATCTTCATAAAAAGCTATCAGATACTTCAGATGTACTTAGAAGTGAATAATGAGTACTCCGATGATATCCAAATCGCTTCTTACAACACAATTTGTATTTTGATCGAAGAAGCTCCAACAATTTTCCATGAATGCTTCGAAGGAATCAAGACTTCGGCAATAGAAGGCATTATGTCCCAAAATACCAATACTTTGACGAAGATTTCCTTTATTAATATAATTTCTTCGCTCGCGAAAGCAGAATACAAAGGTGTCTTGGATGATGCTCCATTTATTATTGAGAAACTATTCGAATGCAATGTAACAGGTGACAATAAAACTGATGAAATTTGTTTATCTGCAATTGCTCAAATAATAATCGTCGTGGGCGACCAAATACATGACGATAACTTAATCGATAAGCTCATTGATAATATTAAGAGAATATTTGGCTACGAATCCCCTTCTGCTACGAAAGAAGCAATTGATGCTTTAAGTGACTTAATGAGGAAGTTCCCACAGAACAAAACATTATTAGCTGAAAAAGAAGATATCACTAATTCACTTGTTTCCTTCATAAAAAGTGATAATTCAAATTCGAATATTATTGTATCGGCAATGTATTGTTTAGGTGATATAATGAAGTTCAGTGGTGTTCCTGAAGACATTGCACTTGAAATTGCCAAAATTGTTGTCGAATATCAAATTAAATTTTTCGAATTAAACACAACAAGCAAAGAAACAATGCAAGAAGGTCATTATTTCATTGCTTCTGCTGTTTCTTGCATTCTTGGATGTGTTATTTGCTCAACTTCTCAAGAGATTCTTTCAGAACTGTTTCCTTTGATTATACAAACAATAACTGTATTCAACAAACAAGAAGTGTTCGAATACAATGAATTGGCTTTCTTCCTTGAACTGGTAAACGCTGCGGCAGAGAAATACAGAGGAAAACTTTCAAAAGCAGTGATGAAGAAAGATTTCAGAAAAGCATTGAAGATGTGGGAGTCAGGAGAATTCCTCACTATTCAGAAGTGGATGCCCCTCAAAAAGAAAATGCAGGATAGAGCCTCTCAAGTCTATGAAATGCTTCTGACTATTAATTAAATGTAAATATTGTTTTATAAAGAATATTAATTGTAAATTCATGTTTATTAATATATTTTGGGCTGTCGTATCTGGTACCGCAGAATTTCAATAATCGAAATTTTTGGAATCAAATTTGGAATAAGTTTACATCTAATATCATATTGCTTAAATCGTTGAAATATATATCGATACAAAGTTAAGGTTGTTTATAATCTTAATACCCTCTCTTCAAAATATAGTATATAAATTTAGTAAGGACATTTATCTCCTTTTCAACAGATGATCTATGATGCTCTTCTTTCTTTTCAAATAGCTTATCTCATTATTTAACTCTAAATTTTTGAATTTATTGAAACTGTTCCTATGCTATAAAATAACTATAGTGTGCTAAGCTAACACAATGCACAGAGAGTCAGACAATGAGATCTAATCAAGTATGTGAATGAATAAGATGAATGGGAAATAAATTTGTCACTTTTTCAAAAATATTTGATTTATGAATAGTTCAATTCTCTCTCTTTGCAAACAAATCACACAAGAATGTTACGAACATCCATTGATGATATACTTTAGTAAGCTTAATAAAGACGAAGTTCCAAATTATGATAAATACGTTTCAATGCCTATGGATTTTGAAACAATTCGAACAAGATTATCAGACGGAACATACAAAACCATGACAGAATGGTATAGAGACATGGCTCTTGTTTTTGAGAACGCAATGAAATATCATCCAGAAGATTCTGTTTGGTACAAAATTGCTGAATATGATCTATCAATTTTCAAGAAAAAGGCCGATGTTCTCATGTCACAAGATCCACAATTAATTTACGATAGAATGAATTCTGCTTTCAAACAATTTACAGAATTACTTACAAAATCTCCTGTACCACAAGGAATAGATCCTCTTGTGCTATCAGCGATTAAAAAGGGCTCAGAATCTCCACAAATTAATCAAAAGATTTTGGACGAGTTGTTGGAACGCTTGAATTCACTAATAAATGATAAACAATACAGAAAAGAAATCTACATCATTATCAAAGAAATGCAGCCAGATTTGGAAATAAATTCAGAAAAATCAGAAATTGATATAGATTCTCTACAGCCAACCACAATAAATGCACTACATTTTTACGTCTGTGCTAAGCCACAATAATTACACTTTAGATTATTAATTTTATTTGTTATTTTTAGTTTTTTTGAAATAAAATCATTTGTATTTATATTTGAAAAAGAAGAAGAACAACAAATATTTATAATTACATAAAATAAAAAAACAATAATATAAAATTTCAAGATTCTTGAATTTGTTTGAATGATACATCCCATGCGGCATTAAACATTGCTGGCTCTGTATATAGTTTCATTGAAGAAACAAGTTCAAGACAAAATTGGCTGTTACAATTATTTTTACATTCGTTCCAATCATAAGAAACACTAGAACCAAGATTATAATAGGCAACTCCGGCTGCTTGGGCCAGTAATTTTGATCTTTCATCACAATCAAACATATTTTGAGAAAGTTCTAACAGAATACTTCCAGGATTCATAAAATATGAAAGTTCTGATCCGTAATATCTACCTGCAATCAATATCTTGGACTTTGAAATTGTATTGATATAATTTTGAACTAATAATGATGAATAATTAATAATTTGTATATTACACTTAGTGCATTTGCTTTTAATAGTCTCGAGAGACCTCGTGAGATTTACTATTTTATCTTCTGGTGGTAATAAAACTGTAATTAATCTAGGATCTGTTTTAGACATTGAAAAATGAGATCTCAGAAGTCCTGGAGGTATAGTTAACGATTTCTCGGTATATGGTGATGAAAGATAATTCATGTCAAAATTATCAAATTTTTGCAATCCCAAAATCACTTTATCGAATATAGCTGTATGCGTATTCATTTGCGTATTATAGGATTCATTTGTAATTGATTTTAAGAATGGATCTATTTCTATTGAAGGATTTATATCAAGAAATGAATGAATCTTCTGATTTTTCGGGTCTTCGGATTTAAAAATGGAATCCAATGGAATATATAAATCCAAAAGTCTATTAATGAATCTATTTTGCGATTTGGCTGTTCCTAAAGTTCCGATTACAGCAACACGATCAGTTATATAGTCTGCAGCCATTTGAAAAGGATTTCCCGAATCAATAGTTTGTGTGCTATCGATTTTAGCCATTTTGTAGAATGATGTATTGATTCTTCCACCTAATGATAAAAAGTTTTGTGGAAATTTATAAATTGCAGGATTATTTATGATGAGAGATTGTCCACGTAATGATATATTGGTGGCAATGCACTGTTTAACTGGAGCATGTCCGCATTTAAGTTGTGAATTTGATAAACCGGGCTGGAAATCGTGTACATGAATTAGTAATTGGTGTTTTTGAGCCGACATCTTTTGTTCTTTAATATTATCAGTTGGTTCGTTACAATACAATTTTCCTCGATAATTTGTTATAAATAGATAGGGAAATTTAATAAGAAGAGTATGGTCATCTATAATAGATGCAAAATTGACTGTCTTTTGAGGATAATAAAGAGGTTCCTTGTATGCTTCAGTTTCCAAAGAAAAATATGACGCTAAAAGCCATGGATTGTATGATGATATGGATTTGTTGAAATGAATAATGATTGATTCGTTAGATGTTACGATATTTTTAATATGATAACATAAAATTTTCTTGTCTTCTTGATCTAATAGCTTCCCTTTTCGAAATACTATTATAAAGAGATAGTAGATTGCAATAGAGAAGATTAAAGTATTTACCAAAAGAAAAAAACTCATCTTCTCATGATATTTCAACATCTACTATAAATGACAAAAATCAACTATATTTTTAACTATCTGCTCTATATGTACTGTATTCTTTTCTGAATACTAATACAAGCAATAGAGCAATCAGAATTGATATGATGCATCATAAGTATATCTTTTTGATATAGAATACTGCTTTCATTTATAAAAAGAAATCATAAGGATAGTTTGATATCATACATAGTATTATGCAAATTTTTATTGAAACAATTATTCTTGGGTATTCTCTTGATTTTCAGTTGCTTTATCATATAGTGAAGCTAATATACTAATGATTGCTGAAATTGGCTCTCTAAACATATGAACTTCCATTTTAGTAATATTTTCGCAGGTAAAATAAAGTTCTGTAAGATTTTCGGCCTTTTTAGTGAATATAGATCGGATTTTTTCAATTCTCAAGGTCCATAAATCTTCAATTAATGATCTTACTAAATCTGGTTCTACAATATTTGAGCGTTCACTATTAAAAAATGCAAAGGCTACTTCAATATAATGAGATGGTACTTTACCTAACGCTTCTTTGTTTTCTTTTTCACGTGCAATTAATTGTTTAAGAATTGAGATCGTTAACCATGAAGGAGGATGAAGTGTACAAGCATCTTTTTTATTAAGGTGTAATCCAAGCCATAACGGAACTTTTATTTGATGGCCTGCACGAAAAGATCCAAATGATCCGGAAATAAAGTCCATTTTATCGAGGTTGAAGTTAGGAGTGATCTTAATGGTTGTTTCTTGTTCTGCAATAAAACTAAGTTCTTCTGGTGTCCAATTCAAATCCATCTGAAATCAATTTTTGTTTTTTTTTTATCAAAACTGCTAATGATTAGAAATCTATAAGAACCATGCTCGCCTAATAACATCTTATACTGCACTAATGGAATTGGATTTCTCCTTAGTTTTTAGATAAAATTCTTGAAGATATAAGAATTTCACGATTTATACACAAAATTCATTTAAACAATAAGTACATATTCCAATTTCGTAATTAAAATGCATTCATATTAGGCGATGAAAAAAAAGAAAACGATTTTCAAAAGATTTTGAAGGTTGTTTCACTTGCCCCTCAGGAAAAGTCAAAGAAATCCATTAAGCCTTTGACTTTTACAGAAAATACTATCTCAATTCTGGAATCTAGAAAACCAGCTGTTAATGTTAATTTTGATTCAGTATATACAACATATCTTAAAGAATCAGAAGACATTAATATTACAAAGCCATTAACATTCATTGCTGTATGCAACACAGACGCATTTGAAAGCGTGAATGCAATTGCAAATACTATTGAAGCCGTATCATTAACATATTTTAATGTTTCCAAATCAACATCAGCTAATATATCCTATGCATCTATTTCTTCTGAAACAATTGTTGATCTTTTGAATGAAAATTCAGAAAATATTTCGACATTAACAATCGATAACGCAAACGAATGCACCAACATTATTAAATCAATTCTTGTTGATTTAAACCCGACTAAAAATCAAGCAATTTACTTTAGTATTAAAGATAAAACAAAAGCAGACTTCTTATTCATTCCATTAATGAGTACAGTAGTTGATGATATAGAAAATTTCGCTAACACACCATCAGAAAAGACAAATCATAAGATAATCAAGCAAATTTTACTTTCGTTGAAAGATTCAAATAGAAATGTCGTTTTAGACTTTAGATTTGGATACAACTGTGGCTCAATTGAGAATCTTAAACTACAAAAATCAATTGATATGTTCAAGAATTTTATAAATCAAGCAAAAACAGTTTCTCAAAAAATCCCAGCAGAACAGAAACCAGAAAAGCCAATTACAGAGAAGAAAACACCTCAATCTAAATCCAAGCAACAATCATCTGCTGCAAAACCAGAAAATTCTCCAGCTCCAAGTGTCAAATCTGCAATTCCTGGAAAGTTGAACAGTTGGAAGAAATTTGTATACAGGCCAGTCATAGAAAATACCACAAAGGAGAAAGCACGTAGAGAAACAAATGCAAGCTCTGCATCAAAAATTGGAAAGAAGATTGACAGAGATCGCTTAATCCATGTTGCCAGAAAATATGCTATGGATCCAAAGGCTACAAGGGAAGACATGGAAGGCATTTTGGCCGAACTTGATAATCAAATTGAAGAATGTGTTCGTTACCATGAAACTCTTCAAGGAAGTGATAAGCCAGAAGATCAGAAAGATCGCAATAAGCGCGGTCTTATTAAAAATCTTAATGATGATGTCAAATTACTTCGTGAAGACGAAGCAAAGTACGCAAAGTCAGAAAGAGATCATAGATTACACTACTTGGAACTCCGCTCATTTAACAAATCAGATGAATCAGCAGATAACAACATAATGATTGGAGACAAAGAAGATTATTCAATTGCCTTAGAACTTTTGAAAGAACAAGTCAACGATTTAGAAAACAAATTAAGTTTCTTGAGAATTGCTTTCCCAGACATTGCAAAACAAGATTCTCTTCCTGAAGAAGAAGAGGAGGAAGAGGAAGATTACGATGAAGAGGAACAAATAATGGAGCAGAATAATGGTGAAGAAGAAGAAGAAGCAAAGAATAAAATTCCAACAGAAAATCATGAAGAAGACAAAAATGATCCATCAGAAATTAAAATTGAAGAAGAGGAAGAACAACAAGAAATCCAGCCTCCAAAAGCAGAGGAGGAGGAAGATTTCCATGAGGAAGAAATGCTTAATGATGCCGAGGAAGAGGAAATTGTTGAATAATTAAATAATATTTGAATGTTTATTTTGATTTATCAAATTCTTGTAAAAAAAGTCTCTTTATTAACTATTCCATATTGTTCTTTTCTCTATCCAGAGTTCTCATTTAAGGGATTGGATTCTCTCAATTTGTGTAGCTTTCTACGCTAAATACAAGCTTATCATTTATAACTTAAATGAATCTTTAATTATTTAGGGGGATTGTCATGATAAGATTGGGGACATTTTGGGAATGTATATTTCTGACTATGAACTAACACCTCACAAGAAGGAAATATATCCAGAATGTCAAATTGGAGAACAGTATATTGGTGAGTGCAAATCTACAAAGCAAAAATTCTCAATTTTAAAAATTAATAGATTTTTCATTTCAAACTCTTTATTATTTTTAAATTTAAAGGTACAAATCGAGTTACTCAGTTCCTGTTTCCATCCAAATATTCAAAAATACATTGATTGCCATTATGAAGGAGTTTTTCAATATATTATCCTTGAATATGAAGAAAATACTTTCTATTCACTGTTTGAGAAAAATGATTCTTTAAACAGACGTGAAATATTCGGAATTTTCAAGCAAATTGTAAGTGCACTCGAATATTTACATCAAAACAATATCGTTCATTTAGATATTCGCCCAGAATCCATATTTTTAACAGATAATAATGAGCTCAGACTCGGTAATTTCTATAATGCCCATAAAATTGAACCTGATGAGCTTATCACAGTTCCATATGGTACATTAAACTTTGCAGCACCTGAAACAAAGACTGACAAACCATATGATGGCAAAGCAGCTGATGTTTTTGCTTGTGGAATTTTATTATTATCGATGTTTATTAGAAAACTTGCAATTTCAGGATCTACAATAGAGGAAATAGAGCAAAATTTTGCGAATGGTCAGATATTTATACCATCATTTATAAATGAAGATGTTCGATCTTTGATTTCATCAATGATTGACTTTAATCCAGAAAAGAGAATACCAATAGAGAATGTGAAGCTTTCTCAATGGTATACTTCAGAAATTTCAGCATTAATTTAATATCATATTTTTTTATTTGTTATTTTCAGATTTGGTTTGAAATAAAGATGTGTTTAAGTATATGCGTTATAAAACATTTAATTCACTTTATTCTTACATGTTATTTTCAGTATCTTCAGGAGGTAATTCAATATTAATTGGATTTTCATAACTATATGGTTCCAATGAAGGTTCTTCTGATGACTCGGCCAGAGAATATTTCTCTTGGCACTCTTTAATCTTCTCCTCGCTGACTTTTTCACGAACAATATTTGCAGAACCATACATTCCAAGCTGGATAAAGATTTCGTAAGCATTTCCAGCATATTCGGATTTTCTAGCATCATCGTTCATCTTTTCTGCGACTTCCGACATTTCGACGTATAATTTCGCCAAAGTCTGTTTATCGATTTGATCTCCATTAATTTCACGGAGAGTATTCATCGCTTGCTCATATAGAGTAAAAGATTTCTCTGGATGCTTTCCAGCAGAAGTAACTCTTGCTGTAACGAGTTCGCAACGGTATTTAAGGTCTAAATCATCAATTTGGTATTCATGTATTTGTTTGAGGCAATCGTTAGCTTGAGAAATGTGTTTTTGGCTTTCTTGCTTGTTGTCATTTCGTAAAGCAAGATGTGATTCAGCGCTATCAACTGCAACAAGTATAAGTTCATTAGGATTGATAGATTTATTCTTTGTAGAGATATCATGGGCTATTTTGAGATGTCTTAATGCACTTTGTGGACGATGTGTTTCGTTATAAAATGCACCAAGTCTAGCATGAATTCTGAATGCTTCTGGTGAATTTTCGTCATAAATTAAATATATCATTGACTTTTCTCTGATTAAAATTTGGAATCTTGTAGCTTCATCTAATTCTGAACTGGCAAGTTCTTTTTCAAACTCTTCAAGTTTGGTTTTTGGATCAGAAAGATCAATTTGAACTTCAGGATTGTCTCTAAAGTAGCAAGCTGCATATGAATCTGAAGAATTTAGAAGATTTGACCTTTTTGGAACAGGAGCTGTTGCACGACGAGGGGCCTTCTGACGGCTATCATATTCACGAAGTGGAACGTCTACTCTAGTTTGGAATTCTTCTCGATTATCCATAGTAAAATTAAAATTAAAAATAATTATCAACGAATTTACAACAAAATGTGACAAATATTTTTTCTCCTCCCTGATTTCTTTCGAAATTTCAGTTTATTATAATACTTATAACCAAACTTCTATATCATTCTAGTGCATTAGTATTATCGTATTGATGTAGAGATGAAGCATGTCGTATTTTGCTAAAATTGATATTCTCATTCCCAAAATATGAGTTATATGAATAATTTTAAGCTATGTTAATCACATTTGGAAAAATAAATTGAGATTACTGATGTTAAAACTTTATATAACTAATTGAAATCAAGAAAAAGAATAAGATTTTTACAAAACAAAAGTTTTATTCATGTATTTAATGCTTCTTTTCAGCTGGCTTCTTGTCGGCGGCAGCTGGGGCAGCAGCAGCTGGAGCAGCACCGGCGGCTGGGGCAGCACCAGCAGCTGGCTTGCCTTGGCCAGATTGACCATGGGCAATTGGAGCCTTCTTTACCTGAACTTCCTTGTGGGATGTATGGAGTGGGTCAACACCATGGATCTTTTCATGATGATGTAACTTCTCATCAACTTCCTTCTGATGGAGAGCGTAGATCTTGTGGGAAGCAGCGTTAGCGTTATGTTCAATAGCAGACATTGCTAAGAAGTGAACTAATTGGCTTTTCTCTGAATTCTAGGCTGAACAATTCGCATCGGCTAAATTTGAATGTCGCAAAATTCTGAAGCTTTTTTCCAAAATGCTCTGAAATTTTGAATGAGTTACGATATTCAAATGATTTTTGAGTCTTTTTATCTACTTCAAAAAGAAAAATGGTCCTGCAGATTGATTGTATATCCTGGCTATTATCTTTTCGGAATTATTTTAGATTGACATCTCAATTGGCATCGTTAAATTTTTGAAAAACTCTCTCTGCAAATAGGATATGGTCCAGTTTTTAAGATAATGGAATAACATTGGCTCGATAAACATTAGTATAGATATGCCGATGCCATTACATTTTTTTAGTTTGGTTCAATTAAAATCTTACTATAAACTCATTAAATTCTCCATAAATATTGCTTTTCACAAGACAACAGCTTCGTTGATATAGCTTTTGGCTCATATTTTTGATTGCGGTCCAATTTCAAGTTTTCTTTTTTGCAAAGGCTTGCGATTCATCAAGATCATACGTAGAATTGTATTTAATCGATTCTTATTACAGTTGTTTAGATGTATTCTAACAATTTTTAAAATTTTGGAAAAAAATTAGCAATATTGTAAGTCTAAATTATACAAATATATTCGACTTAAGATGAAAGTTCAAGTAAAGAAAGCAATTTTATAAAAATTACCTATTTCATTAAAAAATAGTTAAAATTGTCTAATTAGACTGTAACATCAACTTACTCTTAATCAGATCATAGATGTTTTAAAGTGTACCAATTATAAGTATATAATAAGCATGAATATTAAATGTTGGAATGATATTTTTAAATTGGAGAGAAAGCAATCTGTAAACCAAGTTCTTATCTTGACTAGATACATTTTCCTTTCTATAAATGATTTTCTGAAAGTTTTTACTATAATGGATCAATGTACATTGTATATTCTGGTATTCATTGTATTTTAGATACCTGTTGCAAACGATGCGCCTTAACTAAGTAAATGTGTGCAAAATTGTTTCATTTTATAAATGCTGTGTTGATTTGAAATTTTAAACGTGCACTTTTAAACAAAATTTTGCAGTAAAATATATGCGTTCTGAGCTAACTGAGCAAAGAGAGAAGCTGAAAAGAGGATTTACCGTTCGAAAGAGCTTTGGTGAAAATTACTCAGAGCGAACAATGGATGTCTCTAAGTTCACACAATCAATTCAAAAATTTAAGGATTTAGAGCAATCTCAACTAACAAAATTAAATAACCAAATTGACGAATTGAAAAGTGAACAAACTTTACTCGAAACTAAACTATCTACAGAGAAAGAAAAAAAAGAACAGATAATAAACGAAATTTCAGTTACTTGCACAAAGAGTTTAAATAAAATTGCTTCATGTGCATCCAAAATATATGATGATTCCAAGACAATTGAATATCTAATGTCTGGAACTGTTTCATTATCGCAATTATTACAAGATGTACTTATTAAAGAAGATTGTGAAGAGAGGCTTGATTCTTTTCAAATAGAATTGGAATCAAATATGGAATTGTTGAAGAATGAACTCGATCAATTAAAACTAAAAGAATCTTCTTCAAAAACTCGTTCTGAAGAAGTCAATGCACTTCTTGATACATATAATACACTTAAGCAGCAGTATGAAAATCTTGATACAATTATTCTAAATCAAGCAAAATTTGAATTAGATGAAGCCAAATCAAAGATAAAGTCTAGACAGGCATCTGCTGCTTCTATGGCAGCAGAGATACAAAAGGTAAATGAAAAGATTAAGCAATTAGAACAAGATCCAAATAAAACCTTCAATGATGCTACGTTTGATGATTTACAAAAGCATATTCGAGCTCAGGCATCTTTATTCACTGAAAATAGCTCTAGAATCTCAGAATTAAAACAAGACATTGCAAAAAATATTGCGGAAAAAAATCAGATAGATCAAAGCATTCAGCAAGTAGAAAAAGAAATTGAAGATCTAATGAAGGAAATCATACAATAGTTTAATAAGGAAATCTACAAATTCTTTTTGAATAGAATTTGCTGTTTCATAACATTAAGATTTATACTAGCAAAGAACATTAAGAAGGCATAAACATAGTTTACTTAAAACTATGCTTGCTGCTTCAATTCCAACTTTCATCGTTGATGATTTGTTATCACATGCACGCTTCATTAGTGCAGATCATTACAGTTTTGTGTGAATTTATTATATGTTATTTGTTGTAAATTTAAATAGATGTACTGATAGATATAAATTATTTTTTTTATCTTTGCATTAAGATTTTCTGGATTGAATTAGAATAGATATCACCTAATAAACAATGATTCATGAGTATCTGTATAGTTCAATTCAGTTATTTGCATGTAAGATGAACGTGCTAATCATACTTCTTTCACTTATAGGTTTAGCATTCATTTTATGTTGCATGTTGCGCTTCGTTATTGCAATGCTTCCAAGAATATTACCTGCTCAAGACCTGGGAGCAAAGTATCAAAAAGGTTATGCATTGATAACTGGAGGAACAGACGGCATTGGACTTCAAATTGCTCTTAAACTAGTTGAGCAGGGATTTGATGTCCATATTGTTGGATTGAAAACAGAAAAACTCAATCAAATTCAGCTTACCGAAAATTCCAAAATTTCTTTCTGCGATTTATCGGACATTTCAGTAACTAATGAATTATGTCAATGGATTGAAACATACCAGCCCAAATTGCTCATTCATACTGCAGGTTTTTGTTATCCATCTTATTTTCACAAGATAAATAATCCACATAAATACAATCAAGCGTTTATAACATCAATGGTAGACTTAACTGCCGCATTTTTAAAGATCCGAAAGACAAACGGAGGAATAATATTCTTCTCATCTCAAGTTTCTTTCTTTTCCAACCCATACGCTTCTCTTTATGCTGCTACAAAAGCATATACAGAACAATTTGCTCGAGCACTAGCAATAGAATATCCAAAACTTGATATTTTAGTTTTACTCCCCGGAGCTGTTAAGAGAACTGCATTTTTCGATCATTTTCCCCAGTTTTGGGCCTTTAAACTCATCCAATTACTCGGTAATGATGTTGAATCCGCGTCTTCGGTCGTTTTCAGAGCTCTTGGAAGATTTTCCTCAGTCGACTTCGGATTTTATACATATATAACTAGAATAGGAGTTGGGCTACTAGATGCAAACGTTATTGATCAGACTAGTAAGTTTATAACTGCTCCTTTGCGTCCGATTTTTGATAATGCAAATAACATATAAAAGATATCTTTCTTGTGATATTAAATTATATTAGAGTTCACATGTTATAGCTATTTAACGATTTTTTTAGTGAGTGACAAAATGATTCAATTTTTTTCAAAGGTAACTAAACTCCTTTCGCCGATCCGATTTGCCCCATATTTAAAATATAGCTTGCATATGTAGAAGAAAAGCTAATTTTGAAGTACGCCCGAAATCCACCAACAGGATTTCGAGCTACTAAAAAGGTACTTTTAAATGTGATTTTTTTTATAAAAAATTAAATTTATTTTAAGATCAGACTAAAAACTAATTTTATGGAAAATCTATATCGACAAATTTATTACTTATTGGGTATATAGATTTTTTGATTATGGCGATTATGTCTGATATGCTTCCAATAAGCCAAAACACATTTCATACTGATTTCTATAAAAGGTATCTTTATTATAGAAGTGTAAGCTATATCTGTTTGTTTTTTTATTATAACAAATTCAAAATTCTCTTATAAGGACTAGATGAAATCTGTATTATTAAATCATTAGCTAAATGAAGGTTCAAATAGAAAGTAAATATCAATTTATACGATACTGAAACCAAATAGTTCTTTTAATAAAAGATAACACGCTGAAAATTATTGAGTATTTGCAAATCTCAAAAATCTATTGGTGAATTTGGCTCAACTTTTAAAATTATAACATCCATATCAAATCATAAAAGCAGACAAAAATTAAAGCCAAACCTATCGGCCAATTTTTTTTGATATTTTGATTTTTGAGGTATACTTTTAAAAGTGGATTTAAAGCACTGATGAAAAAACATTAACTTCTGTCGTTATGATTATTGATTTAGACAATAATGATTTTAATCTTTGATTATCAAAACACTAAAGTCATCTTTTTAACATTTGCTTGGTAGCATTAACTCAAGTCTAAAGTACTATTTTATGTGGCACTCTTAGAATTTTTGTATTCATTGTACACGCTGAAATAGTACCATTAAAGTTATGGCGGACTTTCAAAAAATAGTTTGGTCACCTTTTTTTTTCATGTAACGCATTTTTTCATTTGATTTTTATTGCCAATAATGAGTATTTCAGAGATATTTGCTATTTCATTGCTCATTTTCATAAAATGGAATTCTTCTTTGATTTATTTTTCTGTTAGACGATAAAAAAAACAGAATTTATAGATATATGTCACCGAAGGAGTATATAGATCCAAGTCTAGAAGATGGTGGCGAGATTAAGTTCGATGAGGACACACCATTGAAATTCCAGGATGAGCAAAAGAACATTGTTCCAGATGCACCTTTTCATATGCGAATTATTACCTACGATAATGATACGAGGTTCCGTATTGAAGTCACTATGGAAGCTGACTTATACTTTTTCTATTTTGCAGAGTTCGAAGAAAAGACATTTGACGATTTCAAGAACCAATCGGGATTATCGATCAATTTCAAAGATTTTATCACAAGTATTATGAAATATATTCACGCAAATTCACAGAAAGATCCAAATTATACAATTGTCTTATCTCAAGGAGACAATTGCCAACTTGGCTTCAAACAAAGCTTAGAAATTAAACAAGTCGATCTCTTTGATGTTGAGCTCGAACCAGAAACAGACGAATTCATCAGAAGACAAATTCAATATAGATTCGATAAATCTAGAGCAGATCTTAAAGCTGCAAGAGAGCAAAAAGAAGACCTTTGCCGTACTATGAGAGTTAGCGAACCAAAGTCTTCTAGCTCTATTTTACCTAAATCACCTGTAACTCCACCTAGATCTCCAACACCGCGTAAGTAAATATTAAGTTTATTATTATAAATTACAATTTCCCAATCTAGTATTTATACATATCAACAAAAATCTGAAAAGATTAAATTTAATGAATATTTATTGCCATTGATGTAGCATAAGTAAATTAAGTTGAAATGAATACTAAACATACAATATTTATAAAAAGATAAAAAAAAATTAATAAAAAAGTTTGATAATAAATAAACGCATAAGTTAAGTATCTCCTTTGACTATATTATAACACAAAATGTAGATAAATAAACAGAAAGTAAGAAAAAAAAAATTAATTAATTTGAAGATATTAAAGGATGAGCAACAATTGTTCCATCTCCGGTACCTATTATAGCTAGTGATGCATTTGTAGGCATGCATATGGAAAATACAGGAGCAGATAAGTTTAGAGGAGTTCCAATAGATCTATCTTTTTCTGTTGAGAAAATTCTGACTTGGTTCACTCCACTGCCTCCTGCGAGGAAGTTTTGTCCATTTGGATGGAATTTCGCTGCATAAATTAAACATTGTGCATCATCTACTGATTGCGACCATTTCATGGTTGTTACCGGTGTGTATGTTCTAATATCAAATATTTGAACTTGTTCATCAGATCTCCAGCTGCATGCCAATATGTAATTTCCGTTAATATCAATGGAATCTCCACAAACGTGAGGTCCGAAAATAGCGCGAACAGGAGAAGCACTTCTAAGGTCCCATACTTGCAGAGTATCATCCCATCCACCAGAAATAAGAACTCCTGGATCTTCAGGATGAAATTTAAGTGAATATATTCTATTGCAATGGCCTCGAGTAGTTTCTAAATCGAATTCATTTCTAGCTAGATCTAAAACTTGTTTCTTTGATTCATTATCATAAACTCTAACATGACAATCTCGACCTGCTGATGCAAAGAGAGTTCCTGTGTTCTGAAAGTCAAGACAATAGATTTGATTATCGTGTTCTTGTGTGGACCACTTTGATATTGAGTTTTTAGTAGTCCATTCTTTAATTACGCCATCTGCGGATGATGCAATAAAAAATTTGGGATCTTTTGGATTAAAACGTAATGAAGTTACAGGAAATTGCAATTCAGACTGCTGTAATGTATATGAAAGCCTACCAGTTGTAGCACTTCGTAATGAGATTAAACCATTTGAAAGCCCGCTAGCAACAAAATTAGAATCCTGCGATATCTGCACATGAAAAACTTCTGAATTCTCTTCTTTGATCGACCAGCGAGGCGTCTGATCGATATTTAACATTTCAACGATTTAAGAATTTGACAAATAAAGTGATTTTGTAAAATGATTTTGTCAAAATTCAATTGTATCGTTCTGTAAAGTATTTTTTAAAAAATGAGTTATATACCACCATTCCAACGATTTCACGATCAGCACAAAGATGAAATTATGAATGAATTACCGAGTGCAACAAAACTTCAGTGTCTTCAGGCGATTTTAGATAAATGGGAAACAACACCTGAATCTGATCGTGTAGTTTACGAATTTGATGATTTCGATACGATGACATGCAGTGTAGAAGATAATGGAGCTGTTTTAATTAAGCAGCCATGGTTTCATTGCAGAACATGTTGGCCAAATGACAAGAAGAAAGGATGTTGTATTGTTTGCGCTAAAAAATGCCATGTCGGACACAAAGTTGAGTTCCTTGGATGGCAACTTTCTTATTGCGACTGTGCATTATCAGGAAAATGTCAACATTATCATAAAAAGCCAATTAAATTCAATGACAAGCCTTTCGAATCAATTTCAAACAGATCTATGATGTATAATGAACCTCAAATACATGTTCCAACAGGAAACTTTGGAATGAAATTTTATAATTCAAATAATGAGCCATTTATACTTAACTTCAGCAAAATGAACATACACCCTCCAAAAATTACAGAAGACGTGAAAAGAATTAAAAATAGCGAAATTCCACTATTCCAAATCGGCAAATCCAATAATTGTTATATCCATCCTATTTTTGGCCCTCCAACACCGCATACAGACAACTAGAATGGCTTTAATTCATTAATTTTTTTCTGATTTTTATTTATTTTGAGAACTATTCGATATTAATTGGTTTCACGCAGGTTATTCACATATTACAGTTCTGTAGATCCTTTATATTACTTTATTGAAACAAAATTCCATTTTTATATTTCAATACTGCAATTGTTTATTGTAAAATATTCCATTTTTGTTATCTTGAATTTTTTATCAATACTGAATTCAATTTTAGCTAGACTTTCATCCTAATCTTTTATAAAATTTCAATTGCATATCTTTTGTATCCATTAATGTCCTTTTTTTGCCGAAATACTTTTATTTTCATTCATTATATGCCATTGTCAATACTGATACAAGTTGCTAAAGAAAAGTTCCAAATAAGATTTATATAAAATAAATTTATGTAGGATGTTAGTTCTCAAAATGGATAAAGCAAAAGTGTGACGTCTTTATATAGAAACAATTCGATTTATTTTCAAACAAATCAATAATATTACATATAAATTTATATCTGAGATCTTCTATACAATACGTTAGATTCAGCATCAAAAACTTTTGACCATCCATATAAAGGAGTATCAAAACTGTATTGTGTGGAAGCGATATTTCCGGCGTACATAATACCGTTATTATCATAAAAAGAGAAATTTGACGGATCTCTTCCCGTTGAAACAATTTCCCAATATCTATCCATAGGAAGACCATGAGTATAAATCCATCCGCCATAACCACAGTACATCTGCCTTCCTGCAATTGCTGGAATAGGATTTCCAGGACCGCCTTCCATACTGAAAATTGCTTTCACTGGCGTATTCTCTGCTACCCATAATCCGAAATCAAATGATCCTGCCTCTTTGTGATAAATACATGTTGGATATTGCATAGTTGTGATCGTTGTGAGAAGACCACTTATGGTTAGTAAAATTAGTAATATGCAAAATAAAACAAAACAAGAAATAAATTTTGGTATAGAAAACTTGAGATTAACTAATTTGGACATAAAATTAGCAACAACAGGTACTGCAAAAGGTATCCAACCTGTATAAAATATTTTCGTATTATCTGCTGCCCATGGTTGATATAAAATCAAATTAGCAATAATAAAAATTATTATATTAGGAAGATAAACAGAAATTTGGTATCTGTTGAGATAAAACAATCCTATAACAAGAGATATAACAATAAATGCTCCAAGTGAATTTATCCACAAAATTATAGGTTTGAAGAAACTATCACCTATTTTAAAATCTTTTGAGAGCCAAATTGGATTATATTGCATAAATTGGCCTTGTAATTCACCAACACGTTTGAGATATGGAAGAATTTGTGGAATTGCTAATGGAATGGCTGTAATTCCATATACTGACCAAATGATAAAGTAACTTTTGAAGTTTTTCCATTCACCTTCTATTAGTTTTAACAAACAGAAAAGAATTGACCATTCTGCAATAGATAAATAAGCATGTAATTGAACTTGAGGCATTAATGCAGTGAGGAGACCCGCGAGAGCCATGAGTTTGTGATTCTTCTTTAGAATAGCAAGTAATATTGACAAATATGCCCAATATATTAAAGGAAAAACAAATAACGAAGCTCTTTGGGGAATAATGATATGAGTTAGAGGGTGGAACCAATACTGAGGATTATTGTTGCACCAATTGAATACTAAATCCCAATATCCGTATTTTCTGCATTTTTCATCTTTCAGAACCATAAATCCAAGGCCGCCTAAATTGAAATAGATAATTACGGATAGTGTGGCAGCAAAATGTGAACGCGTAAAGTACAAAGAAAGCGAGTACAAAGAAATAATGAATGACCAGCCAACTAAAGTTGAAGGGATCAATAAAGAATATCGAATTGAGCAATGCCCTGTGGAAATAAGGAAGGCAGAATAAAAGTTTGGTATAATTGGATATACAAGTTGAACTCCTGAAAAAATAGGGCTTTCTACTGTCATAAAATCATGTCTTTTATGATTGAATCCGTGAGCTATTGATGTAATAATATTAAGGTGGAATCCTAAGTCTGAGTATCCTGATCCTTTTGAATAAGCATTATTTTCGAACATTGAAAGATACATTATGAAGAAAAATAGACCAAAAGATAACGAGTACGTCCAAATTTGGGCTGTTGAAAGACTGAAAATGAGCTTCACTTTATTTTTATGATTAAAATGATGTATTATTAATGATACGATAAGGAAAAATACAGTAATATAAAGTCCCAAAGGAGGTGCAAGTTCAATAAAATATGAAAATATGAATGCAACCCAAGCTTGAATAATAATTCCTAAAATTGTACCTATTGCAAGTCTTTGAAGTCCATCGTATGTATTTCTAGCGAATATACTAACAAATTCGTATCCAAAATATATGGCTATGGCTATTTCAAATGCCCATAACATAAAATATTTGGTTACGATCTAAAATAAAATGAAAAGTTAAGTGGGTAAATGAATTTAGCTGTAAATTAACAATAAAATATAAATATGTTTATTTACCGAGCATGGTAGCTTTTACGATTTTGAAGTTTGAAATATGTATTTTGGTAAACAATAATGATATTTTTAAGCAACACCAGCAATTGGACCTTCACCAGTAGCAGCAGCAATGTTAGCTGGGACTGGGATGCCCATTTCTGAGAAGATTTGGGAATACTGAGCTGCTGTCTCTTCTTCCATTGTGCCCTCATCATCCCAAAGGTCATCCATTTGTTCATCGACCATTTCGGACTTCATGTCCATCATTTCGTTCTCTTGCATGAACTTCATCATGATTGCCTGCATTTGAGGTAAGTTAACCATTCTGTTGAGCTGTGTCATAGCACCAGCTGCACCCTTAAGAGCGGCTGTAACACCAGCTTGAGCCTTGATTGTTTCGATACGAAGGCCTAATGATTCGAGCTGAGAACCAAGCTTAAGGAATTTCTTCATAGCACTGCGGTTGCGAACAACATCTTTTGCAATGATCATTACAGAATCTAATTCGTTCTTTTGAGCGAGTCTCTTCATTTCATTTTTCATTTTAACTTCATTTTGCTCAAGACGTCTCCTTTCACGCTCGATTTCACGGCAAGACTTGCGAATGGAGAGCTTGAACTGCTTCAACTTTTCTTCTGGAGAGACTTTCTTTCCAAAAAGACCCATTTTAGAAAAATGAACGATTATATTTGAGTCAATTCCGGTGAGCTTTTTCCGGTGATTCAAAAATTTTTGATTTACATTCAAATGCATGCCTTTAGCAATAATATACAATTAATGTCATCAATGTGAGATCAAAGTAATAAAATTTTCATCAATAAAATTAAACTGTTATTTTTGGATGGTGTCAAATTTTTTTTGATTGGCATTTTTTATTTTCATAAAAGAAAGGTTAATTTAAAATCAGATGATACTTCGGGAATCTAGATGTAACTTAGTAATCCTTTCTTATTGATATAATATTTAATTTATATATAAAGTTTTATTGAAATTATTTGCGATTCTCTTTTTATTAAAATAAAAACATGTTTTTCATTTTGTGCATACGTAGGACTAATGAAATTTTCCACATTTAATGTCATTTGATTGAGTACATTTTTATTTCTGGAGTTTTTCTTCATTGTTATGTGAACAAAAGATACACATGCTTTGTCACATTAGTGTAATAATGAAAGTACACCCATTTACATCAAATTTGTTTGATGCTTTGACAAAATCAAAAGTACTGTCAACATTTAATGCACTGTTTAGCATAATGCTCTTAATTTATATATTACAACATCTGGAAAGGTTTATGCTTCTTAATGAACAAAGTTCATGAAATGATGAAAATAAAACGACAGTTTATGAGGCCAAATAAGCATTTTTTGCTCATTTTAAATAATTCATATATAAAGGTGTTATTTCTCCAAATATTCATGATTTTAAAGATTTTGACTGAAAATTTTTGAATTCAAAATCTCTATGGACTGATTAAAAATTTAAATGTATGGAAATAGCCAAGTTCCTATGAGTGAAAGTCTTAAAATGTTAAGCGAGATGTTTCCTGCTGTAGATACGGAAACTATACGTTTGATGTTAGCAGAATGTGGTAGTTTTGAACGAACAATGGATAGATTATTGCAAGGTGATAGATCTATCACTTGGAAATCGAATAAAACTAAGTCAGCAGGGCAGGATATGCAACAGCCTGCTCAACAAACTCAAAATTATCAACAACAATATATTCCGCAATATAACCATCAAAACCAGCAAAATACTACATCAAATGTGATGCAAAATCAAAAATATAATAATAATTACTATAATAATAATATACAATCCCCAGTTAAGCGCCCAACATCTAATCCTCCTCCAACTACAGATGCTAGGCTATTTCTGCCTGCAGAGTTAAAGAAAGAAATGAATACTTCTTTGTTTGGCTATCTAGATTCTGATCCTGCTAGCGGAGGTAAGTTAATTAGAACTAATACTAAAGATGGGTTAAACTTTCAATATAATTCTCCATTTAGTGCAATGTCTGTAGAAATTAACTCGCGTAAGACATGCTTAGATGATAAAAAATACCCTAAATGGAATTTTAATGATGATACATTAAGATTTAAGCAGCATATGACTCCTTCTAAAAGCTTTGACTCTCTGAAAAAGAAAAATCAGTAAAAGTTCTTTAATTTGATTCTAATTTTCTTTTTTAAGGGTTGACTGACGTCCATTCAATTTTTGAGAGGGCATTCAAAATTTATTGATATTAAGTATCAAATATCTCGTTATCTATAATTTTTTAAAACATGGTTGTTTCAGATAATGTTTTACCTTAATGAGATGTATGCAACGAGAATGAATTTTCGGTCACAATATTGTTCTATAAAAATTTCAAAAATTTTCGATTTTTCTTTCGATTGGAAAAATTTTTTATGGATAAATTTTTTACAGAAATACTATGGAATTTTTAGATAAAAACAGTGACATATTATGCATTATTGTACCCTTGATATAATGCAACAGATAAATCAGAAAAATAATGAGGTCGAAAAAACTCAAAAACGTTGACCGACCTCTTTTTATCAAAACACCGCTACACATCATAGATCATTTTGCAACAGCGCTCCTCCGCGGATTCGACATATTTAATAAATTAGCAAAAAAAGTATAAATCGTACTATTCGAATAGCACAATAGAAAGAATGAATATTAACAATTGTGTTTTTATTGATTAAAGGTTTGAAAAATATAGTTTGAAAATAAATTTTTTTGTTTTGATTTTTTTCTATAAAAATTTTCTTTATTTTTAAAAAACTCCTCCATTTTGGAATGTTGCTAGAATTACAAACGGCAAAAAGAATTAATTATTGCTGAATATATATTTATTCCGTTCCAAATTGAAGTGTTTTGCAAAATGAGAATAATATCCCAAAGTTTTTTTGTATTAATCTTATAATCAAAATATTGATTCCTAACACCATATATCCATGTGTAACAGATTTTATAGAATAGTAATTCAAGCTGAATTATTCAGATATTGAAATCTGATCAATATCTAATAATACAGATGGTATATTCAAATAGTTGTTTAAAAATGAATAGCTTCTTTGTATAAAAATGAATATTTTGTCACAAACTTTATATCATTCCCATTATATTTATTTCAGTAAAATTTATTGGCACTATATACAATTTTGGAAAATTGAATATCATTTTATTACATATGTACTAATTTAATAAATGATCAAATTGCCAAAATCTTGAAATCGATTTCTAAAGTTGCTCAAAAATCGGAATACGTACAATTAATAATATCTTCATATGATGTTATTTGATTTGGTATACGAATTTTTTTCGCCGACATACCTTCCTGAAAAGATACGAACGATTTCGTTAATTTTTAAAAATTTGACATTGTTTATCTTAGCAAATGAATGTTAATTCTATTTTTGTAGAAATTATCATCAAAAAACTGTTTTGTAAAATTCGATTTCAATTGGAAAAAAGTAAAAAAAAAATATGCATCAGAAATGAACCAAGTTTAGTTGGTGTCTAAATATTTGCTAGCATTGATTTTAACAACTGAGTTATAATATCGAAGCTGATGCGCAGAATTTCAGATATTTAATGATTCACCATCCAGTTTCCATTCTTTGTATAAAAATAGGAGATTAAAATTTTCATTAATACTCCTAGTAATTTAAAAATAATAAAAATTCTTTTGATTTTTCAACATAATGGAAAAAAATATTAAAAATAATCGAACAAATTAGTAAACAAGACATTTAGTTCACAATATTTCTCAATATTTATAACGCTTACTGCGAGAATTCTAGTCAATGTATTTCATTCTTGGGAATAAAATAAATAAATTTGGTATTTTAATAGTTTGAAGCAACTACATTTAAAGAGGTTGCACAGGTGTTTTGCAGACAAGAAATAATAATCGCATGGGATTTGTAAATTTTAATTATATGAAATTGATTTAGACAATCGCGGTTAACATTAGAACAGTCTGCAAACAAATAGTATGGAAATCATTAACAATATGCAAAATCTAGAATGGATTGATGTTTATTGTAAATTTTATTCAATTACGGTAAATTTTGGAATTTTACGTGCTAAAATATATTGCAATCTAGGATTTGTAGTATTTGATACTAAAATAACGAATATTTTTGCTTGTTTTCTCGCATAATTTTAATATGATTGTAAAAAATTATGAGTTACGATCCTGAAAATCAATAATTTGACACCTCTCGACGAACCCTTTTAAATGGACACAAGTCAATTTTTTTGAGTTTTCGAGGGTATTTTACCAAGGCTGAAAATGAAAAAATCGGGAGGATTACGTCCTCTCAATTTAGGTCGGTCAACCCTTAATCTTAATTCCTAGAAATGTCACTTTTTATACTTAAAAAAGAGAGAGTGATATAACTGGATTCAGATATTGTAATTAAATAATATCTAGTACATATGGAAGCTCACATCAAGGGTTCACTTTTCTGACATTCTCTCACAAAATCAATAACAAGCGCATTCGATACTTTATTGTGCTTTTTCAGATCCCTATCTTAGAAAATTTGAGCATAAAATGTGATTAATGTGTTTCGGGTTATTTTTCATTGAATCTTCATGACAATTGTCAGAAATTTGAATTAAAGTCAGATGTATATAAGTAAGCAATTATTGCACTACAGTGTGTCCAGTTAGTTTTTTTAATTACAGAATCTGAAGTAAAAAGTGACATTTCTAGGAATTAAGATTAAAAAAGAAAATTAGAATCAAATTAAAGAACTTTTACTGATTTTTCTTTTTCAGAGAGTCAAAGCTTTTAGAAGGAGTCATATGCTGCTTAAATCTTAATGTATCATCATTAAAATTCCATTTAGGGTATTTTTTATCATCTAAGCATGTCTTACGCGAGTTAATTTCTACAGACATTGCACTAAATGGAGAATTATATTGAAAGTTTAACCCATCTTTAGTATTAGTTCTAATTAACTTACCTCCGCTAGCAGGATCAGAATCTAGATAGCCAAACAAAGAAGTATTCATTTCTTTCTTTAACTCTGCAGGCAGAAATAGCCTAGCATCTGTAGTTGGAGGAGGATTAGATGTTGGAATTATCAAATCTCATTCTAGAGTTTCACAGTTCCAAACGATGAAAGAACTGCTGGATTTTTATCATTTTCTTGTCAAGATCTAACACTCAGCCCAACTTCTGAAGATGATTTCACATACACAATCTTTTGTAGTGACGATACAGATCCCGATTCAGCAACCGTAGCAAAATCTGATGATACTACAGAAACAATCAAATTTATTACTAAACCTACCATTGCAAAGACTTCCACAGAAGCTTTTCCTGAATACATAAGTAATGGAGCTTCAGAAACAATCACATTCGCTGTCACCAGCAAATATGATGGCATCGTTTATGTAGAAGCTGTCCAGACCTCAGATCCAATAGAACTTGGCCAAGCAGAATACACAGTTAGTCCAGGAACAGACCCTACATCAGTTCCAGTTTCTATTACCATTCCAGATAGTGTCTCTGGCAGCAACATTGCTATCAATTACCAACGACAGATCTGAATTGAAATCATCAGATAAAATCGATGTTGGCACCATCAGCATCAAGAATAAACCTTCTATCACATCATTAACCATCTCATCTACATCCTCCCCAATTACTAAGTCCAGCGAAATAACCGTCACCTGCAAGTTTACCGACAAAGATCAAGGCAAACAGCTTAAATCAACGTCTTAATAGTGAACAAACTTATGAAGCACTATTGGTCTTACTGAAGTCTTAGAGAGCAAATTCGAGTCTCGAGAACACACTTTATATGCATAATTAACAATGATAGCCAAAAATATTTCGTAAGTATTATCAGAATGGAATATGTTGTCAAAATGTTTTTCATTGTCAAAATAGATGAATGACTAATGAAGAGTAAAAACAAATCAATTGATTGCTTATATATCCGCCCTGCATGAAATTTAAGTTAAATTATAGTTTGAAATATGATCTACAGTTCAGTGAAAATGGGGCCGAAGGGACGATACTTCTGTTTAAGTTTTAATAAATGAAGAAATAATGATATGTTATTCAATCGTAACATATACTGTCTAAAATGAAAGAAATTTAATCACATTTAGAAAATCTATAGATTAAATTTCTTTTTATGAGACCACTAATTGTTAAGCAATGCATTCATAATTTATATTTCCCTTATGACTCTCAATTTTCCTTTCTCATTTCGCACTACTTTTTTACTTTTAAAGCTTGAAAAGCATAACTATTGTCAATGAAGTTCTTATATAGTCAGGAGAAAAAGGTGTAAACCGGGCAAAAAGGTGTAAACCTTAAATCTTTAGGATTGAAAGTAGGAAAAATATTGTCCACATATGTGTGCGATCTGGGAGGTATGATTAGTTCAAAAATTCAAAATAGATTTAATAATGAGATATTAGCTATTATATGATAGTATATATAAATAATAACATAAATAGCTTCCCCATATTATAACAATTATAATTCTTTGAAGAAAATGGATATTTAAAATCTCAAATAATCTTTAATATTTTATAAAAATTACGCATATTGATTTCAATGGTAGTTCATTACATTGTTCTATAATAGCATTTAATATATGCTCGATCATTTTTATATGAATTAACTAACGAGCAGTTTGAACACTGAAATAACATATCAAAAAAGGTTTAAACCATATTGAGAAGGCGTATTTTTTTAGTTTAATTGTAAAAATCGATTTCATATTAGAAAATAAAATTTCTCATTGCGTAATATTAATTGAATTGATTTTTTACCACAATAATACCAAATTCAATTTAAAATTTAAACAACAAACTTCAATAATGAACAATATATGTATACATGGTGAGTATAGATATTGCTTACAATATGAATGTTAGAATTGCAATTTGAAATTGCAAATTTTATAATTCCATAAATGTTTGAAAATAGGATTATATTACACATAGAAACATTGAAATATAACAAACTTAATCTAAAGATGAAAGAAATAAAACTTATATAAAAATGAACGTTTAGAATTTTTTCATTTTGGATTATCCAACTCCAACTCAAGATTTCCTTGATAGATTAGCACCGAGTCACTCAATGTAAGGGTACTTCCGAAAACTTGGGTCATCTTCCTTAATATTTATCAATGAAATACGCCAAATAATGAAATTTATTTGGTTTATGCCCGCCGAAGTCAATTTAGACCGGTTACAGCCCAAAGGATCAAATTAATAGAACAATATTTTTACACATGGCCTTAATGAAAGCCGACAAGAATAGAATTCTTGCAAATTATTCAAAGAAATGTATGTTTCATTGGTGAAAACGAATAAAGATATTGTTTATATACTATTTTAATTTACTAACAATGATTTTTTTGAGTCTTATTAAGGTTTTTTAAAAAATTAAATTATCTAAATATCCATATTTTTAAGTTTTTGTTTAGAATACACTGCCCAAATATACTCAATATGAGTATACTATTGATATTAATATTGGCTCCTAAATATCAAGGTTTACACCTTTTTCTCCTGACTATATATTATTAAGGGTGCACCTGTATGTACGTTTATTTGAGAGGAGGATTACCCTCTCAATTTTGAGGGATTCGTTAGTTTATTTTCTCGATGAATATGCAATAAAATTTGATTTTTATCTTATCAATATACTTCATATAATATACACATGTTCATGTAAAAACTTTTTTCCAAAATCCTTAGGAATTAAGGGATTTTTGAATTTTAAGAATTTTTTTTGAATTTTTTCGAAAAAAAAAATATTTTCAGAACAGCCTTAACGGCTAAGATTTAGGAACAATGTTAAGTATCAAAAAGAAAGGAGGTCTGATATAGACAACATATATCGTTGAAGGTTGAAAAAATCTCTAATATTTGAGCCCAAAATTTCAAATTTTAATTTTTTGAAAAAAGAGGCCACCCGTATGTACGTTTATTTGAGAGGAGGAGGATTATATTTTTGAAAGGGTGAAACATTATGAATATGTTAATTATATAATAATATGTATTATTATAAAAAAGAAAAAAATAATGCACGTTAAAATTTTTCTTTCTTGATTTTTTACAAAATCTACTTAGAATTATGCAAAATATGACTAAATAATTATAAATTTCAAGTTAAATTTTAATTTTGATAAATAATTTAAATTTCAAAATATCAAGTTCAGTTCGACTATGTATGTAGTAATTCCTCAATAAAGTGCCAAAACCCTATTAAAATATATGAACATTTTCAACATTTTAATGTTTTTTTTAAAAATTTGTTGGAATATGAGCTTCAAACAATTATATGTAAAATAAAAATAATTAAATATATGTATTTATTCGTATTACAACCGTATGTAAGTCGATTCTTCCTTTCTTCTACTGAGTTTTGAATTTGATTTCGAATTGTAAAGAGATTCAAAGGGAAAATACTAGCGGATAAAAACTACCTCCATGAAAGGGTCATAATGGACTCAAGTTGTATTTTTTGATATTTTTTGCTTTTCGAGCCTAAATAGGTAGCCAAGATAATGCCTAAAAATAAGGTTCTAAATTCTGAAGTTTACATGATCCTCTCGTGTGCACCCTTAATAAACGTTTCCTTTAATATTCGATTTTTAATTCAGTCCAATTTTTCTCAAATAATTCAAACAAGAAAATAATGGTATATATTGTAATTCTATCATTTTTCGACGACTTTGTCACGCCTTCAACATATATTTCGGAGAACTATTACAAAATCATTTTTATATCACAATAAACTTTAGTTGCATTACGCATCATAGCAGATAAGGGAATATCAAATAAGTGAGTTAAAATAAGTGAGATAAAATTACAAGATAAGGTATTTGTTTGAGGTATGATTTTTACACATGTGTGCATCCAAGATGTATGCTTTTTTATTGTTAAGCTGAATAAAATAATAATTGTCTTGAATGAAACTCATGACTTCCATCAATTAACCCACCAACACTGTAGTAAGTTTAATCAACTATTCACAGCTTCTATTGTCACATCGCTTGTTCTTGAGAACAATCCAAGTGAGTACCTTACCACTGATCAAATTCAAATTCTCTCTTGATGACGATGCAATTAATGAAGACACAATCAAAGCAATGCACCAATTTCAGGTGCTAATTATTCATTAGGAGGTCTACAACCTGGCGAACATAATCTTACTGTTTCTGCAACAGGTAGTGATGACACAACATCACGTGGAACGATTACATTTACCATCAAACGAAAGCCAAAATTATCTGATGTCAAATTCAATCCATCAGTTGTTTCTATAGGCGAAACCTCTTCACCCCAAGGATATGTCAAATATTCTGATGATACTGCAGTTTCTGGTCTCTACATTCACTACAAGACCGGCGAAGAGTCATTTTCTCACTTCTCAATTGAAAATAGTGAAAACACGCAAGGTTCATTCTCATTTAGAGGCTCAGATCTAACACTCAGCCCAACCTCTGAAAGTGATTTCACCCACACCATCTATTACAGTGACAATATAGATTTCAATGCAGGAACCATTGAAAAAAGTCAAGTTAGATAAACATTCACATTCGACATCTCAAGCAAGTATTCAGGTAAACAATTAAATGTCATGACAAATTTCTAACATTAACAAAATATTCTTGCACGTAAGCATAGCCTCAAGACATGTAAAATTAACCAAAAAATGACCAAAGAGTTATCATATTTCAAATATTGTGCTTGATGCTTCTTTTAAAAAAAAATAGTTTTAAAACATTGACACTAAAAAGTATCCTTTTCAAATCTAAGTTCTTTGTCAGAAAATACACAATATTTTTTCCAATGTAATGTTTAAATAGCTACATAAAGTGTTTTCTTTGGGAAAATAACATTTTTACTCGACATATAGACAAAGCTACCCTTGATGTCAAAAGCTGCGTGCGAAACTGGAGCATAAATTTTTTGCTCTGTGTTTGCTTATAAATCAGCAAAAGAAAATTTCCATAAGATTTGTTGAATTGAATCAACCCATTCTTATTATATCAAAATAGCGAAGGCCCCCTATTTTGACATCATATAATAGGGCCTGAAATTAATAATTTACGAAAATTGAAGCGAAAAGTTTCAATTTTCGAAAATTTCATAAAATTTGGATTATGCGAACAATGATTATTTTTGATTCTAATGTAAATTTACATTTGAATCAAAAATAATCGTAGTTCACATAATTAGGATTTTAATCAACTCTATTTCGGTTGTTAAAAAAATTGAACTAAATCATTAGTTCTTAGCTATATTATATTATTTGTTATATAAGAAAACTATTTGAAGGATTATTATTTTCGTCTGGAAAAGTGACAAAATTATCGTTTTCGTCAGACGAAAATGATAATTTTTTATTTTCAGGGTCATGCTCAAAAGATAAATTTATGAGATTGCAATGCAATGATACCTACTTGAATTGCAATGCATCTATTAGGAAATTTTGGTGAAAATAAATTGAATACCCCCAAGATAGTGCACTCATAGGATCACTCTTAATCAATTTTGGTTCTTAAGAAAACTAACTGCATTAATAAATGGATCTTATTCGAATAAAAAAGTTTATTAGGATTAACCGACTGTAATTCGAAGAAAGTCCATTTGGAATTTTAATTACTTTTGTAATTGAAAATTGAATGGAAATTCCAACCTTAATTCCTTAGTACTCAATTCAATTTCAATTCGAATAAAGAGTGTCTTATTCCAACTGAAATAAATAATAGGAATTTGGAATAAACTCAAATATACGAATTAGGAATATTCATTTCCAAAAGTGAATTAGGAAATGGAATTAAGAATTGACTAAATTAAATAACTGACTGATTAGTTTACTTATTTAAAATGATCGTGTTTATCATGAAGGCTGATTATTTTGTCTAATTCTGATAATAATCATGAATAATATTGGTTGATCTAATCATTTTTATTGAGTTAGCATGCTCGCGAGAAAATATAAATTTATTACAAAAAAGTATAACAGTAATATAAGGAATTGGGTAATGTTTTCAAACAACTTTTCCCAAACAAAATTATTATCTTTTTACCTTAGAAATTTTGGATAAAAAATAGAGTGACAAAAAATTGAGATAATATCAGTAAGTGGAGGGTTCACCCTTAAGAGCCAATATTAAACTAGAGAAATAATGAATTATCAATTTAGTTTCAAACTAGAACTAATCTTTGGTTTTCGAGCATATTTTATAAATATTAAAGGTCAATAATATATATACACATTTCAATCTTTTCAAATACACAAAACTTACTTTGTATTTTTTCCAATATGCAATAAATGAAGAGATCTGGAATTATTCATTCTAATGTATGATAATAAATTACATTTAAATGCAAATTAATCTCCATACTTTTCTTTGCAATCGACCCCTTTTCAGAGTTTAATTAGATATGAATTTTTTTTCTTCCAATTATAGATTATGCATCTTTATTCATATTTTAATGTATAAATAGTATTGTTTTGAATATATTTAAAGTTAATATAATGTGATATTTAAGGGTGTACTTACGCCCCTATGACATGGCCTTCAATTCATATATTTAAGGTTAAATTTCAATGGTATCCCACGCCAGTTGTCAAAATTTTGAATTAAAGTCAGATGAACATAATTATAGTGCATCATTGGTCAAACAATATTACGCCAAAAAAATATGAAGATGGCAGATATAAGTACTTTTAAAAAAAAATTATGAATTTAAAATATACGTTTTTATGATAATTATTCATATAAAACCATATTGAAGTCATTACATGAAAACGATTTCATTTTCTTTGAGATCTTCTCCATGATCATCACTATCTGCTCCTGCATCATCTGTGTCATTGAATGGATTGTTGCGATCAGTGTTTGTAGATAAGAACAATGGATTATCCATTGTAACATTGGATTGTGGTGCACCACCGGTAATGATTGTCTCTTCATTCTTAAGTTCGTACTCTGGCATTCTTTGCGAGTCTCCAGAGAAGCTGCTTGATTCGTCTTTACGATTCTTAAGCTTCTTTGCAATAATGACTGCAACGATGATAATCAAAATAACGCAAACAATTATAACAACAACAACTATAATTGTTGTCTTCTTCTTATCGCTATTTCCTTCTTTTTCGCTTGTCTTATCTTCCTTGACATATAAATTGAATGTTGAATTCAATTTCTCTGATTCTAACTTATCCTGATCAACAACATAAATTGTAACATTAACATCTCCAGCTGTAATATTAGATGGTGTAGTTACATTGAAGCTGAATTCTTCTTCTGCTCCACTTGATGTATGTTCATAAGCATTTGTTGCTTCGCGATCGTTAAATGCTACGTAGAACTGGAGTTTGTCATCTTTGTCGTTATCATGTACTTTGCCACTGATTACTATTAACTGTCCCGCTTTATATTTCTCTTCTGCTAAAGAAGCACTCAATAACTTCGGTTTGTTCCAGATAGTGAAATTGAGAGTAGCAGGAACTGATGTATATGAATGTTTATCAGCAACAACAATATTTAATGTGTGTTTTCCATGTGTGAGTGTATCTGGAATAGAAATTTCGTATGAAAAGTGTGCTGTAGCCTTTGGAACTGTGCCAAGATTCTTTGGTTCATTTGAATCAAAGTAGTAGGTGAATGTTGCATCTGTATTTGTCTTGAATGTACCAGCAACAGTAATTGATGCTCCCTTTTCGTAGTATTCTGCAGCAATTGATGTAATGACAACTGTTGGACGTTTGATGATATTGATTTGCTTTGTTGTTTCAGAAGACTTAGCCCATTCTGGAGCTACTTGTGCGTTTGGATCTTCATTATTGGAAACAAATATCTTAAATTCTGTCTGAGCTTCATCTGATGCTTCATTCGGCATTGGTACAGTGAATTCTTCATTAATACTAAATGTAGTTGTTGTGATTTCTTTCTTGAAATTAATGTTACTTGTAGCGGAAATGATGTGCAAATATGACTTCTTCTTATTTTGGAGCGAACCATCAAGATCGGCATCAGTGACTGTACCTGTAACCTTTACAGTTTTACCACTAATTACATTTTCTGGTAGGACTGAGACATTCGCGAGAGTAGGTTGATTAAGAATTGTATATGATAATGTCTTTGTTGCATCATATCCATGAGAGCTATGGAGCTTAATTGTGACATCTTTCTTACCATATGTTGATCCTGAAGGAATATCAATCATAAATGTTAATGTAGAATCTGTTTCACTTGCTGGAACTTGTACATTAATATCAGTCTCTGTTGATTCAGTTACTTGTTTAAATTTAAGATCTCCTAAACCTTTGTAAGAAACTGAAACAGATGCTTGTGTTGCATCAGTCTTGTAGAACTTATTTTGGTTGGTAATTTCAAATTCAGGATTCATTGTGATTGTGATATCTTTTTCGACTACTGGAGAGTTTGCATAAGAATTAGTAGACTGTAGATCTAAATCATCTAAATATGACATATAGAATTTGAGTTTAGAAACACCAAATGCATCATTTGCTTGAATAGTTATTGGTGTGACAGTAACTGTTTGGTTTGCTTGGCCGTTAGATTGATGATTACTAGCTATTTTCTCTTTTCTTATGACATTATCATTTTGAACCAATTGATAGAATAAGTTGAGTGGCTTTTCATTATCTATATCATTTAATGTGCAAGTTGCACAGATAGAATCTTGTCTTCTTGGATATGGATTATCTATATTTATTGAAATACTTGGCTGGTTCATGATTTTGAATGATTTAGTAATTGGTGAATCTGATGTAAATTCATGTTGATCTTTTGCATAAACTTTGAGTTGGTATTCGTGTCCACCATTATATGTAAATGATTGAATTGGAATTTCTACATCTGAACCTGATGTGTGTCCTGTTTGGTCTGTGATAGTTTTAACTTCAGTTGAATTTACTTCAAATATGACTGAATATGAACTATCATCATTAGCTTCATATGTAACTTTAATTTTACTGTTTGCATCATTGCTGCTATAATATGTAGAAGTAGAGAATGAACCTGTAAGAGTAGGTCTCTGAGTAACAATGATTTGTGGATTAGATGGATCGGATTTAGCATATGTGCTGGCTTCAGGATCTGAATTATCATTGCAAATTACAGTATATGTATAAGTTCCTGCAGTATTAAAGCTGATTGGAATATCAAACTCGCCTTGTTGGTTAGTTGAAGTGAGCTGATAATGTTCATACGGAGCCTGATCAGATTTACGGTAATGGATATAGAATTTTGTGACATCCATAGAATATAATTGACTTACTCTTCCTTTGAGTCTAGGAGAAGTCTCATCTCCAATAGCATAAATACTTGGTTCAAATTGGACATTAGATAATATTGGCTTTCGAATGATAATAAATTTAAATTCATCATTGTTCTCTTTATAATCACCTGAATCAAATGAACTTGTAGCTATAACTTTGAGGGTATATTGGTGGCCTTTCTGTAAGCTCGATGTTGGAATGCTTAATCCGGTGATTTCTTGATTTTTAGTTCCATCTCCAAGCGATATTGTTGTTGTAATTCCTTCTTGCGTTTGTTCGTCAAGTTGTACTGTGAGTGTAATATATCCACTACCAGAAACCTTTCCTTCGATAGGAATGTTATCTGTGTCTTCAGAATATTCATTTAAATCTTCTAGTGTTAAAGAAATAGAAGTTTGAATGATTACTCTAAATGATTTGCTAACAATATCTGAATATGTATGATCGCCTATGGCTTGAACTTGCAATGTATATTCGCCGGCTGCCAAATCGTTAGGTACTTGAAAATCAATAGTAGGATCAGAGGTAGTTGAATATGTATCATCCATTTCTGAATGTTGTACTGTAGTACCCTTTAATATCTTAGTATCAAATTTACCACCTTCGTTCAAATTTGTAAGAGTTACAGTAGATTGGATTTGAACTGGGTTAATATAAAATTCCTTTATATTGTTGAGTGTCAATCCCATTTGAGGAGCAACCGTTAGTGATACAGGATTGACTTCGGCAGATTTTGAGTTGGAAGTTGGCGGTGTATCTGTATCTGATGCATAGATATAAATTTGGTAATCGCCAGCTGTAATGCCCTGGAGGTCAAGATTAAATTCTCTTGTAATTGTTGATTCATGTGAACCTGTAATACTATCAATTTGTTTTTCAGAATCACCAATTTTTTGGAAGATATTTATATCCTTAGTTGAATCGCTATCTGTTAGTGTGAAACGCACTTGGACAGGATCAGTTTTTCCTAATTGATAAACATTCTGTAATATTGATAAATCTGATATGGCTGGAGGATTTCTAACTTTGAAATTAAAGGTGTGTAAAGCATCAGATGATACTTGATATTGATCTTTAAGTTGGATTGAAATGGTATAATCATCAGATTTATATGGAAAGTTGGTTGAGTCAATTTGTAATTTGTAATCTGCTGTTGAAGTACCTTTTGCATAGTCCAACTCAAGTATTGGTGTGTTGATATCATTGAGATAGAAAACGACCTTACCTGTGGAATCATCTGTCACGCCTATTGTAAATGAAGCTTCGACTCCATTTTTATATGCATGCACGTCGGGTGCGGTAAATGAATCCATGGTAGGAGCTTTGTTGTAGGTAAATACAAGACTCTGTGATTCGGATTGTTTATTTGTGGTACTAGTACTAGAATCTTCATCCTTTAACCATAAATAATAAGTAAATTCTTGTGCATCATGATCATTATTTGGTATAAATTTATAGCTGAACTCGGCCGGTGTTGAGCCTGAGTCAAATTGATCACCTAATGAAGAAGCTGAATCTATGTTATCTTGGTTGCTAATGTATAATCGTAAAGGTTTTCCTGTATCAGAATCAGAATATGTTATGGTGAACTGCACTGTATTTGTTGTTACTGGTGAATTTTGTATATTAACAGCGCTGATTGAGGGTTGATGCTTAATATTGAATTGAAATTGGTTATTTTCGGATGGGAAATCTCCGGACAATTTATCATTATCTGTGCACCTGAGAAAAGTTACAGTGTGTTGGTTTTGAGCATACGTTAAACTTGAAACATCAACGGTTACTGTTGCCGAATAAGAACTTTCAGATCCTGAGTATGGTTGTTCTTGTTCATTTCCTTCATCAATTTTATAATAACAAATACCGGTAGATTGTGCCTTAATGTTTAATGTGATATCGAAATTTTCAGTAAATATCGAGTCACTTGGCACATTATTTATTGTAGGTTTCGGTGGTGTTTTTACTGTTACACTAAAATCTTTTGATGCAGAATCTGAATCTCCGGGATTCGTTGCAGGAGTATTAGAATGAGACAACCAGAAAATATATGTGATATCCTGTGAGGGAGGATCCTGTGGGAAGGTAAATTGGCGGGAAGCGGATTGGTTGGTGCTTGGCACTGGATCTTCATAAATTTTTGAATTTCCTTCCTCACCGCTTTGTTTATAATGGATGTAAACATTATTTTCGAATGTGCCACATATAGTTAATGTAATGCCATATGTTTTTCCTGCTTCAACTACTGTTGGGGCTGGTTCCGAAAAAAAAATATTAGAAATTCCGAAGGTATCAACTGGTTTCAGATGAATATTTTTAGAACCCACCTTTTTGTCTTTAAGATTTGGTGAATTCCATTTGACTAAATTGAGTAAGAAGAAAGAAGAAATCATCTAAAAAAAAATGAACAGCTGTTTCTTTCAAATTTGATAATCTTATCAAACGAAAACTATTTATTTAAAATAAAGCTTCACAATCACGAATCTAATATATGAATATCTGAATTTCATAAATTGAGACTAAATCATATTTCTAAAATTATAGAAGTTGAGATGTGTTTATATTAAGTTCAGCATAGATCGTAAATAAAGAGAACTTTTTGATAGAAGGGCTTTGAATTTAATATAGTAACGATAGGATGTTTTTTTAATGGAAATATAAAGTACAAAGTATGACAATTAGAGTGGCAATCATGTTCTTAAAACCATATGCAAGCATTCAATTTTGACTTGTAATATCGTTCCGAGTTATTCAAAAAGTATTTTTGATTGGTTTTATAATTAAACTAAAGTTCTCACAAAATCTAGATTGAGAGGCGGTCAATGACTTTTGAGGGGAAATTAACGCATGGAATTTAATATTATTTAGGTTGATATTCTTGCTTATTATTTCAGAAAAAAATCTTAAAAATTTCAATATGAAAATTGAAAGCAATTCAAAAAAATTGCTAACATGTAAATTTTAATATCCTATGCATAATTTCATATTTTGAACATTTTTTATTTTTGTTTAAAACTTAAAATTTTGGGAATTTAATATAATTTATAAAATATAATACGTATATATATTTAAAATACACTAAATTTAATTGTTAATTGACGTTTTTGGGAATGAATTTTATCAAAACATGCCTGAATCCGAAAATTTGAAAGAACGAATTACACAATCATATATGTAGAATTCAAAATACAAACTTAAAGATTGTATACGTTTAAAATTATTCAGATTGTGTTTGATTTCCACTCATTCTGTTTCTTTTGAACTCTAACACTAACATTTCATGATGATTACATGATCCATTTATACATGGTTGAATTGTTCCAGATTCTACCAGAAAATCAATCCAAATTTCTCAATGCATTCATGTTGATTGGACAAAATTTAAAATTTATCAGCCTGTTTCCAGAGAAACTCATATATTCCCTAATGAAATGTAATTTTTGCTACATTTATTTCAATCAAATTTCAAAAAATTGACTGCAGAGCTTGAAAAGGTGATGAATCATGTTGTTATTAGATGTACATATTAGATTTACTATTTCCAAAAAAATGCTCAAATTTGAATAGTTTTTAGAAAATTTGGAATTACACTCCTTACATTATATATAATTAAATGTTTAAATTTTATTTATTTTTCCCTTTTAATTTTATAACTTGCTCTATCAAAACTAACCTCTCAATTGAAGGCCACAAAATCTAAGTAGTGAGGGTACACAAATTTTGTATGGAGTACGTTTCAATTTTTGAGAGCCTCACTACTTAGATTTTGTGACTACCTTACATAAAGCATTTCACTTCATTATTTCGATATTGAATTTGACTCTCGAATCTGATATTGATTAAAGATCTATCATTTCTCAGATCTATGTATTTATAGAAATATAAAGGTACATTCACTATTTTTGACAAAATTTTTAATTTTCATGGGGTTGTAAATCTTATAATAACTAGATGAATAAGGAACGAATTCCAGTATAATGTGCATCATTATATTAAACACTATATGTAAGGCTAATGATTCTATTAACACTTATGAAGATCTATAGTATTTGAGCAGATAAATTTGATAATTTCCAAAACTCTTATATTTCAAAATTAAAGTGTGCGAGTACAGTATACATTGTGCGTCGCCTGTAGCCTACAGCTACAGGCACCGACACAATGAAAAAAGTGACAGAAAACTGACACCATACGGGCGCGCATATGTACGCATATATGTGTAAAAATAAACGTTCATATGTAAACTAACCTTTATTCACTAGCAGGGGCTGATAAATCATAATCGTCGAGAAGTACGATAGGTGGTCCCACAGGTTTAATCTGTATGGAGAGGCAAACGTGACGTAAGAAGCATAACACTGGTTTCTCAGTATATTTAATAGACTCTGCTGTTGGCTTAACTGTAAGCTTATATGTAATAGGTGAATTAGATAACTGACCCTGTTGGAATGTATAATCAGTTTCGCAAGGGAATCCACATAGGTAATGACCTAAGTCATTTGACTCGATTCCAAATTGAGGGACTGATGTGGTTGTGATAGACCTCATGACATCATAGTTGAAGCCAACAGTATCGTTATTATTGTTAGTGGCATTTGCCTGCATCTCATAGAAGATTGGATCATTAGATGCTTGAGCCTCAGCGGGTATGTTACCATATGCTCCACAGTTCAATTGAATTTGTTCAAACAATGGATTTTCATAGGTAGTGTTATAATTAGGTGTTTTCTTAAATAGTGTATAAATGGTGTTCACATATAATGGAGTAAATGCTGCCGTGAATGTACAAGGAGTTCCTTCACCTTTAGCCATTGAACCATCCATAGTAATGCAGTCAATTCTTTTGATTGGGAAGTTTAGAGTCTTTGCCGAATATCTTGTCACCAAATCACTATAGATGTTAGGGTCCAAAGAGAATGAGTTACAGTATGTAATCATTTCAAAGAAGTTTGCATTCTTCTTAGTGAACTTAATAAACTTGGTACCAAATGATATCGTACTCTTATCGGCATTCCAAGTTACAGTATCAATAACTTTGATACCTTCATAGATAGGAGTGAAGTGATTAGTGATTGGAATATAGCTTGTAACATTGGCTTGCATGTTCGGTAATGGTAGAATATCCTGATAACTTAATGGTGTCCAAACCATACCAGCAATACTGAACTTAACCTTAAGTTGTAAGTTACCAGCAAACGCTGGAAGGAATCTAATGTTATTAAGTATTAGGAATCTTCTTAGGTCAATCTTGATTGGTATGTGGAACTTTAATGTAGTTGCACCACTAATTGGTTTATTGAACTCAATAATCTGTCCAGAACGAACTGTATCACATCTATTGAAAACATCTTTATGTCTAGCCTTACTAAATACATCAACTTTCTTAATAGCTTCTGTTGTAGATGCAGTAGAAGTAATGTAACCTTCTTCTCTAGCATTATCTTGTGTATAAACACTTTTACCATTAGCGATTAATTGATATGATTCAACAGCATAGAATGAATCAATGTATCCCAACCAAATTGCTGGAAGATGTGCACATGATTTGCCACCAGCATATTTAGTATCAATTGCTTTAATTGCTGTAACATTTGATCCTGTAGGAGCTGTCTCAACAGCTCTTTCTTTATATACTTCACCATCATATTTAGGAACTTTTTCATCAGCTGGTTCAGTTTCTGTTGTAATTATGCACTCACCATCGACATAACCACTAATGAACGTATTATATAAGTCAATCATGTTCTCACCAGGTGGTGATATGTTAAATGTAATATAACCGTTATCAATAGTATTTGTCGGCATAGCTGGCACTTTTGTTGGGACATATCTATGGTTAGTATCTCCAATAGGAACTGCCCCATCAACTTGATCGAAATAATATCTTACTTGTCTGATGGAATCAGCAATACTGTATGTATTGAGGTTATCGTTCAACATCTTTCTCAGCTATAAAAAATTTACAATCTTCTTATTCTTGGGATTATTCGTCTTATTTGTGGCTGAGGTTTAGGAGGTTCTGGTTCAGGCTCTGGTTCATCATCGAAGTGTATTCTTTTCTCTTCCATTGATTGAACATATTCTTGATTCTCTTTAGTTTCCTTCTCACGTTCAATTGGGTCCATGTTTGGTTCATTAACTACACTGTTACGTTCTAATATCTTTGTCATCATCTCTAACAACATTTTATTAGTATATGCTTGTTCTTCTTCTTTCTTCTCATCAACTTTAGGAGCTTCTTGAACAACAGGAGCTGGGGCAGGAGCTGGTGAATTCAATGGTGCCTTTCTCTTTCTAACTTGAACTGAACCATTCTTCATATGACAAACATAATATAATGGATGTTGTATTCCTTTAGCTTCATTCAATATGATTGATTGCTTTTCACTTGGTGAAAGTTTTGACGTCATTTCTATCCTAATAAAATTTTTTACTCCTAACAAAATGACTGAGAATACTTTCGACAGAGAAGCACTCAAGAATGAACTTCGTGAAGAAATACTTAATGAACTCAAACCAAAAGAACAAACACAAGAAGAGAAACCAGCTAAACCAAAGCGTAAACTCACAGAGAAACAATTAGCTGCATTAGCAGCTGGACGCGCAAAGAATCCACGAATGATTGCAAAGAAATTGAGAGAAGAGGAAGAAGCTAAGAAAAATAATAAGTAAGTGTTTAGAACTTTAACTTACGTTCAAAAGATGACTTCGTTGAAATAGTGAAGTCCTTATTTTTGTTGAAGCATGGTTTCGAACCAATGCACAAGTCAAAGGTTATCTCATCACCTTCATAAAGAGATTTGTACAATTCCACGATGCTATATTTTTCCCCAACTTTCTCAGGGAAGAACAAACCTTTCTTCTCGTCATAATGTACTTGTATCGCATCTGGGAACATTTGGTTTGCAGTAAGTGCAATTACGTCCTGTGTGATTCCCTTCATTCGACAGTGGAAAGCAATTTCCTTGAGGTCATTGGTTAATTCGTCGAGGTAAGTCTTCTTTCCAACGAATATAGATCTTTGTGCCTTAGACATATGTCCTGCAGTAATCTCTGCAAAGTCTGAATGAAATTGACCCAGTGCTTTTCCAATGAGTTCTCTGTTATACCTTCTCTTGTATTCTTCTGCTAACTTATCTAAGTCCTTCTCATACAAGTGTAAACTATCTGTATCCTGATAGAACAACTTCAAGCCCAAATCTTCTGCTGTGAAGAATACTTCATTCATGATTCGTTTGGACATAGAAAGGATTGAAACACCTAATGGACAATAGTTAAAGTGACGAACGATAGGTTTAAATGACTTTACACATGAAAGTTCGGAATCGGGGATGAACTCTATTGTCTGTATGTCATTATAGTTCTTAATGATATAGTCAGTGAGCTTATTGTC